TTTTTCGAAGAAGGGAAGAAATCATCTGACATAGTTTTCATACAACAAGAATTACCACCCCGAGCCACAAGAATGTCAGGGAATAACGTATAAGGTTACATATCCAGTTGTAAAGTCAAATATCCGGATAAGCTGTCATTCATTTAGTTTACTTAAGTGAAGTACATGTAATTTCAATAAAAAACGATGGACAGCACTTGAGACGCTTTATGGCGAATGTAGTACTAACACCAAAGAGCTGTATTTCGAGACCTCATTTACGCTCAAACCTGCAATATTGAGAATACCCTGCATTTTACCAACATCGTATATTCTTGTAGCTTGGTGCAGATTATAAAATAGAAGTACAGAGAAAACAAAACGGTAAAGCCTTCAAGGCAGCTGTGAATACCCGCCTGCTGCACGGTTGTTTTCGTGGCTCTTGATTGAATGAAATGCAGTGTTGATCTGCAGGATCATTGCTCTATAATAGCGGCTAATGCAACGAAAATTCAATTTTCTAAATAGAAAATCATACCTAATCCAGCGTCTACGCTGGTACTGCTAATATCTCCACTTGTAACAGACGACTCACTCCGCCCACTTTGCACCGACTTGATGCTCCCGCTGTCGCTGACACTGAGCAACGCTTCTCTAGACATACTCGGGCCAGTTCCAAATGTTGACTTTGCGCGTGGCTGGACGTTTCTTTGGTGAGGCAAGCCCATAGATTCCTGAAAACAGAACCCGATAAATAAGAGTTACAGGATGATGTACACAGATTTATAGACACTGCAATTACATGATATAAACATCTGTCTCAGGTTAGCTGACAAATATAAATGTTTTGGATAAAAGGCGCTCGTAAAATGGTACTGCGAAGAGTATTATCAGTGTTTCCGTGCAATTGCAGAGTCAACATATGAACCATTCTATTGGAATTGATATTTCAGATAAATCTATAAATCCGCTTGGAAGGACAATGTAGAACATCAAAGAATAATAAATTATTACAAAATTAATGGTGATCATGACATGCTGAGATTTAACTAGCAATTCTTAGAAAGTGAAACATTATTTATTGTATGGAAAGCAGTTAAATGATATCTCCTACCACTATCCTAAACCATAAATATCTGAAATGCCAGATTCTCAAGTGGTTTCACGGCTTTACATACAATGATCTTGGTTTGTTTTAAATACAGCAGAACACGGAACCAGACAAGAGCACTCATTGGGCGTATAGAAAGTTGTAATCTTACACTCGACGAGTTTCTACTTTGAAGAACTTACTCTCATTAGTGTACTTGCACTTGTGCAGTACGCTAAAACTTTCGGTGACAGAAGGTATTCTGTACAGCCCTTCACATAAGATGAAACAGACCTGTCTTATGTCCTAATGTGGCTTTGGAAGAAAGGTCTCATCAGATTTTTTTATTTTCTATTTTGAGGAATCGACTCTCGTAAAAAAAATGACCTTCGGAAGGCGGTGTACAGAGGGTTATCTACAAAATATACTAATGAAGTAATTTGTCGAAAACTAGAACAGACCTACATTAAATCTGATACGAACGTGTCGTAATAGCCCATTTCTAATTTTTTGTCAGCCGTTAGATCTTGTCGGTTCGGAAATGACCTGGACGGGTTACCGCTTACCTGACTTGGTGAGGGTGTGACAAGGGCCTGAGATGTGGGTTTGAAATCTCCTATAGCTTCATATGCTGTAGAATTGCTCTTCTCTCGTAAACAAAATCTGCGGCACAGCAGAACTATAATAACGGTGACAATGATGGCAACTACTGCAACTGCTCCCCCCACTGCAAGTCCTACAGCGAAGGTCGACGCCATCTTGTATCTGAAATGTAAAAAAAAACTATTTTTGTAAGCCTGTCACGTCTAATAATGCCCTGTATGCTCAGACAGTAGTGAGGAAAGAAGTTACAACAAAAGACAAAATTACCTTCTTCGTTCAACTTAACTGTTATATTTGTTTATAACCATGACTGTAAAATTTTGAATGTAATGATATTTTTTTCATAAAACCATGTAACTTGTATATTTTCTCCTGTCCTTTATAACAGAAAGAGCAATGTAGCTTTTGAATCAAACTATTAGATAATACTTTTAAACGACGACCTGAAACTGCCACGGGTTCGTCACTTCACAAAGGCAGACTGTGAGTACCCACCATCAGTGCTGTTGTTAAGAGTATAGCCTCCGCTCATATAAATTACAGAGCACACAAAGATGCTGGCGCTTATATGTACTGTATATAGCACTGCCCAGAAGGCCTAATGAACATGACACCTAATAATCAATCTACCCAATGACTATCTAGGCCATTTGTCCAACCTTTCCCTGCTCTAGCTGCATACACCACTGACGTAGCACTGGCTCTCAAATATAGGCAATTCTATACTAATCTGAGCGCAGCTTTTTTTTTCACACCCCTGTCCTCATTAAATACTGCCATTTTCTATGGCGAACAGTGTGCTCACTCTGGGAGCAATCGTGCTAAATAAGGCTGCATTCAGAACAGTGGACTAACTAGTCCGAGGGTCAAATATGGCCGACCCACTTGAATACTTCCCCAGGGGGGATCTCTTCAGTGTCTATTAGCGAATTAGACGACAAGCTTTTTAGTGAGACGCCATATTTGCCTAAGTTGTCTGCACATACATGAAGATGGTTTATACATTTTAAAAATTGGTTAAACAGTGGCAAAAAGGATCTTGAAACTCCACTGGTCGCTTATTGCTTTATAATATATTATATTAATTTTTCAAACCAATTTTAATTTATTTAGTTAGTTAGTTTATATATTCAGTTATTCATTTCTTCATTCATGTATTTATTTATACATGTACATTTATTGTCCCGGGATATAACTGTGGAGTTTGTACATTAGACCATTTGACGGTCATCGTGCCGAACATTACAAGGTTGTTGTATCATCATGTACATGTAGTTCCAAAGACGTAAAAGAAATTTGAGGAAAACAAATGCTTCTCATTCATTTGACGTTAAATCTATCATAGAAATGGTAGAAAGGCATACCTAAACAAACGGTTTTAATAATACATTTTAATGTAATCCGACACAAAGATGAATTAATAAAATATGTAGAAGAAAGGAAGCACATGTATCACGAGTCCCGATGCATTGTGAAGTTGTTCCAGTTGGTTGTACACTATTGTGATTTGAATCTTTTTTGTGCTATCGTTCAAACCTCATGTTGTTTATATTTAGATACAGGACGGCGGGAATGACAGTGAGCAAATAATAGAAAACGTCTTCTGAAAAACAAGATAACAACACTGTCTCTACTAAATGTTTATATAACAACAAATATGTTTGGATGCATTTCATGGGAACATGTTGAAACATATTTTCTCCCTGTTGTTTTCCTCCAACTAGCCAGATGAATATTTACAAAAAGAGTCTAAGATTGAAGAAAGCACGTGTATTTTCAACGGACACATTCAGGAAAAGAATTGAAAAAATTAAGGATTGCTTTTAATGGCAGAATGTTTACACTACTAGTACATGTATGTTGTTCTGTTTGACTAAATAACGGCGTATGAATCAAACATGTTCCCCTAACTACCGTGAGGTAAACCATCTGATGGGCCGAATATTCTACCTTTGATTTTTTACCTTGGTTTCTCCTAGGAACAGTGAGGACACTGCGTGGGCGGATCGTGTCGACTGGGAAACTAATTTACTTGCAATGCATTGGAATGAAGTAAATCTTCTTCTACAAATTGAATAATATGGATTTTTGCAGCATCACACAGAAACTATTGGAACCCAGTATTGTGCAATAGCAGAAAACGTATCCTTCACACAATGAATAGTTGGATAACTGCACAAACACATAGGTCTGCAGGCAATTAAATGGCGAGAAACCTGTGATTCGTTCTCACCAAATTATCGCGATTAGCGTGTAAGTNATTTTACTTAAGTGAAGTACATGTAATTTCAATAAAAAACGATGGACAGCACTTGAGACGCTTTATGGCGAATGTAGTACTAACACCAAAGAGCTGTATTTCGAGACCTCATTTACGCTCAAACCTGCAATATTGAGAATACCCTGCATTTTACCAACATCGTATATTCTTGTAGCTTGGTGCAGATTATAAAATAGAAGTACAGAGAAAACAAAACTGTAAAGCCTTCAAGACAGCTGTGAATACCCGCCTGCTGCACGGTTGTTTTCGTGGCTCTTGATTGAATTGCAGTGTTGATCTGCAGGATCATTGCTCTATAATAGCGGCTAATGCAACGAAAATTCAATTTTCTAAATAGAAAATCATACCTAATCCAGCGTCTACGCTGGTACTGCTAATATCTCCACTTGTAACAGACGACTCACTCCGCCCACTTTGCACCGACTTGATGCTCCCGCTGTCGCTGACACTGAGCAACGCTTCTCTAGACATACTCGGGCCAGTTCCAAATGTTGACTTTGCGCGTGGCTGGACGTTTCTTTGGTGAGGCAAGCCCATAGATTCCTGAAAACAGAACCCGATAAATACGAGTTACAGGATGATGTACACAGATTTATAGACACTGCAATTGCATGATATAAACATCTGTCACAGGTTAGCTGACAAATATAAATGTTTTGGATAAAAGGCGCTCGTAAAATGGTACTGCGAAGAGTATTATCAGTGTTTCCGTGCTATTGCAGAGTCAACATATGAACCATTCTATTGGAATTGATATTTCAGATAAATCTATAAATCCGCTTGGAAGGACAATGCAGAACATCAAAGAATAATAAATTATTGCAAAATTAATGGTGATCATGACATGCTGAGATTTAACTAGCAATTCTTAGAAAGTGAAACATTATTTATTGTATGGAAAGCAGTTAAATGATATCTCCTACCACTATCCTAAACCATAAATATCTGAAATGCCAGATTCTCAAGTGGTTTCACGGCTTTACATACAATGATCTTGGTTTGTTTTAAATACAGCAGAACATGGAACCAGACAAGAGCCCTCATTGGGCGTATAGAAAGTTGTAATCTTACACTCGACGAGTTTCTACTTTGAAGAACTTACTCTCATTAGTGTACTTGCACTTGTACAGTACGCTAAAACTTTCGGTGACAGAAGGTATTCTGCACAGCCCTTCACATAAGATGAAACAGACCTGTCTTATGTCCTAATGTGGCTTTGGAAGAAAGGTCTCACCGTTTTTTTTATTTATTTTCTATTTTGAGGAATCGACTGTTGTAAAAAAATAATGACCTTCGGAATGCGGTGTACAGAGGGTTATCTACAAAATATACTAATGAAGTAATTTGTCGAAAACTAGAACAGACCTACATTAAATCTGATACGAACGTGTCGTAATAGCCCATTTCTAATTTTTTGTCAGCCGTAAGATCTTGTCGGTTCGGAAATGACCTGGATGGGTTACCGCTTACCTGACTTGGTGAGGGTGTGACAAGGGCCTGAGATGTGGGTTTGAAATCTCCTATAGCTTCATATGCTGTAGAATTGCTCTTCTCTCGTAAACAAAATCTGCGGCACAGCAGAACTATAATAACGGTGACAATGATGGCAACTACTGCAACTGCTCCCCCCACTGCAAGTCCTACAGCGAAGGTCGACGCCATCTTGTATCTGAAATGTAAAAAAATTCATAATTATGTAAGCCTGTCACGTCTAATAATGCCCTGTATGCTCAGACAGTAGTGAGGAAAGAAGTTACAGCAAAAGACAAAATTACCTTCTTCGTTCAACTTAACTGTTATATTTGTTTATAACCATGACTGTAAAATTTTGAATGTAATGATATTTTTTTTTCACAAAACCATGTTACTTGTATCGTTATATTTTCTCCTGTCCTTTATAACAGAAAGAGCAATGTAGCTTTTGAATCAAACTATTAGATAATACTTTTAAACGACGATCTGAAACTGCCACGGGTTCGTCACTTCACAAAGGCAGACTGTGAGTACCCACCATCAGTGCTGTTGTTAAGAGTATAGCCTCCGCTCATATAAATTACAGAGCACACAAAGATGCTGGCGCTTATATGTACTGTATATAGCACTGCCCAGAAGGCCTAATGAACATGACACATAATAATCAATCTACCCAATGACTATCTAGGCCATTTGTCCAACCTTTCCCTGCTCTAGCTGCATACACTACTGACGTAGCACTGGCTCTCAAATATCGGCAATTCTATACTAATCTGAGCGCAGCTTTTTTTTCACACCCCTGTCCTCATTAAATACTGCCATTTTCTATGGCGAACAGTGTGCTCACTCTGGGAGCAATCGTGCTAAATAAGGCTGCATTCAGAACAGTGGACTAACTAGTCCGAGGGTCAAATATGGCCGACCCACTTGAATACTTCCCCAGGGGGAATCTCTTCAGTGTCTATTAGCGAATTAGACGACAAGCTTTTTAGTGAGACGCCATATTTGCCTAAGTTGTCTGCACATACATGAAGATGGTTTATACATTTTAAAAATTGGTTAAACAGTGGCAAAAAGGATCTTGAAACTCCACTGGTCACTTATTGGTTTATAATATATTATATTAATTTTTCAAACCAATTTTAATTTATTTATTTAGTTAGTTTATATATTCAGTTATTCATTTCTTCATTCATGCATTTGTACCGGGATATAACTTTGGAGTTTGCACATTAGACTATTTGACGGTCATCGTGCCGAACATTACAAGGTGGTTGTATCATCATGTACATGTAGTTCCAAAGACGTAAAAGAAATTTGAGGAAAACAAATGCTTCTCATTCATTTGACGTTAAATCTATCATAGAAATGGTAGAAAGGCATACCTAAACAAACGGTTTTGATAATACATTTTAATGTAAGCCGACACAAAGATGAATTAATAAAATATGTAGAAGAAAGGAAGTACATGTATCACGAGTCCCGATGCATTGTGTAGTTGTTCCAGTTGGTTGTACACTATTGTGATTTGAATCTTTTTTGTGCTATCGTCTAAACCTCCTGTTGTTTATATTTAGAAACAGGACGGCGGGAATGACAGTGAGCAAATAATAGAAAACGTCTTCTGAAAAATAAGATAATAACACTGTCTCCAGTAAATGTTTATATAACAACAAATATGTTTGGATGCATTTCAGGGAAACGTGTTGAAACATATTTTCTACCTGTTGTTTTCCTCCAACTAGCCAAATAAAATGAATATTTACAAAAAGAGTCTAAGATTGAAGAAAGCACGTGTATTTTCAACGGACACATTCAGGAAAAGAATTGAAAAAATTAAGGATTGCTTTTAGTGGCAGAATGTTTAAGCTACTAGTACATGTATGTTGTTCTGTTTGACTAAATAACGGCGTATGAATCAAACATGTTCCCCTAACTACCGTGAGGTAAACCATCTGATGGGGCGAATATTCTACCTTTGATTTTTTACCTTTGTTTCTCCTAGGAACAGTGAGGACACTGCGGGGGCGGATCGTGTCGACTGGTAAACTAATTTACTTGCAATGCATTGGAATGAAGTAAATCTTCTTCTACAAATTGAATAATATGGATTTTTGCAGCATCACACAGAAACTATTGGAACCCAGTATTGTGCAATAGCAGAAAACGTATCCTTCACACAATGAATAGTTGGATAACTGCACAAACACATAGGTCTGCAGGCAATTAAATGGCGAGAAACCTGTGATTCGTTCTCACCAAATTATCGCGATTAGCGTGTAAGGGGCAAAGACGTTATATTTTCAAATGTCAAACAACAAAGCGATTTGTGTGCTAAAACTTATATTTTCCATTAAATATTATTGGGTAGACAAAGGTGGAGATGAAAGCTGACATGCAGATCATTGTAACGTGATATCTAAAAACAACACAATTCTTTACACAGTCTGACTGGCTTAGAATATGCTTAGTAGGATCATTGTCAAAAGCTTAAGAGGTATAAATGACATTGCTTCAGTCTTGATGAGAATAAATTACAACGGAAATTGGGAACTAACAGACGTGCTATTAAGATAAGCTATATTGATTTGTGGTGCATCAGAATGACGGCTTATTGTTGAACTCAAAACATTTCAGAAAAACATACTATAAGGCAAAAGGCAAGAGGACAGGCAGTAGCCTGATGCTACGACTAAAAAAATAATACCGGTTTAATATATATTAACATTGTACAAATGTAAAATTGTTTTGTCTTTTCAAGTATAGGACCGTCGCATATCTTTATAATCGGTATGATCGAACTGAACCCAAAAGATGACATACATCCCGCATAGTAGATCCCACATCGAACCTATATCTTTATTGATTTATGAAGGCAATATGATAGTGCTGATTATCATAAGCATTATGATATTATTAGCTAGCTTACAAGGTATGATGTAGATCTCTGCACTTTAAGTATATTTCATAACAAGGTTCACCACATCAGGTGAAATGTGGAGTACCAAAGTAACCACCTCTTTGTCATCTCGATATTATCATTACTCTTAAAATACCAAACCAAACAAGCATATCCTGACATTATGTGACCGGAATCATTAGAGGTTTCCAATGTGCTTTTGGGTCACGGCGGTTATTAACACTAGGAAAATGTTAAATATAAAAAACAGCATGGCTCAATTTGATATATGACCGGTGTACTTTTCGGGACTTTTACATTGAAAGAATCCAGTTCATTGACGGATTGGGTTATACCGCCCTCACTTCTAGCTGACGTCACAGGTCAAGGACTCAATGGAATCTAATATTGAAGTGATGAATTAGTAATCAAAGACAAAATACACATACTACTGAAACAAAAATGTTGCATGTCAGTAGAACATAGCATGCTACCAACATATTTTTCGCCCCCACCTGGAATAGGCGCTCATAAAGTACGTAATGGCCCGGCCGTGCAATCGGATGAAGATGTTGAACCTTCTTGCAAGCTCGAGAATGCGCATTATTTGAATTGGTCCCTTTGTGCAATTAAGGGTAGATGTTACCATGTAGGTGAACATGGACAAGTTGATTCAGTTCTGACACCCGTTTACGCAACTTTCAAGAATTCCAATTGCTTATAAAAGTGCGTGTATGCAAAATGTAAATACAGCCATAAATAAGAATCTTTATGATCTAAAAAGACATTACCTTACTGGGTTATAATGTAGTGAGCCGTAATCTTTAATAGCTTGTCTTAAACGATACTATCCAATCTTGAATGAATTGTGTTTGAATCTTATAGGAACTGTTTACATCTGATTGAGAGTAAAAGATTACCCTTCTGGCATCAAAAGGTCAAATATAGCCAAAATCCATGCAACTATGAAAGAGTTTAACATTCTACCATCAGCCTATGCCCCAAATTTGAAAGCAAATGCTATATCAGCTAACCACAAGAGCCAACATCGTTAGTTTAAGCCCTCTTATGGGAAATCTCACTGAGCAGGAAACAGATTGATAAGGCGTTATTCCAACGTGACTTCCACGCATGATTTGCAATGGTCAATACATCGAGGACACATCAAGGAACATGCATTTTGAAATGAACAGCATTTCATTGCGGCTCACCGCTCTTCGCAAGCAAAATAGGAACCACGACCTGTAATTTTCCTGATAACCGCATTGCCGACGGACAGAGTTTATGTTCATGGTTATCTTCATTAATTTTTTTCTTAATACATACAATAGTGAAACCGTCCTTGAGTGAACCTCCGGTTTTCTTACTAACCAGAAGTGAGCGAAAGCTAGCTTAATAGGGCGCTTTATTTTTCAGAGAGCATTAACTTTTAGTCCGGTTTCTGTGGTCATATACAAAGTCCCAGTCACTTTGCTCTGCCTGCATGCGCTTATCTCTGTTGAACAATGGCTTTCAAATTTAAGACAGAACCCACATGAACTCAATGCTTGTAAATACAGTGTAACACGAGTCCTATTCTAGTCCGATCTTCACATACATCTATATTCAATAGCTCATTGAAAAAACAACCTTATCACATTAATCATAAATATATAAATATATGAATTATTAGAGGAAAAGAGATTGTGAAGGCACCTTTATTCATCCATTCCATGTTAATGCACTATTAATATTTGCACATGAACATATATGGCATGGAAAGAGAAACCAAACACAATCCATTTATTCACAAATGTTTCCACTTATGTTCAGCAACGAGCACATTCATGAAACGACAAATGCCACAGGTTCTGTATTAGTCTTTAATAAATCTCCTATTTCTTTAACTTGGAAGGAGCAAGCACATGAGATCGAATGATTTGTGCAGTTGTTTGTCTTTCAAGTCACTAAAACCGACTTACCTTTCGCTCTCTCTCTCCAGTAGTCAAAGTCCAAGCATCTTCGAGGCTGGCAGGTATGTCTTTCAGTTCAAAATATTATGGCACTTCAGTCGCTTAATGTGAACGCGAACTTTGGCTTCATTCCTTATGTACTTGAAACGCCCTTGTGTCTAAGCACTCCCTCGCATTAAATGGCACTGGTGATGCCGCTACTAACTACTCTCCCAGTGTACATGTCTGAAAATAGATAGCGGTCTTAATTCCGTCACGTAAAATTCAATATGCAAGACAGCATATCAAATGCATGCAAATATTGCTGCTACATAGTGCCAGGTAAGCAATTTTCCTAGCCAAGTACTGGTAAGAGTGTGGACTGCACGTTCATCATATAACTCAATATATATATTTATATATAAAACAACACTAACCTCAGATCTTTTACTATAGATATACCTTTTTCGTTCTCTTTCTGTTCAAGTTCTGAATTAAGCATCGCCACCATGCTTTTTGCTGTCATTTTCTTTATGAACCACCACAATTCCAGATCAATATAAATGACATTGAAAATCCGTGCCGCACAATCCAAATACTGATGTGCTCTGCATGTACAGTTATTATTTTAAGGCCTATTCAAACAATAAAACAACTAATTAAAAATTACCTTGCCTATATCCATTTATACTACAGCACCAGCGCACACCAGTAAATGTAGTAAATGTTTCTGACGTGCTCTTTAAGTCCTTCTTACCTCTGTGTGGGAAGGCTTAAAACGGTTTGGATTTATTACCTACCATGCTCTTCTATATACGTACGTGTATAGTTACGTACAGCGTGGAAAATACACGTTAGTGCAGCCAGTGACAGTTAACAAATCTGTTGCAGTATAATAACATAGTGCTCAGATTTGACAACGAAAACAGTTCTTCCGAGAAAACGAGAAGCCATTTCAGTTATTTGTTTAGTCAGTAATGCAGAAATTTAATAACCGCAAATAAGCTCATCAATTACTGGGAAAACGAAGCAAGCGCTGAGCATGGCCATGAAAATACACACGCAAATGGAACCTATCGTGATATTAATCAATCTTAAAAGACATGCTTTTTACCATTTTCCTCTCGCTCATTTTGATGGGGAATTTAAACCATTTAGACCATTCAACCTAAGAACCCTATACATCAAATCCTTATTTTAGCTCACAGTGACATACTTAGACGTTGCCTTGTACTTAAAAAATATGTTTAAATATAGTCTAAGATTAAAATACCCTAAAATTCGTAAAACTCACGGCCTTTTTGGTTAAACCTAGTTTCAACATGAGAAAGTAATGCCATATAATAAGCATATCTTTATAATAGTCTTATAACACGTACACACGTTGACAAGACACTGAGAGACACAACAATCCAAGTGGCGCGTGACATGCATATTTGCATCTTGATTAATGTCTTTTTATACATATACAAACATGTAACATGCGAAAGGTTTCGGAGACCTTTTGTACTTACGACAGCAATATATTCCTTAAAACGTATAGTAGTTATGAACGTTACATGTACCGGGCAGATCACATTGTAACAGACTTCCACACAGAATCGAATATGCTGCTACTTCCGTCTTACCGGATGCGGGTTGGCATTCATTTTAATTCATATAGCATCAGTGAAAACATACCGCGGAATTGAGGAAACCCATCATGCCATACCTATAGTCTTCAAATTAATAGAATAGCATCTCATAACATCAAATGTGCTGCAATATGCTGTTTGTTTTCATGCAATTTTTCTTGGATATTCGAAAAATAATTTCCATAAATAATTTTGTTCAAACATAGCAAAGATGAGGAATGCTAGCGCGTGACAATTAACCAGGGTGCACGCGCGCGCGCGTGCGAGAGAGTTCAGTTTATACATATACGCAATATAGCACTTGTCGATAGCTCAACTCATGTCACCACATTACAAAAAATTAATTTCCTTGAGAGCCAGTTATTGTATCTCAGGCCACCAGATGCGAGGTAGGCCTAAAAAGTCAGCAGAGAATACAAACCAGAATTAGATGGCTTACACCGGCATATAACTGCCATGTAACATTCCAAGGAACTCATCAATGTTATCTCTTGACCAACGGAATTTTTGCCATTAAGGATTTTTTTCATGCCATTCAAAACCAACATAATTAAACTACAAGAAAGAGTTGAATGAGTTGGCAACAAGTTTTTGCCGTCACTTTTGAGTGTACAAACCAGTTTTATTTCAATGTAAAATGGCCTGATTATCTGATGGCTTCTTGTGACGAGTTGGTATATTTGACTAATGAAGGATCGGGATTCATAACAATTCATTTTTTTTTTCGAAGCGCTGTCAGTCTTGAAAACCGATAGGGTGATCATCAAATTTTTTTTGAGCAGAAAAACATGCAATAGCAACCGAAGATAAGGAGGTTCGAACAGAACATAGTAAGACCATAATTTGTTGCTATGACAACGATGAAAGCCCCGGTGATAAATTGCACGACAAGCGGAAATATGCTGTTGTGTAAAACCATGTTTGTGCACGCGCGGATAATGTTATACGCTAGTGAGGGTTCGTGTGAAAATTGTTCAATATCAATTTAGCCTTTATGGTATCTTAAACATTAACGGTCTATAATTTGACCTAAGATATTAAAACTAAGTTTGCCCCGTCCAAGCCAAAGGCTAAATCTCATAGGTTAGAAGCAACATGTTTGTTTTAACATAAAAATAAAAATTAATAGCTCAGGGGCTAACCTCAAATCAATTGGACATCAAAATTGCAGTTTGAAGGGCGTATAAAACGGATAAAATGAAGTTAAGAAACAGTATTGTCCACTAACAATATCATTTTTTGACAAGAATAGAATGGATATTTTCACTTTTAAATGCAGTTTTAAGTTCTTTTAAGAGAAAAATATGTTAAGCCCTTTCTTCGAAATGATATTCTTACCCACTACACAATTTTGGTAATTATTCGTAGTTTGCCAACACAAAATTCGGTTGGTTTTGTGGACGTTTTGGTTTAATCCATACTCGTTCAGAATTCGACAACTAGCAGATTTTATCGACTTCAACAATAACAATAAGGCTTTAACCAGTAATTTTTGGGTGCAAAATCAGTTCAAAAACAAGAAATATTCATTATTCGGGTTACAGCTGCGTACTGGTTTGTAGAATACAAACGACATCGTCAAACAACAATTGGATTGGATTGGATTGCGAAAGGCAGGAAACAGCTGCCTATATTTTCTTGGAATGTGCTAATATAATTAGTGCACGGCGCACAGTCACGAAAGCAAATGTGAGTATAGGTAACAACAGCCACTCTCCTCAGTGGTGTCAAGTGACAAACAGTGTGCTCGCCTATCAGCCGGTCTATAGGGAAAATAGGGTTACGTTTCCCGGGAGCCTCTTTGCAACCCCACAAACGAAATTTGTGCAAAACTGTTTGTAAATAAAAACTTTTGCTGACTCATTGCATCATAATTTTTAGAATGATGAGTCGTATTGAATATCTGATATATATGTTTTTTTTTATCCCTCGGGCCATAACATTTAATACAGGCAACAATTTGTTACAATGTTAAAATGATTAGGATAGTGGGGTTATATAATAAAAGCGGCCTCGTTTGGCCAAATCTCGAACAACCAATATTCTTGGTCCCTTTACTTCTTTCTTGTTGTGAATGAAAGTTTGTGGTACACTGGGATGGAGGAGACATAAATAGGGTTACGTTTCCCCTCTCCATCGCTGGCACAAACCCCCAGATATAACACCAATCGGCGCATTAATACGGGCTTTTAAAAATCATTCTAATATTGGGTCCCTGATCAGACGGCATACCCAACCGGGCCTCCAAAAAGATTAAGACTCGATTTCCACAAAGGGTCCAGTGGGGCCAATATGGGTTTCTGTGCGGGGTTGGTCTGCTTATGCGCTTAGTTCGTCGTTGACAAAATAACACAAATCAGACCTGATTCAGTATTGGTATATATTTCCCTGAATAATTTTGAAAGCTAAAAATGTCAATTTTTACAATGACCCAGGTTCACAACAACAACAGCCATATTTTCATTATATATTTCCATAACGATGGGGTAAGTAAGTTTTATTAGTAAACTATTAAGAATGGTGGTTATATGTAAACGGTAGGCCTACATAATCGACTGTAATGGAATTAAAACTTAAGGGCCTATTGAGTACTATATTCCTATTTTAAAAAAAGAGCATATAAAATGACTTGCGGAAATACCACTCTAGCATTCTAGGCACAGGAACAACAAATTGAATTGAGCACGTAGAATTTGATTTTGTTAACTTAAGTAGATTAACGCAAACTCGTGGCCGTACAGGTACATGTCTCTACTAGTTCGTTCTCGCAATTCAATCAGGTCTGTTTTTAGGTGGGAGCAGAGTGGCATGGGTGCGTTTGTAGACAACCGGGTCTTAACGGTTGTACTATTTGGATTTTACTTTGTGTATCGGTATCTTTAGGCAAAACAACCGATTATATCAGATTAAAAAACATTGATGGTATTCCATTTTCATATTCAACTGTAAAAGAAAAACATCACGGTTTCCTCAACCTAAATTATTAATGTCAATATGGGGCAATTTCCACGACACAATAACATTTCTATTAGCGAGTCCACACAAATAGTGTTTATACAGTAGCACAGGAGACCACAGTGTTAGCTGAACGCTATATAGATGTGAAGTAATCTCGCATGTTGCTAAGCACGACGAGTTCTTATACTCATGTCTAGCTCATCCAATATAAACCAACATCCAATCTATGCTGTACAGCGTGGCAGCGTTTATTATTGCAACAAAAGACAGCAATATCCGAAAAACATGACAGTCATTATTTGGCTCTATTTCTGACAAATGCCAATATTTTTATTTGCGGATTCGAAGAGATCGCGGTTGATACTATAGATTAAATAACTATTCAAAACAATTTCACTATATATTCACAGATATTTTCTGGCTAATTCTGTGCACTTTTTGTCCAGCATGAATTTTGGCTACGAAATGACATCGTCACACAGAGGGCCTCTACTAGATAATATGATAAACCAGAGATATAATAGAAAGAATGTGTAAAGAACCTCAACGCTTCAAGTAAAGCCATTTCCCACAAAAATACATAATAAGCACACCGTAATTTGCCATTTACGTCATCTGCTCTCAGCACATCTTTAGATCTTCATCAGCACGGCTGATAAAACTCAAGCAGAAGCCATGCATTTACCCCTATATACATGTAATATTTTGTGACATAGGGAAGCTCGCTTAGTCGGTCATTATGGTCGTCCTTTCATAGCACATCTCTCGACACTACACTAGCACAGCTGATCACACTTACATTGAAGAGGTCGTTGAAGGGCTTTTGCCAGGCAATAATGAAAATGGGACATTATCCAGGCATGATCAACAATTTTGAAGCAATCAATCCAGTAATGTTTTTTAGACCCGTTTTTCATTTGGCTGAAACTGGGTGAGCAGTTTTATAAATCCCCATGAATTTCTCCTAAAAGTACATTTCAGCGTAGGCAGTGGCATTATTGTGCAACAAGATGCAAACTGAAGAAGAGTAAATTCTATTTTCAAAATATAGGTATAATGTTTTGCCAGAACACGCGTTACTTGCTCTCTTTAAGAGCATAGAAAATAAAGTCCTCGTTACATATCATACCTTCTTAAAACAATAAGAAAGAAATAATTTTCCTATTAAGATACTTAAATCTTATAGATTTTGTATAATTATATAATAATGCTATTTCAATTTCATAAACTTGTATTTTATTTCGTATGTACAAGGAAGTGTAGGTGGAAGACCTTAAAGGTGCAGGAAAGGGAAGAGCTTCACTAATCTCCTTTTAACGTGATTAAATTGATTTGGAGGCTAATGAAAAAACATCTAAGGCTTAACAGTAATATTTCGATTGCTGTAATTCTTCCTAACCAAGTTCAAAACTGGATTTCCATTTCCTTTTACAGTTGCAATCAGTGGCATATTTTCGAGTTGATAAATAAATTTTAGTATGCTAATAAAATTATCTAAGGCTTAAAATGAAAATGATTAAATAGTTGTAATCTTCCTATCAGAGTCCTCAAGTAAAAAATAACACATCCAGCTTTCAATGTTAATGTTGGATGTCTATGCTACTAGTACTTCTAATTCAAGTACAAGCAAATAATTCAATATGGCAAATAACTATCAAAGTTAGTTATTACTAGTATCATATATTTGATATAAATCCTTACACATCTATGAGATTTAGTGAGATCATAATGTAGCATTTTGTATTTAACAAGAAACAGGTTAAGTAGCGTGGTGGGTGTTTATAAGTGTGGTCTTTTGAAATATGATATTTGTTGTTTATGGGATTCCTATTTCCTTATGAAGCTGCCATCAAAACAGGATGTTTTTAAGTTGATAAATAATAGTTTTAAGTAACTAAGTGGAGAGTTTAAGTAAGTGGGAGAGTTATTACTGGAATCAGATAAGAATCACTTAACACCTGCCAGTTCACACACTTCATGTTAAGCACCATTTGTATGATGCATTTTGTATTGTCAGGAATTCTGTATCTGTAAAATCTCTTCCTCTCCTCTGTCTCCAAGATTTCTCAAAATGTTCATGTAGGATTGCCTGGAAAAAAATAGAGGTATACTTGTAGAATCATAAAAAGAAGAATTCCTTTACACCAAAATGCAGAGGGGTCAACAGATAGGCTGGCAGGCAGGAAACACACAATTGGGCTACCAGATTCCAGCAAATAATAATAATAATAATAATAATAATAAGATTCTTATATGGCGCCTTACATTCTATCTCAAGGCGCCTTACAATAATGGCTAATATACTAAAATCATTAAAATGACTACAATATTTTAATCATAAACTCTCATTGGAAACCATTTAAAATTTACACTACTAAAAATCAATCTTAATAAAATACATATATATATTTTAAAAAAAATCTAAGAGATATAGACAGAATTAAAAATGTGGGTCTTTAAAAGAGATTTAAAATAGTCAAAGTCTTCTGTTTTTCTAATAAAATTTGGTAGGGCACACTTTTCCACACTTTTGGGGCGTAAATTATAAAAGCACGATCTCTATAACTTTTGAGGCACCCCTTCTCTAAAACAGAATGTTCTAAAATAAAATCATTCTCTGTATTAAAACATGTGGACCGCCGTGGTAAGTTAAAACAGATAAGATCAGATAAATATAATGGTCCTTGTGAATGGATCGCCTTAAAAATAATACAAAGTACTTTAAAATCAATCCTCTGCTTCACAGGCAGCCAGTGTAATTCTTTCAGAATGGGAGTGATATGGTGTATACTATTGCATTTAATTTGACAAACCAGTCTTGCAGCTGAGTTTTGAATAACATTGCCTTGATCATTGTCGGGAATTGTGGATGGGTAACAATGTAAAAATAAAGATGTAAGTTTTAATTTTACATTTTGCAATGCTTAGAGTTCATTCTTAAGAAATGCTTAAGTTGTATCATAAACAATGTTTTCATTCAAACCTTATTAAAGATAAAAAATGTATGCTTGTTTAAATGATAATGTTACTGCACCTGAGAACTGTGTCAGCCCCTACTCCTCTTTTGGCCTCAATGTCATAAAGAGACTGGGTAAGCTGAGGAACCAGGTCCAGTACAACATCTGGATATAATACTGACACCATATCCACAACTTTTAAAAGCCGAAGTTGGTACACCTTGATATTTTTGGAAATAAAATTTCTGAGGATTTCTGTCACAGAAAACCTGGCAAAAAAAGTAAGTGGAAAATTAATCACTTAAATTATAACTGTTCAATAAATTCCCTGTGCTATTACAATTTGCAAGAAAATTTCTCTATTATTAGCATCCTATTCATGCTTTTTAACTGCTACACTTTATTTTTCCACAAAACATTCAACCACTGAAAAATGACTTTTCCTATGATATAGGTATATAGATACGATCTCAATGCAGTACGTTAAGAATGCAGGCACTATTCTCACCTTGATTCTTGCTTTTCGCATTTTTTGCAGGCTTCAAGCATGGCCTGAGTTAAATATGTGGACTGCTGTCTTATTGCTGGAACTTCACACATCAATTGGTATTCCAACATTGTCTGTAACAACACCCCTATGTCACTGAAAAGTATCAAGCAGTAGAATATGGTTGAAAGCAGAGATTTACCAACGTAACTGGCATGCCTTAGTCTGTCACAGATTCTAAACCATATATATACTGAACAAAAATATAAACGCATGAAACTAAAATGGTCAGTTGAAATGGATAATCATGAAATATGCCCAGGTTGATGGTTTATTTGTGAACTGATGGATTTGTTTTGATCAATTATAGTGGTCTGGTTTCACTTGGCCGCTCCCCGTGAGTTTACTCAAAGGTGCAGTTTTTACACCCATAAGACTAATGGAGCATGACGGAGTAGAGGTCAATCTGCAAGACCAATACTCGGACACTCTCTACCGTCTAGGCAATAAAAGGACACACCAAAATGTGTATTTCTGCCACTTGTCAACATGCCACAGATGTCTGAAACCATGAGGGAGCATGCCATCAGCATGCTCAATGCTGGCTTGTCAGTAACAGAAGTTGCAGCATGCCTGAATGTGCATCATTCCACTGTCAGCCATCTGGGAACACGCTTCAGAGACATTGGTAGCATTAGGAACCACCCTCATGCACCATGTCGCCCAACAAACACCTGTGGAATGTTCTGGATCAGAGTTTTCAGCCATCATGTTCCAGCTCTCGAAAATGTTCGCCAACTGCAAGATGCACTCCAGGAGGAATGGGATAATATCCCTTAGGCCTCTATTGACAACTTAGTGATGTCCATGCGCCGCCGGTGTACTGCTCTGCACAAATTTAATGGTGTCTGTGAACTCAGGATGTTGACCCCCCATGGTGTATTTGATGCCCTAACTCTTGGACTATGCATTTAAACTTCCCCTAATGCTCTCAAAGTGATGTCTATTTGTTGAGAAAAATATGCTGTTATTTTTGGCTATATACTCTAGATCCATATCTGAAAATAAATCTACATATTCTTTCGTGCGTTTATATTTTTGTTCAGTATACAAGCAGTAAAAGGCACATCTGTTGGACCCAAAGAAAAATTTGTTTCTGATACAAAAAAAGCTTAAAATTATCTTAGTTTTTACGCTCATGCAACCCAACATGACAGCTATTTTAGTTCATGGCCTTCCTCATCACTGCTTCATGTTAGAGAACCTATCACAGTATCTTACCCAAAACTTAGAATAGAGCTATAAAACTTACTTTGTGCACCAGGTCATATGTATAAATAAGAAAAGGTATGTAATTATGCTAATTAACTTGCAAAAACTCACCTTGCCAGAATAGCTTGGTTTGTGGTTTTTTGAAAAACTTCAGCTATGTATGTGAAACCCTAAAAGGAAAAATACATTTCAAACTTAGTGGATAATTTACAAATTTCTGAATGTCATATACTGTACCATGATCTATATGTAGAGCCTCACCCCTCTTTCTCCTTTCTTTTTCCATTCACATATTTATGGTTCTGTACGATGATCTACAGCCCCAAAATACAACCTTCTTTGTCTTCCTTTTCACATAATCATTCTTATATCTTTCCTGCCTCCAGGAACTTACCATTCCTGCATGTGTAAGTGGTGTGTTTCCCTTCAGTGTCAAGTAGTTGTCTCTTATCACTTCAAACACATATTGCCTCAGCTGCAGGGATGTGTCACTGGATGCTTTGAAAGATTCACTTAAAGAGTTCTGAAAAATTGAAACATATGGTACTAGTAAGAATGATACATTTCTGTATCCATATTTAAATCTAATTTTGAAGAATGCTTCAAAAGTTAACTTCTAAAAATTATAAAACGGGGGAATGAGATCTTACAATATATACCAAATTTAAAACACCTAAAATTTTAGAAGTGTTACATTATTCATATTCTTTACTTAATAAAACACTATGATGATAAAATCAAAGGTTAAATAAAACACATTTATTTAAGATATCATATTTTGTACTTGTTAGAATACTAAGAAGTTTAAGAAAATATTGTAACCTGCATTTACAAACAACAACATTAATTCAACTAGCACTAAGTACTTACAACCAAAGGATGCACCACAGTAACTGTGGAACCCGATGATTGCTTCTGAAAAGGAAAATACATTTGCAGGATTGAGCTGCAGATAAAGGTTAAAAATATGTAAATTAATAAGAAAATAAGAAAAACAGTATCTGATTATATCATTTGAATTTATATATATTACACATTAGCATCATTTGACTAAACTCTGCATTAACATTAACATATTTTAAAAAGTCTTACCAAAGGAAACCTATGAAGATACTGCAAGAAAATTGTCCTGAGCTGTCTCTGGATGTACTGATCTCTACGTACATCTAGCTTACCTAGACCTTGCACAAACTGTGGAAAAAATGTGGAAAAAAATGTAAATGGACAGAAAAGATTAAAGGTATGTACAAATAAAAACATATATCACACCCAACACCATTCCAGGTTATTGAAAAAGTTCTTACAGCCCTTCCTCTTTTGTCCAAAACTTAATATATATATATAATATATTAACTCTCATATATATATATATATATATATATATATATATATATATATATATATATATATATATATATATATATATGAGAGTTAATCAGGATGGAATTGTTTAAGTAACTGAAACAACTATGTGAGTCAATAATTGCTCAACACTACAAATACTGCATGAAACATAGAAAACATTTTACCAATAAAAGAAACTTACCAAATGCAAATGGTCCTTAATTGCTTGCAATATGGAAGGATTCAAAGTTTTACTTGCACTGAATAAAACATGGGGCAATACCAGGCTATCTAACAAACTTGGCAACAGACAGTCTGGCTTAGACTGAAATAGAAAAGCAAGTGACCTCAAATGTCTTTTTTCAACATTTAATTTCTTAGTTATATTAATACAGTATACAATTGTACCATACCATTAGCATATTTAACACAGGGAAAATACAAAAGTAGATTGTAAATATAAAAGAAAAACCCTGCCCTCTCCTGAAATTCTCACTTTTTTGCTAATTTAATAGAAAACCCAACAACTTTCACATGAAAAGAAAAAAATCAGCCTAAAGGAGAAACAAACTAATTCCTAAAAATGAAAATTATTATGACCAATGACAATAAAAAGGAAATTTCCCTATAATTCCCCAATATCCCCATCACAGGTGATTTGACTAAAAGTTATAATATGGCACCTACTTCTTATTATCAAGTGTCAACAAAGTGAAGCTCAGTGCCGTCATTTCTACTGCCAGTGCCTACCTTCACATATAGAAATTGTGCGCAATGTTTCACCATGTAGCCACCAATGACATAGACTGCTTTCAGGGCTTCTGGTGGTCCTGCATTCTTCAGGATGACACCAATATGTCTGGTGATGTCACCAAAGTACTCGGAAGCATGCTCTCTGAATTTGATTTTGTTCATCAGACCCTAGAACATGTAGCAAAGTATGGATGTGTTATGTACAGATTACCAATATTTGATGATTTATGAGATACATGGTTTTAAGGCACTTGGATGCCTCTCAATGAAAAAATTCTCAGTACAAAACTTGAACACTACATATAGTACCCTTTTTATGTGTAGTCATAAAGACAAGCAAGTGCTACAGTGAACTAAAGGAGAACTACACATACCTCAGTTTTGTGGTAAGACTGCCCTAGTGCTACAATAAACTGAACCAAAACAGTGCTGTAACTGTCAGATGCTTCCATTTCGACATGCTCAAATAACTCACCGACTTCTGGAAGCTTTAAGATTAACCTGAAAAAGAAATGACACTTTAATTAACAGGTGTTCTCATTTTACCAATGAGCTTGACTTGAAGATATAAGGCTGCAAAAACAATTCATGGAAATAAATGGAAATGAAACTGATGTTTGGTAAGTTATTAATTAGAAAAAAAAGGTTTTGCACTGACAATGAAAAATAAATTCATGCCACTGAGCAATGATCGAAAGACTCCATACCTGGATAGCTCCTGCATTTGATCATTGTCTTTGAACAGGTATAATGCACACTTGAACCAAGCTTGGACCACCAGAGGCTGATAGTTCTTGAGATCAGAGGACAACCGTTCAATTACTAGCTGGTTTGGTAGCATATGGTTCAGGTACCGACAACTGACACTAGATCCCAAAAAGAACCAAATAGCTACTTGATTTGTAGGGTTGTATTTAAACATACAATAAAACAATAAAATTTACATTTTAAGACACTTAGAAAGCAAAAACAAAATTTCACGAAATAACAAAAAAACATGAGTATTCTGAACAAAGAAATGACCAGTTGGTAGGTGGTTAGTTGGTATTAGGGGCTCATTTATTTCTCATGTAAGTTTTTTTTCCTGTCTCTTTTAAATGATATAACCACAATACCTTGCACTAACAGCTGCATTACAACCAAAATACTGGAAGGAGGAGAGAAAATCTTCTTTTATTCCTGTGCTGGGCCCAGGAGGTCTGCCACCATGGAAAATACTGCTATTACTTTTATAACATACTTTGATTGTAAATGATTTTCAAAATACAAAGAGACATGAAATTAATGTTAGTTTAAAATACATATAAATAATCGCACCCAGTCTTGATCAGTAAAATGGGAATAAAAAATGAAAATGAAAATGTCCAAGATTTGTACGCACAAGTTGAGTGTCAGCATTGTGAAGCTGGCAGCTACATCTGCTAGTTGAGGTGGGGGTGTCAATGTACAGCTGTGAGTCTGAACAAATTGGTAAGCTGTCACCCACAATGCATCAGCCACTTCTAAAGGGAATGAAAAATGAACTGATTAAGTTTTGGGAAGGTAGAAACTTGAGCAAATGGATGTAATTGAAATAGTTCAATTACAACAAAAAAGTTTTAATATTTGTTACTTTATATACAGTACTTCTGGTGTGCTTTCCTAAGTTTTTCTCCAAATTAAGTTTTAAAGTTGTCCCTCTCTAAAAATCAACAAAAAAGATTGCAAACACATACCTCTGAACTGTTGGGTAACTTGGTGTTGATCAGAAAGTTGTTGAGAAACTCTCCTGTAAACAATTCTGAGAAAAAAAACCTTCATCAATTCCTTAATATCGATCAGACAGCATTTTCCAGTAAACAAGTTGCAACACAAACCTGTGCTATTTTTCTGAAATCTGAAAGACAATTTTTTTCCCGTCTCATTATTAAAACATAAAACATGGTACTTTTATTTGAAATCATGTCAACGATCTATTCAAAAGAATGTAGTACAAGAAACTTGCCTATGTCTAGCCAAAACCAACTGCAAAAAATTCAACACAATCCTGAGCTCATTTTCTCTGACTGCTGAAAGGATCTGTCCCAGGCCTCGACCTAATAGCTTGTATTCTGATAGTTTTAGCTGGTCGCTAGCCTCAAAGACATCTTGGACACAATCTAGGTACATGCTGATAAAAGACCACAGTTGAAATCTTCTTGAGGATTCCAGGGTGTCATTAGAAAATTCCCTGGAACAGGAGAATAGTACCAGTATAATTTCATAATCTTTACAAATGCTTGTGTAAACATGCAAGGAAAGGTACCTTTAACATTGAACTAAGAAGAGGGTAAATGATTTTTTAAAAAAAATTGTGTTGATCTCAATTATTTTTATTAGAAGTCAAACTATTATAAAAATAAATAAGCTTTTTCTTTGTTTTCTAACTAGACAAACTGAAGATTCAAGTACATAAATATGCACTATAATTATTTGAGGGACAACAAAACATTGCAGGTACCAGCAGAGTGCATTAAATTCCTGGGCCATCTTATCTGCCAGAAAACTGACGTCCACCCCCTTCTCCTCATAGGTCAGCATGAGTACAAACATGCCCCTCCACACCACTGCCCTGTGACCATGGTGGACATTGTCCATCTGCAGCATGGCATAAAAATCAGCCATTTTTCCTGCCTGAGAATGAAACATGCAACTTTCGTAAATGCCGCCAGGATAATAAACACAGTGATATTGCTTCACATACACAAATTCAAGAAAGTATCTATATTACTACTATATTCAGCCTGTATCAAAAGTAATCAAATGAAATTTTCTATTAAAAATTCTCTCTTTTGATAATGACCTAAAGATAGCAGTCATTCTATCTTGATTATATTAAACATTTTTCATATTTTATCACATTTCACAATATAAACTGACACAGAGCATGTATTACAAACCACATCTTCTAGATCTCCAATCAGGGCCAGAGTAATAAACAGCTCAGTGAAGTTATGGAGACCTATCTCTGTCAGCTCTTGCATTCTTCTGGGGTGGAATTTTGAGTAGAACCTTCAGATTGGAGAATGTTTTAAAATAAGAAGTGGAAAAAGTGGGTCCTTCTTATCTAATTATTTTAGAAATGGAAACATGACTGGAAATAGCAAGTTTCCATTTTACACTTTAGCAAAGTGATATTACTGTCACAGAAGTTTTAATTTTTCACAACTGAAATGATTTCAAACTAAATTTTGATATCAAGCACATTTGCCATATGTATAAACAAACAAAAAGGATATTTTCTTTTTTTAGTCGTTTGTTTACCTTCCTTTCAGCTGTTTCCAGATGATATTTTTGCCTTGTTCACCAAGACTGAATGACAGGTGCTTGAGAAACAGTTGGAAACTATTCATATGATCCACCCTGAAAGAAAAAAGTAGTCATTTATATCACTCTTTACATATATACCAAGACTGATTCAAAAACTTTCAATGCAATATTCTTCAAGTCATATGGGTTTCATGTTAAACACGTTGAATGCAAATTTTGGCCCCTGGTATATGTATTAGATTTTATCTCACCTGGAGTCAGGTTTAGTAAGGTCCTTACACTTCTCCAACCAGGAGACTGCAGACTTGCTGCAACAGAATAAAACCATATCTATAGCTTGAATTCATAGTAAATAAGATAACAGCTGATGGAATCAGAGGTAAATCTTTATGTAATTCACTTGTCTTCAAGTACATAAAGTACATATACATGAACTTAAATACATTTGATTATTATGTATAACTTATGATGGAGATGTACGGTTTTTCATTTTAATACATAAGGTGCTACATTCATCAAAAATGATTTGTGCTCCATGAATTCCTTTCAAATCAAAAAAAAAAAAAAAAAAAAAAAAAAATTTACACCCATACTTTATTTTTGCCAGTCCTTCAACTCCCAAGCCTTGGATCTGAAAGTGATGGTTCTGAAAAACAAAAAATATTAAATATATTATCACAGAACATAAAGCCGTATCATATGTCTTTTACATACTAGCTAGAGAACCACATTTATTAAGTTTAACTTAATTCATTCTTTCACAAATGAAAACAAAAATAAGAAGATGAAAAAAAGACAGATTATAAAAGAAAAAATTACCAGCTTTTTATAAAAATAATCCCAAAGGTGGATGAGAACATCTATATTGGGACCCCACAGTTTGCAGAGGGACAGGGACGTCTGCATGTAACACCTCAGGTGAGCTTCATCTACCTGCTGTTCCTGTGGACAAAGACAATTAGGCAAGTCAGTGAAAGCATCAAAATACAAATATACATGTTGTAGAGAAACAACCACATTTACTAGCTAGGCTGAAGTGTTTAGAACATAAGGCTTTCTCCTGGCAGTCTGAAAACAATCGTGTACTTCTAAAAGCATTGTTTAAAATACTTATACAAGGAAATTTGTATAACTCTCAATAGAAAGAAATATAAAATGATTACATTAATAATCTTTATGATCAATAGGCATGAACCATACAACACCTCAATCATGCTTTAACATAGCTCTCTTCAATGAATCATTATATATATCACAAATAATCAATCAAAAACAAATTTATTATGTTATATCTAAAATATATGTCATCTTACATTCTGAAAAAATTGTTTTACTGCCATAACATACCCCAGAAGTTAATGGTTTCAACAAACTCTGAACCAAAAACATATAGTTGTTTTGGAGAGGATTTGTCTGAAAATAAATTTAAAAGAATAATTGCTAGGTGCAAAAACAACCTGTTATATACAGCGAGAACATGTGGATTACATGCATTAAAATAATACCTTACCATTATAAAAAGTATGCGACTTAAAAAAATAATATTCACATAATCACCATAAAGGGTACTATCCTGACAGGTGTATGGATTTTTAAAGCAAAAGAAAGCAAGAACTTGCCAGAGAAACATGCTCCCCTTCACTTGTATATGCATATAGTGGGGCCATGTTATGTAGTAACCACCAGCAGAAGTCTGTAGTGTTAGAACACTGAAAGATGGGTGGGAGCGAAAACTTGTCTGTGTCTGAAAGAGATGGAAATAAAAACAAAATTACAATTACAGCATTTATCTTCCACAGACACAAAAGTTTTCACTACTGATGGAACTATTACTTAAAGAATACAAATGTCATCACCCTGGAAATGTTAAATCACACATTAGCAGTCAAATTCACCAATCTTTAAATCACATATAATATAATGTGTATCCACTCATTCAAAATACTTTTATTACTTATTCTCAAAAATGGATTGAATGAGCCTACATTTCCAGATTTGGAAATCTTGTAAATTACATTATCACCAGGAGAAATCTACATGTACATACCCATTTCTACTTCACTGCTACATGTATAAGGCTGCTGCTGAATGTGTAAAACTTGCTGTAAAATCTCATCTAAGGTGATCCAAAATGACTGAAAAAAATAAAAGGTCATGGTGAAAATTTCAAGTACAAGTATACTGTAAACCATAAATATTTACATCTAAGTATAAGCATATGAAATAAAGTTTTATTTCCAGTTGGAAAATTGGCTGATAAATCTCAGTTAATTTTTCTTTAGGTATATAGAGATGAAACTTCATTTAGGTAAAGTATCCATACTAACATTCTTTCCCATGTGCTCCTGCCTATAATCTGTGAGTTCTCTCAACATCACCCACAGCTCTCGGATACAAGTGCAATGGAAGGGTGACACAGACAGGTACTCCTTCATGGACAACTGGGCATAAAAATGGTCAGTTTAAATATGATACCATATTGATATGATAAGAAGTTACAAAACTGCAATAAATCTGCATGAGTCTTTGTGACTTCTTTGGATTACTGTATATAATAAAATTAAAATAAACTCCTACATTAATGAACTTCTGAGTACCACCCGTAAACCCATGTCTGGATTCTACCTTAAAGAATCCAAAATTATTATAAAAATACAATACTACAGCAGTGAGTTAAGTAGTAATTTAAAAGTAGGTACTACACAAAAAGAACACATGCAACCCATGCCTTCTAGACCAACCATTATTTCATGCAAACACATTTGCAAAGAGTTGAAACAGCCGTCTGTGTTCTAAATCGATTTCAAGTCTACTGGAGTACTGATCTTTTGGTCCACCAGGGTTTTAAAAACTTCTAGCCAAAGAAAATGCTGGCCATTTAACTGGATATATCTAAAAAAACTCTACAGATCTGGCTTATAATTAACTGGTGCTTAGCGGCAGCCAGTGTTTATGTTGCAAACTGAAACTGTGCGTACCTTGCCATGTTTTTTCATGGCCAGCACCACAAGATCCCACGGTAGTAACTGCAGACACTGCTGGAATGGGTCACTGGGGTCCACAGAGTAGTCCTCAACACCAGGACCCTGGCACCATCTCTGGCCACTGGAACTTATCCCTACCGAAAAAATCTAATATATAACGTTTGTGTGTGTATGTGCGCACTCCAGAATATGTTTTTTTTAATTTTTGGGGCAAGGGTTGTTTTAAAATTAAAACACACTGTATGCTCACACTGAATCCAATGAATATTAAATTTTTTTTTGAAAATTTTGTAAATAAGGACTACAATCATTAATGAGAAAAAAAGAACATTTGCACTAATGTTTTTAAGAGTTGGTCAAGTCAAAACACACCATGTACATCAATGCAAATGCATGAAACCTAACCTGCATTGGGGTATTTAGTGGTTATCAAATGCATTATCTCTAGTACTCCCCAATGTACATCTAAATGGCAGTGGAAAATGTGGTAAGATGTGTTTGTGCTCTGCAAATTAAAGAACAGGACAAAGTTAAGCTGACTTGGTATAAAGATATTAAAATGTAAAATTGTAAAAACAGTTACAGTTGTTTTCTTAACTGATACATGTAGCTGATGTTACTTATCAGATCATTAAAGTTTGTGCAAAACAAATTATATTGTTTTTTTTTTCTTAATCATATATATGGACCAAATATTATTTGAAATAGGTTTCTCCAAAATAAGATATTACTGTATTTCCCTGTCTGGCACTGCACTGATTCAAGACACTAGAGGGCAGCTCAGTCAAACGACCAAGATGTAGCAATAAAACATGAAGATGGCAGTATAGCTGGGGAATGAACTGCTCTGCATTCATTGCATTCACATATCTGCAAATACATAAAAGTTTTGTTCTTCTCTATAAATTTTAAAAATAACACATACACAAATGCAACACACATGCACACACACGATGTACATTTTTAACAATATTAATAATAATTGTAAAAAAAGAAAAAAATGCATAATATTAATAACGATAATCACAAAAACCACTTTTAATCTATAACAGAAGCAACATACCTGCATACATAAACCTTGACATATTCAAGGAAAGTTCTAATGTAATGCCTTGCTGTCATAAAGGAGGCAGACGAACCTGTAGGTACACAAATTCCACTAACTACATGCTGTTTGGGTTCAGTTCTGGACTCATTATACCCACAGTAGCATGAATATTCTTTCAGCACAAACAGGTGATAATCTTCAAATTTTTAATCTAATGAGTGGTAAATAGGCAAACTTTCAAAAAAGGTTTTTAGCCAAAAATTGTCATCAGCAATGGAACATTCAAGTTACATGTATCATCAGACCAAAAGCTTTCCCACAACATGTAGTTATTACCACAGATATTAAGAGAATAAATCATATTTCAAAACAGAAATAAAACATCATTCAGTACCACAAATTGTTCCATCTCTTTTGAACAATGCATATACTTTATATCAGATTGAATTACATTTACCTGATGTCTTAACCAATTAACATATGAACATTCATATCTTAGGCAACGTTCACATGAAAAATCCAAATTCCAAAAATCCAAAAATCCATTGGCGGTATCTAGTGATCACGGTCTGTGCCCTGAATACCCGCAGCGTAATTAACTAGCACAGCGAGCGAGTTGTTTCCAAAGCTGTAATTAAATCTCAGTTGCACTCGAAGGAGATTCTGACACCTGGACGCATGCGCAGTAATAAGTTAGAGAGAAAGAAAATGGTTCTCTTTCAACTTTCTGATTTTAATGAGACAAGCCTGGCCTGAACGCTCAATACCACAATCCTGTCTCAGCCACTAAGGGATCTTTTGGAAAACTTGGAACATTTGTGTAACACACACTCGCAAACTACACTCGTCTTCCTCCCCCCAGATACTGATAAGTGCGAGGGTCTCTGTGTCCGTCCAGTTTTCCATTCCCTTTCCTCCAACTTGTTTTGCACTACTACTAGCCATGTTTTGCATCAGCTATCCTTGCGTCATCACAACTAAACTGATGAACTCCACAGTTTAGAGATACTACTGCGGATTTTTCATGTGAACGACGCCTTAATATCTTACCTGTCCCTAGTGACCAGCCTGTTGATGTTATAGTAGTGTTTTCCAATTTGTTCAGCTGCTGTCTTAAAATTTAAAGAATGAGAAAAGTCATCCATATTTATTACATTATAGGTGCAAGTAACTTATATAAATATAAAACTTAATAAATTTATGAATTGAAGAGAGGGTAGTGCTATTTTTTAGACCTGATATGACAAAATGTTGTATTCGCATATTCTAATGTAGCTGCAAATAAAACAATGTAATTTTTTTTTTTTTGGTTGGCTGTAGCATATTTTCACAGAAATATGTTAGTATTCTTCAAACGAAATTGCTGAAAATTAAATAAAGCCACGACTTACCTAACCAGGAAAAACAGCTTCTCCATCTGTTCCTGTAATGCTAACTGAGTAGTGAAGTAATATCCAAATAATTCACAGCAAGTAGTCTGGAAAACTGCAAAGTTTGGATCAGAGCCATGGAGAAGTCTAGATAATGAAAATAAAACCTTGCAAGTCTAAAAAAAAATTGTTAGCTCAATCATGATAACATGAAAAGGATTTGATAGAAAGAATACATTTTTATGTGTTACTATATTTGCAAAGACATATCCAGGGAGAAGGCGCAGCAGTGAGCAATGCATCCCATAACTTAAAAAAGAAAGTATAAAATGAGACAATAACAAACCCTGTTCTAATATTTGAGCCCTAATTAAAATAGCCCTTGTCTACTTTCTTATACTAGTACACATATTAATTAGCTAAGTGAGGTATGCCAAAGCATTTTATTCTTGTGCACCTCCTCCCTTGGCAAAGTTCTAGATCTGCCTGTGACTTAATATCGTTCTCTCCTTGAGGGATTGAGGAGGAGAGTATAAGTACCTTCCCAATGCATTCTGCTTCAAGTAGCCATCTGGATGAAAATCACAATTCTGGGTACTGACCTCCCCGAGGCAACAAAAACAGGAAGGTAGATCATTCACAGGATCATCTTTCAAATAAAAGGGAAATAGTATTTATGGAAAGCATATAATTAAGTACATGCATATGACGGTCAATGTCTTACAGGGATGTCCTTGCAATTACACATCAGTGGATAACCGAAATTACTGGGATAAAAAATCTACTTTAATCATGCTGTTGTAAGATATGAACATGCCTTGACAAAGGAGTCAGATAGAAAGGCCAATTCAGCAGAGATAGGTGGTTTAGCTTGGTATGTACTAGGACACAATTTTTGCACCTTGGATAAAAAATCCCATTTAGGTCATATGAAAAAAAAATGATCAAAAGGAAGATTGAAAATCCTGAAATTGGGCAAAATCAAGAAACTCTCACCCATGTTACATATACCCATGCATGTATCTTTATGTAGTCTGGCCCAAAATACAATGTGCAGTGCGTTACCCATGCCATGTCTAGACTTTCACAATAAAAATACATGTATGTACCTTCCATATGAGCCCTCTTTGGTGGAATGATTTCAGGCTCGTCCTGCTCCAGGTTACCAAAGCTGACTGGAGAGAGAGGTGGAGTCATGGAACAACTGTCATGCGGGTCAGACATGACAAACAGGTTATCTAGCCAGAGCTAGCAAGACGCTTGTGCCTGCTACTTCGTCAGAATGCTGGAATAATTTGATTTTCAACTTGAAAGAGAAGAAAACCGAGCTACATTACTAATGCAAAAATACATGTATTTAAAACAATTCAAGGTAGTGGTTACATATAGCACAAAATTCATACCTTAGCACCATTTACAATTCTGATATGTACTGGCTGTGTTAGCACAGCACAGATATGAAAATTGTCAATAGGAATGCTAATACATGAGTTCTGTGCTAGGTAGTAGTATGCGTATATGTATATACATGCAATAGCTATATGATGTACACTGTGCATGTACCTATATACAGCAGGGGCGGATCCAGAGATATTTTCTGACAGTCTCAGTGACAGTCTTCCATATCATATTTGTTGATCCATCCTCCATTTTTTGACCGTCTTCCGACAGAAAAATTAGATACCCGTCAATGTAAACTTGAAAATCTGACCGTCTTCCGGAAGACCCAGAAGATGGCCTAAATCCGCCCCTGATACATACATGTATATACCAGTATACTAGTGGCATATATGTACAAAGCACACATATGTAAAAAGCCAATACCCCTGTTTTTAGATTGATCCCACGCTCGGCTGTCACCTTGATTGGATAGTAAACGGTTGTCGTAAAATCGCTAAATGATATTAAAACCCGGTGCATAAACTTGAAAACCACCTAGAACAACATTGGACTGCCACTTTAATCCAATACAATGCAAAAATAAACTATAACAAGTGGTTAAAGCCTTCAAACCAAATGTAAAGTCCCCATATACCTCCTTAGAGACAATAAAATAGAAAGAGCTTGTGAAACAAAACTCAACCAACTTAAACATAATAATCGTAATAAAATACTGCCGGGCATCGGAGCGGCCTAAAACTTGGCACGCTTACCGCAAATACTGCAGGCTACATCATCCCGTCGCTCGTTTGTAAATTCCGTGCATGGCATACGCACAATCAAACCGTATATCCAAATTCCACCTCTGATGTTTAAATTGGTCCTCTCTAACCTACCATTACGAAAAAGAAGCCATGCCATTGGACAATGCGACCTCTGCGGTTACGTCATTTCCTGAACTGGATTGTAGAGAGGACCAATTTAAACATCAGAGGTGGAATTTGGATATACGGTTTGATTGTGCGTATGCCATGCACGGAATTTACAAACGAGCGACGGGATGATGTAGCCTGCAGTATTTGCGGTAAGCGTGCCAAGTTTTAGGCCGCTCCGATGCCCGGCAGTATTTTATTTCGATTATTATGTTTAAGTTGGTTGAGTTTTGTTTCACAAGCTCTTTCTATTTTATTGTCTCTATGGAGGTATATGGGGACTTTACGACATTCGGTTTGAAGGCTTTAACCACTTGTTATAGTTTATTTTTGCATTGTATTGGATTAATGTGGCAGTCTAAGGTTGTCCTAGGTGGTTTTCAAGTTTATGCACCCGGTTTTAATATCATTTAGCGATTTTACGACAACCGTTTACTATCCAATCAAGGTGACAGCCGAGCGTGATTGATCCCACACTAACGGTATTACTGAGTTAATTATTGAAGTTATTTTCATAAGTGCAGGGCGAAGTTGCCAAAGTAAGCATGTAAAGCCAAAATGATCGGGGGAAGCCTGCACGGTAAGTCACCCTACCTATGACATTGACCGTCATATGCATGGGTAAGCCCTACCATGATATACACTGTGTATATCGGGGTGTATATTTAGATCTATTTAGTATTATACTATACACCTTTATTTTCCCCCGAAAATACCACTTTTTGCAGAAATACAAATTAAGATTCTGTGCCTGCAGACTTACTGTAACTTAGATACCTTATAAGTAGACAAACTGTTCTATCATTTCCGGCGAGTTCTTCATGTACCCAGTTCTAAACCCGCGCCTCTAATGACCTTTACCTTGACTACCGGGACCTTTATCTTGAGTTCGCTATGTTTTGTTATATTCTGATTCATCGAATTAATGGTGCTTTTATTCTAGGCTTTCTGTAAAAAGTGATAATTTATACACAAAGGCTTGGATAACGTTTTGACTTTAGCTAAGAATAACCGAACTTCATTTTCACCGCTTTCAATATCTTCTTTTCCAACCACAAGCCTCGTTCGCACAAAGAGGAATAGCTACTTTTCTTCTAAAACGAGGTAACACTACAGAGACTACACATGCTACAAAATAGCATTTACCAGATGATGCAAGCAGTCGCCAAGTAGCCAGGTAAGCCTTGCAGAAGAAATTGCAGTATGTAACTATTACTGTTTATGCATTTACTGGTTTCATTCAGCAAACCAGCAGTTTCATTCGGCTCGTTTCATCTCATCACAATATTTACACTCTCGATCTCTAGCTGTCATTCTCACTGTATCGAAGATTTGAGCAGACAATGTCCTTGTACTAGTAGCCGTAGGCCGGTTTTCACGTTCAGATGGAAATATTTTTTAGTTCATCATCTGATTCAATGGACATGAAATTACTAGTCCAAATAATCAACCTCAGTAATATTTTTAAAATATACTGATGTGGAATTCAACATAGCAGTGTTTTGCTAACACACTCAATAGTAGGGAAAAAGGCATGCGGGTGACAGCTAGAATGTTGGCTGTCACGGGCATTTTGAATAGAACGGGGGATGGTTATATATTCGCAGTCAGTAGCACTGTCTACACGATAATTAAGATGTTTATCTACTGTAGTTGGATGAATGAGGGTGTGTAAAAGGAAATACAGAGATAGGGTAAACTATAATTTATTTAATAAATACAATAAATATAGATGGTATAAATAAAAACCAGCAAGTGCAGACATTGCAGCAGTGTTGGTATAAAAAATGCTGGCCCAGGGACTTACCGCACATGTATGCTAGGGTATAAATGATGTATGAATATCTAGAAGATTACTCAAGGTCCTAAGTTTTCTTTAGACTTAAAGGCGGGCATACAGTTGAAAAAATTAGACTTAAAGCATGCAATATATTGTATAATTTTTTTCTTGGATTTCAGAATTTTCAAAATGTTCATCTAAAAAAAATAATAATAAATTTCCAAAACCACTGAGAAAATTGTAACATGTATACCTGTTTTTGTGTTCATTATTTATTGCTTCAAGTGAAATTCACCAGTCTCCATCGCTGTTACGTACATACTAGAACTTCTTATATGTTAGAAAACATCAAGTTTATGTAGTAAGAAAATCGTGCAAACAGCTTTACTCTCTGAGGAGGGTAATTATGCTTTCTGGCCCAAATTTGTTTGAAATTGTCTTTTATCAGGCAATTTCATTTTGATAGAGCCATACTAGTATATTAATGATTAAAAAGCATGCTATTTGTTAATTATAATTTAATGGTCCGTTTGTGTCATTTAAAATGCATTTGAACAGTGTATTGTATTCTTTATACAGTTTCAGACTGCTAACAAAGTGACACACTGCAGAGTACAACAATGTCTGGTGATATATCAGAGGTAATATTTCTTAGAAATTTAAGAAGAAATATTTAACAGAATATATGAAAATATAGTGCCTTTTACAACCATTTTACTAAAATCTTATCCGTTAGAAATAATGATATATCCATCAAAAATATGAATATGAAAATAACTTACTGAAAGATAATACAGATATGATTGAGTAGGATTTGCAGATTAGATTGATGCCTTTTTTTAGGCTGGTAGATTATGGGGCGGGCGGTTCACTGGAAAGACAGACCCTGTTATGGAGCAGTTCAATGCTTCCATAAGTTATGATAAAAGATTGTGGAAGGCAGACATTCAGGTAGGTATTCTTTATAGAAAACTAACTGTGGAATGCAGTCATAAAAATATCTACATGTACATTACAGGTCAACAGTTTTGATACTTGAGAAAATGATTTTAAATTAAAAGACACTTACTGGATTCCAGTACATATCAAATAATGCAAAGAAAAGAAAAGAAAGATAGAAAGAACAAACAGCTACTGACTCATACACAAGTTTTGTACAACATAAATTCTAAAGACTGATGGTATTGCGTCATCCAGCTACAGTGAATGTGAGTGGGTTACTGATTTTTTATTGAGCTTAGTTCTTGTCACAGTCTATGTACCGTAATGGTAATTAAACACTTCCCCTCAACGTATGATGTAAGGCATCACATTTCAAGCCATATATATGTACTTTTAAGTGCAAATAAAATGAGCAACAGCATCGGCGCTTTAAAAAATTAGTTACCTAACCCACATACAGGCAGATGATGCAATACCATCAGTCTTTAGAATTCTGCTGTTTTTTTTCCCATAAATTAATTTTTTAATCATTTCAATACTTCTTTATTTTTAGAAAACTTCTATTATTGTATTAAACTGTGTAATCTTGTATCCTACATACATTTTTGGTTTTCAGGGCAGCCAGGCATATGTGAAAGCTCTGGAACAAGCTGGTTTAGTGAGTCCAGAAGAAAGGCTTGCAATTCATCATGGTCTGGAAAAGGTACACAAAGAAATAAGTAACATCCCATACTTAGTACATATTGTAGAAATGCAAGTCAGCATTTGACTCTTCAATAAAATTCACCTGTCTTAAAGTTATATATGAAGTGAGTGTGAATTCCCTATGATGCAAATAAACCACTTCTACTCATTTCTTTACACCTCAAATAATGTCAGCATGCCAAGCCATGCACCAAATTAATCACTTAATCAGCCATTAAAGAGCTGTAAAACTGCACCTTTTTCATATATCTGATAATTAATTTGACCTACTTATCTGTCCCTCTAGTTCTTAAATGTCTGCCAAATGATGTTGTATTGGTGCTTTACTATTTTGTGCTCAATTGCAGAATTATTTTAATGAGTTGAAAAACCAACTGAGGGTTATATATAGCACAGAAAGAAAGCAGAAAATATCTGTTCGAATATATTTTTTGGGAAGTGTGAACCTGAGACCTTTGGTATTTCTTTAGGTTATGCCATGTAAAACTATATTTAGCATTTGGTTGGGTTTTGTGGCATAAAATTTGACTTCAAATACATTTTAATAATAAATAGATTGGGAACTATACTAGTAAATGCATGTAAAAAGATCTAAGAATTGATGCATTTTTCTTTTGAATGAAAATGAAAAAGAAAGCTTCAAAAGTTATTTGACAATGTTTACGTATAGCAGCTGTGATAAAGTTTTGAAAATTTTATTTACATGTGCTCTTTTGTTATGGTTTAGGTTGCCATAGAGTGGTCGGAAGACAGGTTTGTTTTACAACCATCAGATGAAGATATCCACACAGCAAATGAGAGAAGGCTCAAGGTAGGACCAAGGGGGGTATTCTCAAAGCTATCGAAAACGGCCCTGATTAAAATAAATTGGTAGTATCTTAAGTTTGATATCTTGCACCTTACTTTCGATGATAGTTAATTCCAAATAATTCCAAATATTTTGATTGTTAAGATATAAAATAAGATGTTTGTCTCTTTCAGGAGCTAATAGGGTCTGCAGCAGGAAAACTCCATACAGGCAGAAGCAGAAATGACCAAGTTGCCACAGACATGAGATTGTGGCTGAGAGAACAGCTGCAGATATTGAGAAGTTTTATGGTGCAGTTGATTCAAGTCATCTGCACCAGAGCACAACAGTAAGGGGCTATTCCCAATGAAACTACCATTCCACAAAGATCAGTCCAACTCTGTGAGGACAATTGCTGAATGACATGCATGCTTGAGCAGCCCGGGGGAGGGGGGGGGGGTTCTAAAAAAAAAGTGGTGACATTTTACTTTTTTAAATAGAAATATAGTTACGAGAATATGACTGTGATGAAAATATTGATAATATATGAACCAAAACTTTTATCAGAGTGAAATATTTGGGATAACCATCCTATGTCACACTTTTTGAATGTAAAATGAAATGATCGTGATTATTTACTGATTTCAGAGATATTCACATCTTGATGCCTGGTTATACACATTTGCAAAGAGCACAACCCATTAGGTGGAGCCATTGGCTTCTCAGGTAAGGTGGACTTTACCACTAATTTACTTTTAGAAATTATCTTGTCAAATCAAGATTACTTTCTTGGCTCCACTTTGATTTGTAATATGGACTTGGTCAAGCAAGTATTTTCCTCATTTTACTAAAGTTTTTTTTTTTTTTTTTTTTTTTTTTTTTTTTTTTTTTTTTTTTTTTTTTTTTTTTTTTTTTTTTAAAATTTTTTTTTTTTTTTTTAAAAAAAATCAAAATTTAAAAATCCAAAATTGGTTTTTTTTTTTTTTTTTNCATTTCTGCAAAAGTAAGTGATTTTTTTTTTTTTTTTTTTTTTTAAAGGTTTTTTTTTTTTTTTTTTTTTTTTTTTTTAGTTGTCATTGACTTTGTAGAAACTTCATTTTCTTCTTTACAAAAAATCAAAGATGTACAATGCCAAATTGAGTTCCATTTTCTTATAATTTGATGTTTTACTTTGAAAGTAGGGTATTTTTTACCACTATTTTGGCCTGTAAAACATGCTGTATATATGTGGAGGTCTGCTTATTCAACATCTTTTGTGGCTTAAAAGTTTGACCTAGTTTTTATTTACACCTTCAGCTATGCTTTCATGCTGCAGAGAGATGTTCAGAGACTAGACCAGCTCATGGACAGAGTGAATGTCTTACCTCTGGGATGGTAAATATGTCAAAGTTGTTTTAAGAGGTGAACTCTTGTCCTATCTTGTTTATTCCAGACATTATGTTTTCCATCAATCCATTAATAATTTTGAGTTAAAGAAAATTTGTTCCCAAATCCCAAATCTTGTCATTTTAAACTTTAAGTTATATACTTGAGCTTGATTTTTTCTGTTCTTGAAGTTACATGATTTAATCTTTATACCTGTAAGTCATTTACTGGTTATTTATTCCTTGATTTTTTCCAGTGGTGCTTTGGCTGGCAATCCATTCAATGTAGATAGACAGTTGCTTGCAAGGGGTAAGTTGCATTTAAGTTTGCTGTAAACAGATTTTGCAAATAGAAGTCTGAAGATTGCACTTTTGCAAAAGCTAAATGCAAATTATACAAACAAAGGAAATTTTTCACAATTTCAGATTGCTCATATGATACAGTAATTACATTATTTCATCATTATTATTTTATGTACTACTATTACTATGGTTTTATTTTGTAGAGCTAAACTTTCCTGCAGTTGCCCTCAACAGCTTAGATGGAACGAGTGATAGAGACTTTGTAGGTATGAGATTGCAGTGCTTTGTTAATGCTCTCTTTGCTAATTGTACCTGAAATTGAGCAGTTTTGCCTGAATATTCAGTGCCTGGATATTTCCCTGCTTGTTATTGAGACACCTCACAGAATAAAAGTTGATGTGGAGCATTTTGATGGCATGCAGTTTAAGACAATTGGTGTCATTCTTCCTGTATTTCAGCTGAGTTTTTATTCTGGGCATCTATGACATCTGTTCATCTTAGCAAATGGGCTGAGGATCTGATCATCTATAGTACAAAGGAATTCAGTTTTGTTTTACTGGCTGATGCATATAGGTACGATTTTTATTCTGAGAATATGTATGAAGCATTAGTGAATTTATTTTGGTGCTGTTTTGGACTGTACTATTGTAATTATGTAATAAATTCAAACAGCATGAAATTTTTCTTCTAAAAGTGTTTTGTTAGTGATGATTAAAATGTAGATTCAAAAATTGAAAAAGTAAGCTGGCTTTGTGTCAGAAAGTACAATATTGTAAGTGTCTGAAAATTATGATTTTGAAAAATACATGTATTATTTGAAAAAGTGAGGCGTTTAAATTTTTAAGGAACTGAGCCCTTTCTGATTAATTTTGATGAGATGAAAGAAATCATAGTGATTTTTTATGTTTAAGTTTTATAATACCTGAATCTTTTTCGTAGCACTGGGAGTAGTCTTATGCCACAGAAGAAAAATCCTGATAGCCTTGAACTCATCAGAGGAAAATCAGGCAGGATGTATGGAAGGGTACTTATTTTCACTTTCTTTATAAGTTGTGTAAATACATAAAGAAAGGCATTAAATGTCTCATCTTTTTAGTCTGTGCCAAAAATTGTTTAACCTGATGGCCCACTTACTCAAGGCAGAAATAGCAGCTAGTAACTGAAGAAATTTACAAAAAATCACTGGCCCCCATCTTCAGACTCACTGGCATTAATAGTGTGTAAATTTCAAACAGTCATTAATATTATGGTGAGTGATGTAAAGAGAGGATTTGTACGTTTTGGTATTTTTTATTGTTGCCCATTGGTAAAATGTGTGTTATTCTTGATTGTTTCAGTGCACCAGCCTGATGATGACTTTGAAAGGACTTCCCAGTACATATAACAAGGACTTGCAGGTAGAGTCTTACAATTTGAAAGGAGAAACAAGCAAACCAATGAATCAGTTATATTGCAAATAGATCCAGTTATTTATTCAGTGTCGATTGTTTAAGCACCATTTGCATAAAAAAGGGAACATCTTCTGTAATGAAAAAAATGTCTTTTTTAGGAAGACAAAGAGGGCATGTTTGATGTTTGTGATACCATGACTGGTGTACTACAAGTGGCTATTGGAGTGATCTCAACATTGAAAGTAAGTTTATGTGTATGCATTCGTTTTCTTTAAGTGCATATATATATATATATTCACTATATATATATATAATTTTCTTTTGCATCCTATGTTGCACTAAGGGACCGTAGTGAACGCAGCCTAATATGCTCTATAAATAGTCTATAAAGATAATTCTATTCTTTACAGGTAAATCAAGAAGCTTGTCTAGCTGCCTTGAGCCCAGATATGTTAGCAACAGATTTAGCGTATTTTCTAGTGAACAAAGGAGTAAGTACTATTATTAATGATTTTAACATATACCAATAGTATTCAGGATAAGAATGAGACACATTTTAGATAACTAACACTGTAGCAGCTGAAATAAACGTCCAAAATTTGCAAGACGGTGATATTTATGTTTCTAAGGCTTTTTATTTTGAATTGAATATTCAGGTTCCATTCAGAGAAGCTCATAGTCTTTCTGGAGAATGTGTTGCCCTTGCTGAGAAGAAACAGTGCAAGCTGTCTGAGCTTTCAGTGAGAGATTTTGAATCTGTTAGGTAGGTGTAAAAAAGGAAAATTGTTTTTGCAGATGAATAATATTTTAATGCTCTTGCCATCCATCCTGTTTACACTCCAATTGTTAAATTCTGAAATAATGTTTTTACAGTTAATGTGTGTGTGTGTGTGCATGAAAATAGAATGCTACAATTTATAAAACTGCTGTCGGTACTGTTAAACATTTGTTGATTGAGTAGTCAATATATTAATAAACACTGATGACAAGATACTAAAACATTTTTTGATATTTAATATTGCAGTGCATCATTTGATGCCAGTGTGACCAAGGTGTGGGACTATGAGAACAGTGTTGAGCAGTACAGGTCCATTGGAGGCACAAGTAGAGCTAGTGTCCAACAGCAGATAGCTAGGCTGCAGGTGTGGCTGGCTGAACAGCAAAATGTCACTGCTCAGTAATGGTCACTAGAGACAATGCCAGCAGGCATTATTATTATTATTATTATTATTATTATTATTATTATTATAAGATATGATGGTGCCTAGCACCAAATATAGTACCCAGTGCTTTTTGGGTGATAAAACACTGCATAATATAAGTGTGATATTGTGTAAAATCTCTAGAGGTACTGGGGTGGTGCTTTTCAAGGTACTTGACATTGTGGATGGTGTTATTTTGTTAATGATACCAAGTAGATTAGCCTGAAAGAAGTACAATTTAAACCTACACGGCTTTGTATTTATTTTACTATGGGCTATATTGCACAGCATAATGACTGATATTTTTCTTTTGATGAAATATTGTTAAAATGATCTGGCAATTTTAATTTGGTAACCTACTGCATTATTTCTGTTGAAACATTTTTATGAACTTATGTATTTTATTGGAGATATTCTGTTTTTATAGTAGGTGCTGAATGTTATGTTTTCTATGTATCATGTCCATATTGGGACAGTGAGCAAGCGATGTTTTTGTTGGATATTTTTTGGAAGAAAATATTGGTAGCTGCAAGCTACTTGTGCTTATATTTTACGCTTAAATGTTTGTCATTTGCGAGCGCAGGCAAACCCCCTATGGTTAAAGAGTTTAATGGAAATGCTCTAATCAGTATGTCCTTTCCGTTACCATAAGTTGAAATTGACTGAGGCAAACTGATGATGTAGAGGAATTCTTAATCACAGGGTGGGGATCGTAAATCACTTGAAAAGTCCATAAGGACATTGTATTTAATGCTTGCAGATGTTACTGTTGATCAATGTAAAACAATATATAAACGTTAAGTTGAAATGCCTTGTGATAGAAAACGCATTTGGAAATATGTTTTTCAGTTTGTAACAATTAGATCTACGCAGTTGAAGACGCAAGTTGAAAGTGCCTCCCAGTGCACTTTCTCAGTCAATTGCTACATAAATGTATTTGTTTTTATAAAAAGCGGACCAGGTCACTTGCAACGTTATAAAGTCGTGAAATCGAAGAAAGAGGCGATATCTGGATATTGATATTTCTTCACACCTGTAACCCCATGTTTTAATAAGTCAGTAACAGTTCCTTGCGCTTGGTAAAAATGATTACCGTTTGTGTAAAACGGTGGAAATATTTTCAGTTGTAATGTTTTGGCATGTTTGCTTTATATAATTATTCCATTCTTATTTTGAATAAGATGTGAATAGGAAAGCGCGTGTTTTGTCTTTTCCATTAAAAGTCGCGAATATCGACCGTGAGCACGTAAAAGAAGTGGCAACTGTTTTTAATTTGGAGCAAATGATGATTTAAAAGGCTGTTGGGCGGAAAAGTGAAACAAAAAACTTTGAATGTCAGAACGGATTCATAAACTATTGGAAAGTACGGGGAAATTGTCGTTCACCTCGGGGAAAATCCATTTTATGGTACTTTGCCCGCCTAAATGAGGGTTGTCATGTGTTTTAGGTTGTGTTCTCTTAAACATAAAAATGTTTAAGATGGATGGATTTTTGATACCATAAAACTATATGACATAAGGAAAGCTACGGCCGGTGAGCATAAGGTATTAAATCACAGCAGTCGATCAATGCAGCGGTGCAGCACAGCTACCCCAAACCTGCATTCCAAGTCCCCTTGTTCTTCCATCTAACCCCTATCCTGATGCAGCAGTTTCATATTATTATCATCTATTATTTTCATCTATTATTTTCATCTATTATTTTCAAAAACTTATGACTTCAACCTTTGATAAAACACCATGGAGCTTGAAAATAATACCGCGGGTTCATTACTGCATCGACCTTTACCTGTATAGACCTATTTAGTAATACGATCGAATTGAAGTTTTGTGTGAATGCAAAGCTGTGTAAGGCGGCCTGCCAATAACAAAGGCGTGGCGTTGTTGTTACCCTGATGATTGTATGCTCGGTGCCCCAGCTGGTTTACATACGGGGCTTTTAAATAAACCCGTCCATGGAGTAGCGTCGTAACAGGTGAACTGCTCAAGAGGACTGGCAAACGCTCAGAAATATTATTCAGGTGGACGACATGATGGTGTCGCACGAGCAGCTGGGGTTGGTTGACTGACCACAAACCAACGGTTGCACTAATTTGACCAAGTGTTTCCATAAAATGGATTGTTAAAGACGGCATATTGTACGGGAAGATCAGGAGATTTGATGCAGTCCCTAAGATTCTACATAGTGTGATCTGTTGATGCCAAGGTTAGTTTGTTTGGGTGGTGTCGCAAATCCTAGAATGATGGAACATTTACATAAGCAAGGGGTCCACATGCAGTCGACCTTGCATTACATTCAGTGTCAAATCTGTCTGTCTGTCCTTGAAGGTCTGTCTCAGATTTATTGCGATACCTGTAAACCTTGTTATTGAACCCCATTTTCAAGATCGAACAAGACAATTTTACAAATAGTAGGAACCAGTCGACCTTAGGCCAACCAAGGATATATTTTAAAAGATAAATCTAGAGAGCGAAACACCCTTGGTCTCCCAAATATTCCGAGATTTGTTTACGGGCGTGGTGTCTGAGTCATCAACAAAGTTTTGTTCACGGGTTCAATAATGTCTTTATTGGCGCACATGTTCTTGTAACCCATAGCGGGAAAACCTGAGCATTTCTGACATTAAACCACAGTTCGATCGATGCAAGTACGAAAACCCATGTTCTGAGTTAAGTGCAGATCTAATTCATGTGCGCACTTGGTCAAGCGCCTTTGAAGTTATGCATTAATATGCCTTCCCAGTGCACTGTGCCATTATGTCGTCATTATAAAGCTTTTATTTATTTACTTAAACATGTTTACCTGTATTTTGTCGTCATTATAAAGCTTTTGTTTATTTACTTAAACACATTGTCCTGCATAGATTTTTGACTTGTATATGTAAATGTCACGCTTGCATAGATTCTGTAACACAAACTTAGCAAACGATACTCAACTATCCTCATTTATACTTAACTATGTATGTATGTGAATACATGTAGGTACACTTGTATACACACAAGTAAGCTTGTTTAACTGTTGCCAACTATCCGTACTTTGTACAAGTAATTAATGATGCACTTTCTAATCTCTTTCGAAAACATAACAAATATCAGTGTAGCGCATTAATTTTACATTGGTCTTTGATTGGATATTGGAATAAAATGACCTTTTTCAGAAGCCGTACGTGTACCTTATATTGGCTTCGATCTTTAAATGTATATGGGAACCGCCCCGTGCAAGTAAAATGGATTTCTACCATGCCTAATTAACCGCAATGCCTTTTTTCAGATGAAGCAAGGGCGTTTTTCTGGGATTACATTGGTAATTTTTCTGGCACTCGTCCCCATTGCTGTATCACAGACAGGTAAGTTAGTCAGATATTATATTTCCTACACGATAGCTTCTGAAATAGATGCAGTCAAGAAACTTTAATTAAGCGATAACACCCCCCCACCCCGTCTATTGAAAACATTCAAAAACACGTAAAGTCCATAACTTTTTTTACCCTTCTGTATATAATAAAGGTTATTTTGATTTTATTCATTTCATCATAAGACATTATTTGGTCATTTGTTTGCGACACCCTAAAGGCAAACGCCAAGATACCAGGAATTTTCTCTTTATTAATTCTTTTACCAGGGAGCAATGCGGGACGACGGTTTGCTTTGGCATTTATGGAAAACAAGATTGAAAATCCAACAAACCAACCCTTGGAATTACACGTTTCTACAGAAAAGTCTAATGTCCAAGTTACTGTGACAGCCCCCAAATATACTGGGACTGCTATAAACACTACAGTGTCGCTGAATAGTCATGAAGTCAGAATCATCACCATACCAAATACTCTTCGAATGGAAGGCTCAAAAGTGGAAAACAAGGCGATCTTAGTCGAAGCAACAGACGATGTTGTCGTTTATGGAATAAATCGAGAGCCATTTTCAAATGACGGGTTTTTGGCTCTCCCCGTCACCGCCCTTGGTCGTGATTACTACGCTGTGACCTATAGTCCACCCACAGTGAAAACAGAGCTCGGTGTCGTCGCAATCCAAGACATGACATTTCTGCAAATCACCTTGCCATCAAGAGCTGGTATGGTAGCCGAGTTTGAAGGAACTAATTACACCTCAGGTCAGGTGATATCGCGAATATTGAACTCTTACCAAACACTTCAGCTTCAGAGTTGGTTCGATTTAACGGGTACACACATTCACGCAACAAATTTTGGCACGGGCAGGGACATTGCGGTGTTTAGTGGGAATATACGGACCAGCGTTGGGACGGGTGATTCTAGAGACCATTTAGTCGAACAGTTGCCCCCTGTTACCGCGTGGGGCGACACATTTGCTGTGGTACCTATTCCTGGCAGAACGTCGATAGGCGATTTGATAAAAATCATCGCTAGCGCCGACAACACCATTGTAGAGACCAGAGAGTCCAACATCGCCAGACGCATCCATTTTTTCAGTAGAGCAGGTGATAGCAAGAATATTACAACCAACCCGAATAGTTACCTTTACATAAATTCAACTGCTCCAATATTAGTGACACAAATTGTATTTAGCCAGTTGTCCTCCAATGAGCCTGCCGATCCGTCCATGATAGTAGTGCCTCCAATGCAACAGTACCAAACCAGCTATTCTTTCACAACGCCAAAATATTCAGGAGCAGTAGCGAATAGCGACTATACAAACTATGTATTAATTGCCGTCCATCGCAGTGCCAAAGACACAATATTGGACAACAATGAATGGCTGAATGCAGCTGGATTAGTGATATGGGGAAATATTCCTGGGACTGAGCTAGTTGGAGCTAGTTTTAATATTTCGTCCGGTCGACATTTTATTCGTCACTTTACCTATACTACGCCCTTTATGGCGATATTGTACGGGACCGCTGATAGGGAGTCGTATGCCTTTCCTGTGGGCATGAAGACTGGTGTGATACAACAGCAACAGGTATATTGATTGCTTATATAATGAATTAAGTCAATCGATCACTAATTTAGTTGATTACTAGTATCATGGTATTTACATGTACAATGCATTTTCCATGCACAGACCCACGTTCAAAGCTAAAATACCTGAATGAATTCCAGTTTTCCTTCCTTACGACAGAAAATACAGAAATCTGTAGGTCACACATACAATACGTAATACACACGTAAGGAGACGTTATTAAATTTCAGGTGTGCGCGGCACCGCGAATGGTCCCGGGCGACTCCTCTGACAATGACTGTGACGGTCAAATGAATGAAGAGAAGTGTGACAAAATGGGTGAGACACGCTCGGCTGTCACCTTGATTGGATAGTAAACGATTGTCGTAAAATCGCTAAATGATATTAAAACCGGGTGCATAAACTTGAAAACCACCTACAACAACCTTGGACTACCACATTAATCCAATACAATGCAAACATAAACTATAACAAGTGGTTAAAGCCTTCAAACCGAATGTCGTAAAGTCCCCATATACCTCCATAGAGACAATAAAATAGAATGAGCTTGTGAAACAAGAAAAATCCAGTTCCAACATAATAATCGAAATAAAATACTGCCGGGCATCGGAGCGGCCTAAAACTTGGCACGCTTACCGCTAATACTGCAGGCTACATCATCCCGTCGCTCGTTTGTAAATTCCGTGCATGGCATACGCACAATCAAACCGTAAAAAACAAATTCTCGGGGTGTCGTTGGCCAGGTCCACTCTAACCTACCATTACGAAAAAGAAGCCATGCCATTGGACAATGCGACCTCTGCGGTTACGTCATTTCCTGAATTGGATTGTTGAGTGGACCTAGCCAACGACACCCCGAGAATTTGTTTTTTACGGTTTGATTGTGCGTATGCCATGCACGGAATTTACAAACGAGCGACGGGATGATGTAGCCTGCAGTATTAGCGGTAAGCGTGCCAAGTTTTAGGCCGCTCCGATGCCCGGCAGTATTTTATTTCGATTATTATGTTGGAACTGGATTTTTCTTGTTTCACAAGCTCATTCTATTTTATTGTCTCTATGGAGGTATATGGGGACTTTACGACATTCGGTTTGAAGGCTTTAACCACTTGTTATAGTTTATGTTTGCATTGTATTGGATTAATGTGGTAGTCCAAGGTTGTTGTAGGTGGTTTTCAAGTTTATGCACCCGGTTTTAATATCATTTAGCGATTTTACGACAATCGTTTACTATCCAATCAAGGTGACAGCCGAGCGTGGGGTGAGATATGAAACTATGGTTATGATATTGGCGTTAAAACACTAAAAGCTTTAATGGAACGGCATAGATAATATATTTTTGAATAAGCTATTTATATTACTTGAGATTATTTTACGAAATAATAGAAAACTATTACATTTCTTGTTGCTAAATTTCAATGTAAGTCTTCTTTTACTTTATTGCAGATAATGATAACGACGGCAGAGTTGATGAAGACTGTGCAGGTACGTGTCCTGTTTTATAAATTTGAGGAAAAGTTTGGGACGTAAAGTGCGATAAATCAGAAAATGTTCCTAGCAGAATTGTATTTGCAATGACAGATCTTATGGCGTGAAGGTTTTTAAGTGCCCGACACTATAAACAGGCCGAATTTGCCCAATCCAAATTGTATTTTGTATCATAGTCGATTTTATGTATGCTGACTATTTAGATTATAATCTATTAAAGCTTTTCGATTTTTACTTTCGATTCTTCAATTACGCGAAAGTCTTCAGCTTATTCTGATTGATTATGAAACTAAACAAATAAATCTTTATCTTTTTTTTTCATTTGAATGACCCTCTTTTTTTCAGCTGCAATCGATGCCACGGGCAGGGACTTTGTAATAATGTATTTGAACAATATTGTGACAGAATACTCAGATTATTACGACCTAGAGTTGTTTATAGCGACATTCTCCACCCAAGCAGTTCAAGTGGAAGTGAGGACTCCAAGATTTGTATACCCTTCCGAAAGCAGATCTGCGACAGTCAACCCCGATCAAGTGGTTTCAATCCCCATATCTGCTAACTTACGCAGTGAGGGGAACGATGTCACCACAAAAGCTGTCCAAGTAACGGCCACTGGAGATATATCAGTGTACGGTGTCAATAAAAAGAAGTTTTCTTCAGACGCTTTCTTGGCATTTCCAACAGATGTTTTAGGAACGGAGTACTTCACCGTCAGCTATTCGCCTGCTACCATTGCTACTGAATTTGGCGTCGTGGGTTTGCAAGACGGGACAACCGTAACGCTGGAATTTCCCTCTCCCCCTGGCCAGACTATCAGTGTAAGTCTTGGTGGTCGAACTTTCAGCAACGGCGACATGTATCAGCTTACAATGAATAGATTTGACACGTTGCATGTTCAGAGTACTTCAGACCTCACCGGAACACGCATCACCTCATCGCAAAACGTGGCGGCTTTTAGCGGAAACGTTAGGACCAGTATTGGGTCTGGGAATTCCCGTGACCATCTTTCGGAACAAATTCCACCGGTGTACGCATGGGGAAGGGAGTTCGCAACTGTGCCAATACCTGCCAGGACCACTGGCGACTATTTTCGTGTCGTTGCTTCGAGAGACAACACCAACATCCTGCTGCGATACACCAGTAGTGGAGGGGGCAGCGTTTCAAAAGAAGCCGTGACCATTACAAAAGCAGGGGGGTATTTCGAAAAAATCGTACCATCGACCAATTATGTTCATCTCCTTTCAGACAAGCCTGTCTTATTAGTTCAGTTTGTTGCCAGTCAACTCTCGGAGAGCGAACCTGCCGACCCGTCCATGATAATCGTACCTCCCATGGAACAGTATGCGTTCAAATATAGTTTTAGTACTCCTGTTTATTCTGGGGGAGTGGAGGGTGGAGGCTACACACATTATGTCCTAGTGGTATCACCTACGGATCAAATTAGTGGGATTCTGTTGGATAACCAAAATTTAAGTACAAGCAAACCTGGTTTGACTTGGACACCTATTGCCGATACCACATATTCGGGGACATTTTTCAACGTTGAAAGCGGGGTTCACCATATCCGGCACAGTTCAAATGGAGTAGCATTGATGGGCATTTTGTATGGTAAAGCGAGCAAGGAAAGCTATGGATTTCCGATTGGAATGCAGTTCGAAACAATAGCCGTTGTAAGTTAAGTTTCAACATGCATTGACATCTGAACGGCAATTAAATTTGCTGTTTGCTGTAAAATACTAAAACATTGATGATGATTATTTTCACGGCAAAAACTTTTAAAATCCAGACATTAAATATTGTTTCCAAACACAATTCCGCTGCATAAAGGTTAATAGATCGTCAGCCGTATATAAATAATTATGGGCTAATATATGGGCCGATATTTTTTCCAGAGCTGTAACGCACCCTACATGGTTCCTGGTGACGGGTATGACAGCGACTGTGACGGTACGGTGGACGAGGAATACTGTGACGGAGTTGGTGAGTCACATCATTTCAACACGGAGCTTGATCCTGATTTTTTTTTAAAGATGAACTTGTTTATAGGCTACTTAAAGAATTTTGCCAATGATTAACGGTTATTTGAGTGGCACAAATGTTATACGTATACGGTATGTTTGCCTAGGTAGGCCTACATTAACTTTTGTCACATGCGGCGATATCTTTTAAATCGCAATTATTACGTGTACTACATGTAGCAGTAGCTATTACTTATATTTTTCTTTATTGTAATGTAATTATGTTGCAGACAATGACAACGACGGCGATACAGATGAAGACTGTAAAGGTACGTTAAATGATAAGGCTTTCAACTTTCTTGTCATTTTTAGAAATAATTTTCTGTGTGATTTCACAGAAAAAAAAATCGACAAAGGGTTTCATGAAATATAACTTATAAGCTCTACTCACTAAATATACTTATACTTTCAGAAACCGTGGCTTCTAGTGGACAGGAGTTTGTCATAATATTTATGGAAAATCAGGTGGACGTCGCACGAAACTTGCCGCTTGAAGTCTACATCGCTAACACTTACTCAACAGTGACTTCTCAGGTGAATGTAACGTCACCAAACTTTACACCTGCCATTGCCGAAACCGTCACCGTTGGTCCAAATGAATTGAAGAAAGTCAGTCTTGGAAGGGCGATACAAACAACTGGAACTGGTATAAACTCCAAGGCAGTTCTCATTCAATCATCCCATGATGTGAATGTGTATTCGATCAACAGGGAACTTCATTCGTCTGAGGGCTATCTTGCCTTACCCACAGATATCTTAGGGACGGACTATTACGTAGTATGCTACTCTTCGTCAGTTATTACTAAAAACTGCCAGCTAGGTATTGCTGCGTTGTCGTCAACGGGGTCAACGACATCGGTGACGATAATTTTGCCTAACAATCCGGGAAGTCCGCTGAATCTGACATACAATTCATGGACTTATAGAAATGGCGACACCATTGTATTGAGACTTGGTAGCTATCAAACTTTCCAAGCTCAGGCTTTTGGGGATATGACAGGTGCCCGTGTTTCATCAGACAAGCCAATTGCAGTATTTAGTGGTAACATCCGTACAATCGTAGGTAATGAATCAAACTACCGTGATCATTTAGTTGAACAGCTGCCTCCCGTTAACACGTGGGGTCAAGAATTTTTCACCGTCCCCACACCTGGTCGAACTGTAGGGGATATATTCCGTATCGTTGCAAGTAATGATGGAACCGTCGTCACCGTTTCTGGAAATGGCAACGATGAAACTGTAAATTTGAACAGAGGGGCATTCGCGGAACGGTCATTTCCTTCTAATGTTTATACGCATATGACATCTACCCATCCTATACTGGTGGTGCAGTTTACCAAAAGTAAAGCTACGGCAGCGAGTGATGTTGGTGATCCATCAATGGCCATTTTGACTCCAGCCGAACAGTGGCAGTCTGAATATACCGTCACTTCCCTTCAAGAATCAGGGAGCTCAGGGATCTCCTACACCAACTATGTACTGGTAGTCGTAGAGGCCGCGCAGACAGGCAATTTGTTGCTGGACGGTCAAGCTCTCCCCAGCACAGTGCAGTGGACGCCAATTCCTGGTACCTCATATGTTGGTGCAGCCATTCAGCTACCCAGTGGGTCAATGAGGCTTACACATGCTCAGGGCAGAACGTTTATGGCTACAGTTTATGGAGCAGGGGATATAGAAAGCTTTGCCATGTCAGCTGGTACCCGTTTGAAGACGTTAATTCAACCAGGTAAGCGTTGTAAGCGTTATAATGGATATTTGGATATTTTTTCTTTTGCTCCAAGAAACATTCCTTCCATTTGTACTAGAAAACGCAGTGATCACACCGTTTTTGATCCTTAAGAAGTCATCCCGACAAGTCTGCGTTTTTTTACAATAGTCCTTATGGCAGCATCTTTGATTCATGGATAAAACACATAATACTCAAAGGTATTTTTACCTCTACAGAGTAAGCCTGTACGATTTTGTTTTATTTGATTCACGCATATTATAGTAATAATAATAATAAATAAATTAATAAAGTGATGATAAAATGAAAGAAATTAAAAATGATAAAGATTAAATCTAGAATAAAAAAGAAAAAATAGACGTGTTTAATGCCGGCGTTGTTATAGGCTATGTTGTTTCATTATAAGCATCCTATATATAATATATATAATAATTACAGTAAATGGAAACTGGGGCGCGTGGCAGGCTTGGCAAATTTGTTCAGCAACATGCGGCGGAGGTAGCCATTCAAGGCAACGAGTCTGTAATAATCCTGCCCCAAGCAACGGTGGTAGCTCATGTATCGGGAGTAACTTAGAAGTAGAAATCTGCAACACTTTAGCATGTGCAAATGGTATGTATGAAGTAGCAGATCAAGTTAGATGTGGATATGTGTATTCTGCCAAAAATGAAAACATCTTCTCAAGAAATCATTTCTTTTAGTGGCCGCAAAACAACACAAAGCAGCAGTAGACCTACAGCTGACCCGAATGCATAATGACTCAACAGACACATTCCTAATGCTAGTATCTCAAACACAATTGAAATGTTTAAAGTACGATACCGGCATTTTTAAATACCTTTGTAAATCGTATTTTCTTTGCCTACATGTTCTGAAAATCTACATATCTCTCCCAATTTGGAACTTTCGAGCATTTAAATCCCTCAAAAGGCATATGTCGATAGCCTATTTCTTCTGAAATTGATAAGAAGGCGTGACTCATAAAAAAGAGAAACTTGATTATTTTTGGAGGAAAATTCAGTTCGGCAGGACAATCCTTTAAAGAATTGAGTTAATTATGATGTTGCTTTTAATTGTTACATTACTACTGCTCTAGTTGATGGGAACTGGGGTCAGTGGGGCAGCTGGAGCACGTGTTCGGTCACCTGTGGGAGTGGACAGCAGACCAGAACAAGAGAATGCAATGATCCACCTCAAAGTGGCTCTGGGCAACCTTGTCCATCAAGTGACCCAAGCTCTGAAACACAGAGTTGCACACAGTCAGCCTGCCCAGGTAGATTATGAATTTGATTTCAGTTTATGTTCAATTGCAGTATAATGCTACAAGTGCTTAATTAGCCCTGATAAATACATGTTTAATACATTTCTGATATAGACTTGCATTTTTATAATTATTCAGACTTAAAGGTTTACAATGGTGTCATCATCCGTATTAATTTCGAAGCAAGATGTATTGATTTGATAAGTCCATAGTTTTACTTGAATGATAGGAATATATTAACTTGTATCATTATTTTTCCCAAGTGAATGGGAACTGGGGTGCCTGGAATGCCTGGTCTGGTTGTTCAGCTTTATGTAACGGTGGCACAAGAACCAGGAACAGAGCCTGTGATAGCCCAGCACCAAGTAATGGTGGATCTTCTTGTCCTGGAGATAGGACAGAGTCTGAGCAGTGTAACACACAAGCGTGCCCTGGTATGATTTCTTTCTTTTTTATTTCTGGTATGAAGGAGAGAAATGTTAGAAAAGACAACTTCTATACCTGTGCCATTAAATATGTGTTTTTTTTGTGATATGTGCAAAATGTTCAACTATGTAAGCTCTCTCTGGTGAGAGATAATATCCTTTGATTTTTGTTTGTATGCTTTTCCTGGCATTCAACGGGAGTTTCAAAGAACAATATCGTAAATGATCCCCCTCCCCAAAATTTAAAAAGGGCTTATCTTTAAATGCACATTCCCTTCAAATATTTGATTAATGTGAAACAAGATACACTAAGCATGTCTCCACAATAGAAATACTTCACTACTCAAATCACTACAATTAATGCTGTTGTAGTGAATGGAAATTGGGGTGCTTGGGCTAACTGGGCATCGTGCACTGTCTCATGTGGCGGAGGACAAAGAAGCAGGACTAGAGTGTGTGACAATCCAGCACCTTCTAATGGTGGAAGCTCTTGTCCAGGGAGTGCTACTGAATCAGAACAGTGTGGAACACAGGGATGTCCTGGTGAGTGCAGACTGATAGCTTAATTGTGGCTTGGATTTTTTTAAATGAAAAGTTTGTATAAGTTTCAGGTGGTGATCTCTCAAATATTTAGTAAGGTAGTAATACAGTCATTATCCTTAGGTAAATTGCATCTTGATGTTGGTGTTTATTTACTTCACCTTTGCACTGCATATGAGTATATATCACTTGAAAAACATGTTTGACAAGGTAAAATATATATGAAAAGCACTGTATTTAATCCTCCTGGTCAGCGTAGTTGAGCATTATTTTACATAATAAAGCCATAATGTCCATTTCTGTTGGTTTTGATGTTGATTTGAAAAATGGTATGATATTTTTTATATTTTTTACCTTGTCTTATAGTGGTTTTTGATGCTGATATAATTAACTTTATTGCATTCTCACACCAGTGCTTTAGATACTGTCTATGTATTTTTACTAATAACCACAAAGTTCTTTCTGATACACAATACTAACAAGTGTGCTTGCTCACCTTAACATTATGTATACTAGTAGTTGATGGTAATTGGGGAGAGTGGCAGGGGTGGACTCTGTGTTCTCATACCTGTGGTGGAGGTGAGAAGTCCAGGAGACACATGTGTGATAGCCCTGCACCTGCAAATGGAGGCTCCTATTGCCCCGGACCTAATATTCAGACACAGGAGTGCAATAGTTACCCTTGCCCTGGTAGGATATGCTGTAATGTTAACAAGTTTGATAAACTTGATTAGGTCATTAAAAAAAATAAATAAACCAGTATGCATTCATCAGATACATTTATATACTACTAATAATACACATTGAAGAGTTTCTTTTATTGATGCAAAGGAACACATTTTTGATAGGCATATATTGTCATTTCAGTCAAGTCCAGTTATATCACTTGTAGACTATTATTATAAGGATCTGTCTAAAGAAAGTAGCAATTTGGTGCAACTGTTTATTTAAAAGAGTAGTAGAGGGATAAAGTTAACCAAGGAATTCAAGGTTGTAACTGATAATAATCTAAAGGGCTTCTGATACCTTAGTTGAGCTACCTTAATTAATTGTGTTTCAGTAAATGGGGAATGGGGAGACTGGAATGACTGGACAAATTGTCCAGTCACATGTGGAAGTGGCCTTAGAACACGTTTTAGAGAATGTAACAATCCTAGCCCACAGTATGGTGGTGCATCTTGTCTTGGTTCAGCAACCCAAAGTGAACAATGCAACACACAAGGATGCCCGGGTGGGTCATTGGGTTGTCTTTTCAGGAACTCTTGATAAAAACTCTTGATAAAAACTTTTTGACTCTTTTCAAGACAGTTCCAGCTGTTTATAAAATTAAAACTTGTAAATCAGTCTATAAAATATCAATAATATTAAAGTTTTATTTAACCAAAACATGACAACATATTGCAAAATTGTTTTTTGGCAGACTATTCGTCCTTAAATTCTTGTCATGAGTAAAAAAACACCAGCTATATATTGATAATTGTCTAATGACAGATATTTTTTAAAGATGGTTTGTCATGTTTATTAGCTATACCATATTTACAGTAAATGGTAACTGGGGCACATGGAGTTCTGATTGGACACTGTGCTCAAAGACATGTGGTGGTGGTGTCAAATTCAGAGTAAAACTCTGTAATAATCCTGCACCTGCAAATGGTGGGGCACATTGTGCAGGAAATGGCCTTTATCGTCAAGACTGTAACACCAGTCCTTGTCCTGGTATGGGAATTTTGTGAATGGATTTGTGATCTGTGCATGGCTGTTTCAGTTTTTTAGTTGTCACTCTTAGTGCTGATGTGAAATTCTCTTTTTCATTACATATTTATTTTAAGCAGTAGTGAACACTTCAGTTTTAAAATTTTACTTAAGCTAGATGATAAATCTTCTCCTTTATCTTATTATCTAATTATTTCAGTTTATCACGAGTGTTATATGGATGTTTTCATTGGCACCCATGCAAAGTGTGTTTTGTATATTCATTACGCAATGTATTTATTGAATGACCCTTTTTGTATCCAAGGCTTGCTGTGGAATGTGTGCAGAGTTTTTTTTTATTATTCTATTAAATTAATTACATAAATTGATAAATAAAAAATAAATATTTAAATAAATAATTACAACTAATTTGAACAGTTTGAATGGTATTATTTTAAAATGCCAAATGTGTACATTAAAAGACTTTGTCAACTGTTTTTCAATACATCATTACTTGTTTTGATGGAACATCTTGATATACAGTTGTACAATGACTGCCCTATATCCTGCTTTTTCTTTCAATCTGGAATCTAAGGTTTTCTAATATTTCAAAACACTGCAATTGTAGTTAATGGTAACTGGGGTGGCTGGAGTATTTGGAATACATGTAGTGTCACCTGTGGTATTGGACAGCAAATAAGGACCAGAGCCTGTGATAACCCTACTCCATCAAATGGGGGCTTATCTTGTCTTGGGAGTAAAACTGAAACACAAGCATGTAGTGATGTTGGATGTCCTGGTAAGAATGATTGCTGTGGCACAAAGTTGAGAGAACATTATACGTATTAGCATGTTTAGTTACAGAGCAGAACAGAGAAGTGATTCAGACCATGAAAAGAAATGAATGTTTATACGGCAGTAGAACCAACCCTATATTAATTTCAGTTAAGATTTACCTATGTTTAGGTTGCTCTTTATGCTCACTTGTGTTTCAGTATAAATCAGTATTGGAATAAATGTCAAAACGAAAATAAAAAATTGAAAATAAACAAATTTTATTTTAATAGCTGATGGTAATTGGGGTTCTTGGACTCCTTGGTCCTCATGTCCTGTAACATGTGGTGGTGGTACACAAACAAGATCTAGACAGTGTGATAATCCTGCCCCAAGTAATGGTGGGAATCCCTGCTTTGGGAGTGGGTCTGAGTCTCAACAATGTAACACACAAGGGTGTCAGGGTATGTCTTACATGTATAAGAACCATTTAATGGGATCTCAGCCAATGCTTGTGTAATGTGTGCGCCTTATCCATGTGAACCCCAGTAAGATATGGTGCTCTAATTTTATTTGCAAATTGATTTTTTTTACAATAAGTTTATAAAGACAGTAATTTTATTTTATTTGTATCATTTTTTGCTCATATAATTTTTATTTGACAGCCTGTTTATTTATTTACCCATTTATATTTTTGTTTACACAGCACATACAATATTACGTATTTCCTTTCTAGTTATTTTTGTTGTTGAATGTAATATGTTGAATATGATTGAAAAACCAATGAATGGAAACTAATAAGCACTTTGCTGTGGAAAAAAATGAAGTCATGTAAAAATCCATTACTAGTAAATGGTAACTGGGGTGGCTGGAGTGTGTGGAACACTTGTAGTGTCACATGTGGTATTGGACAGCAACAGAGAGCAAGAGCCTGTGACAATCCTGCTCCTGCTAATGGTGGCACAACTTGTCCTGGAAACAGAATAGATACTCAGAACTGCAGTATTACAGGGTGTCCTGGTATATATCATTATTTTGTCTTTCAAACTCAGAAATCAAATTTCCATGTATTAAAAAAATTATTTTTTACAATATTTTTTCAAGATTTCTCTCAATTTTTGTTGGAAAAATATGATTTACATGATCTCCTTGAAGTCACAAATATCTATTAATTAATCATTGGACTACTGGATATGTTTTCATTATATTTTATTGGGTTGTTTTCAAACATGTTCATCTTCTATCCAACTGCCACATTAAAAAAACTTTTTTTTGTTTGTTTGTGCATTTTTTTTTTCTTGATACAGCTGATGGTAATTGGGGTTCTTGGACTCCTTGGTCCTCATGTCCTGTAACATGTGGTGGTGGTACACAAACAAGAACTAGACAGTGTGATAATCCTGCCCCAAGTAATGGTGGGAATCCCTGCTTTGGGAGTGGGTCTGAGTCTCAACAATGTAACACACAAGGGTGTCAGGGTATGTCTTACATGTATAAGAACCATTTAATGGGATCTCAGCCATTGCTTGTGTAATGTGTGCGCCTTATCCATGTGAACCCCAGTAATATATGGTGCTCTTAATTTTATTTGCAAATTAATTTTTTTTACAATAAGTTTATAAAGACAGTAATTTTATTTTATTTGTATCATTTTTTGCTCATATAATTTTTATTTGACAGCCTGTTTATTTATTTACCCATTTATATTTTTGTTTACACAGCACATACAATATTATTTCCTTTCTAGTTATTTTTGTTGTTGAATGTAATATGTTGAATATGATTGAAAAACTAATGAATGGAAACTAATAAGCACTTTGCTGTGGAAAAAAATGAAGTCATGTAAAAATCTATTACTAGTAAATGGTAACTGGGGTGGCTGGAGTGTGTGGAACACTTGTAGTGTCACATGTGGTATTGGACAGCAAAGTAGAGCAAGAGTCTGTGACAATCCTGCTCCTGCTAATGGTGGCACAACTTGTCCTGGAAACAGAATAGATACTCAGAACTGCAGTATTACAGGGTGTCCTGGTATATATCATTATTTTGTTTTTCAAAATCATAAGAAATATTTCCAACAGTATTGAAAATAATTTTATATACAATCTTTCCTTCAAGATTTCTATGAATTTTTGTTAGAATATTATCATTTAATAATACATGAATTCCTTGTTTGCCTTTAAGTCTCAACTGTCTTTAAATTAGTCAATTAATTACTGTGTTTTCATTGTATTTAATTTGGTTTTTTCCAACTGCCACATTTTGAAAAAATCCTTTTTTTATTCAATTAAGTACTGTATGTTTGTGCATTATTTTTTGTTGTATAGCTGATGGTAATTGGGGTTCTTGGACTCCTTGGTCCTCATGTCCTGTAACATGTGGTGGTGGTACACAAACAAGAACTAGACAGTGTGATAATCCTGCCCCAAGTAATGGTGGGAATCCCTGCTTTGGTAGTGGGTCTGAGTCTCAACAATGTAACACACAAGGGTGCCTGGGTATGTTACATGGATGCCTAATACAGCAAAATTTGCATTGTATAGATCATTAGAAAAGCATTTCTCTTTCATTTGCTTATTGAACTAGTCCTGTAGATGCTGACCATTAATAACACAGCTTATATGATATGCTTATATTTATTTATTTGTATCTTCTTTTTTCTATTTATTGACTAATTCTCTGAAATGTGCTTTTAGATTTTTTTCAGTTTTCTTGTTTTTGCTTTCCATGTAATTTTAGTAAATGGCAACTGGGGGTCATGGTCTTCTTGGACCACATGCCCAGTCAGTTGTGGAGGTGAATCTCAAGCAAGAGCCAGGTCTTGTAATAATCCAGCTCCTAGTAATGGAGGGGCTTCATGCCCTGGGGAGGGGACTCAGTTTCAGCAATGTAACACCCAAGCCTGCCAGGGTATGCTAGAAAAATTAACTTTTCTATTTATTTTTCTTTGTTTTCACTTTTAAAATTATAGTTTGATACCCCCTGTATATAAAGCCCAATGCTTAATTTCATACAGTTCCTTTCATGCTATATAATGAGTATACTTCAAAATGAAAATGATTTATGATGTATTTTTCAAAATAATTATCTTATAATATTAATTTGTTTAGGTAAAATATCCCATTTTTTTCAAATAACTACCAAGCTATTGTTTCTTGCAAAAATACAACTGTTTAAACTTTGGCCCAAGAAAACAAGTGCTCAGTCCACCAGCATGCTGATACGAAAAAACAATGAAACTAACTTAATTAAGGTTAGACTGAGGGAATATTGATGCCAAATATTTGTCCTGCCACCATTAGATAATTGCTAATGATATTCCTCAAGTTGTGTTCATCTGTTCATGTAGTAAATGGTAACTGGGGTGGCTGGAGTGTGTGGAACACTTGTAGTGTCACATGTGGTATTGGACAGCAAAGTAGAGCAAGAGTCTGTGACAATCCTGCTCCTGCTAATGGTGGCACAACTTGTCCTGGAAACAGAATAGATACTCAGAACTGCAGTATTACAGGGTGTCCTGGTATATATCATTATTTTGTTTTTCAAATTCAGAAGACAAAATTCCAAGTATTAAAAATTTTCTGTTTCAAACAAGTTTTTTCAAGATTTCTGTCAATTTTTTTTTTTAGAAAATTATCATATACATAAACTCCTTGTTTGCCTCTTAATCTTAACTGCACTTTCATGTTCTCTTTTTTTTTTTTTTTTTGTTGCATCTGAACTTGTTCATCTCCTAGGCAGCTGCTACCTTTTGGAAAAAAGACTTTTTTAAATAAGCATATTTTTGCATTATTTTTTGTTGTATAGCTGATGGTAATTGGGGATCTTGGACTCCTTGGTCCTCATGTCCTGTAACATGTGGTGGCGGTACACAAACAAGAACTAGACAGTGTGATAATCCTGCACCAAGTAATGGTGGGAATCCCTGCTTTGGTAGTGGGTCTGAGTCTCAACAATGTAACACACAAGGGTGCCCGGGTATGTCCTGTATGGGGATGAAAGACCATATATTTTCTAACATAAACATTCACCATTATACCCCTAATTGGTCTCTTACATTAAATTATTTAAAAATATTACCACCAATTTGGGTACATAATTAGTATGAAGTTACTGACTTAAAGCAAGGACAATAAATCAAATTATGGGATAAGTAGTATTTAGCTTCACGTCTCAAATCTTGGTAAAATAAGTGCATCTTATACCCAGATCAATAGTTGATTCTGTCATAAATTGAACCAATGTTCTTTCTTCTTTCATTCTTTTCCTCTATTCATTGAGTAGCTATTATTTTTGTTTTTATAATTTTTAAACTATTATTTGTTTTTTTTAGTGTATTTACTATATGATTTTAGTTAATGGCAACTGGGGGTCTTGGTCTTCTTGGACCACATGCCCAGTCAATTGTGGAGGTGGATCTCAAGCAAGAACCAGGTCTTGTAGCAATCCAGCTCCTAGTAATGGAGGGGCTTCATGCCCTGGGGAAAGGACTCAGTTTCAGCAATGTAACACTCAAGCTTGCCAGGGTAACTAATGATAAAACTAATGATATTATTCTAATCTCTGCTACATAGGGATGAGCATTGCTTTTGCTGCTTTTACTAGTACATGTACAGGTTACTGCCTTTTGATTTTCTAGAGATTGATAGTGTTAATCTCAAAACATCTAATTCACCTTTCTCAGCATTAGAAAAACAATAATGATATCTATTCTTTCTCTTTACAACAAGGCACTAATTACATGTAAGATTGAATGATTTACTTTATCTATTCCATCAAATTTCCAGTGAGCATCTGTCCAGTTTTTAATACGTAAAATGAAACTGATATTAGTAAATGTTTAAGAAACTAAATAATAAAAGTAAAATGGTAAGAAGATCCACCTATTTATTTACATTGTGGTGATTTGCTTTATTAATACTTAGAGGCGTGGAGGGTAATGAAGTCATGGTTCAGCTGATTTTGTTTTATAAGATATTATGGTTATTATTTAATGAGTGGTTTAATGAATAATCTGATTTTGCCATGAACTTTATTTTCACATAATCAAATTTATATTTTATCTTTTTTAATATTATGATTAATAAACCCATTTTACCATTATGGGCTTATCCTATGCAAATATTGAAAAAGAAGAAGTACTATTTATAAAAAATGTAATTTGTTTTTGATAGTAAATGGTAACTGGGGTGGCTGGAGTGGGTGGAGCACTTGCAGTGCCACATGTGGTATTGGACAGAGAAGTAGAGCAAGAGTCTGTGACAATCCTGCTCCTGCTAATGGTGGCACAACTTGTCCTGGAAATAATGCTGAAAGTGAACAGTGCAGTATTACAGGATGTCCAGGTATATGTAGTTTTCTTAAAACAGTACTCAAAAAAAAAAAAAAAAAAGAAATAAAATAATAAAATAAATAAATAACAATAAATAAAACAAAACAAGATAAAATAAAAATAAATAAATAAATAAATAATAATAAATAAAAAATAAATAAATAAAACAGTTAAAATAATAATGGATTTTTTTATGAAAAAAGTTAGGTTTCGAAATATCCCTACAGTTGTGCAGTTTGATTTTTAACAATCAAAGCTGATCAATCGAAAATACTGTTTTAGCTGATGGTAATTGGGGTTCTTGGACTCCTTGGTCCTCATGTTCTGTAACATGTGGTGGTGGTACACAAACAAGATCTAGACAGTGTGATAATCCTGCTCCAAGTAATGGTGGGAATACCTGCTTTGGTAGTGGGTCTGAGTCTCAACAATGTAACACACAAGGGTGTCCAGGTGAGTTATTTGAAAGCATAATGCAATGGCTGTGTGGTAAATTAGAAATAGAAAAACATTTAAGATGTGTACATTGCTTTGATTTTGTATATCTGCTTATTTTTTCCAAATATTTAGTTTCACTCATCGGTAGGTACAACTGAATTTGTCTAGGTATGTTAATCATTTTATTCATTATATAAAGCAAGAATTTTAGGACATTCTATCTCTGCCCACCAGTGAAATAGAAATGGTTTTCTCTCATTTTGCTATGATTTCTCTTTGACTATTTGTTCTTTTTTATTTCTGATTACTTTTTATTATTTGCTTATGTTAAGTTACTGGTAATTGGGGGTCCTGGTCATCCTGGGCTAGTTGCCCAGTTTCCTGTGGTGGTGGGACCCAAACTAAAACTAGGTTATGTGATAACCCTGCACCTAGCAATGGTGGGAGTTCCTGCCCTGGGAGCTCAGAGATGTCTCAACAGTGCAACACTGAAAACTGCCCTGGTATTCATAGCTTTTGTTACAACAATGACAAGGATATAGTAGACAAAAATACTTTTGAAAAATGATAGAATAGCAACTGTACATGTTAACAGTAAACAAAATGATAAAATCATAAGTTGCACTGTATTTCAATTAAGTGGAATTTTTTCTTGTTGTTAGAGATGAATAGAGGTACTGTTTGCTTTTGAAAATGGGTCCATTGCTGAGCTTTTATTTAAAAAAAATTACATAATTGGCTTTTTACTTATTTACTTGTAATTATATGCAAATGCCCACCAATAAAAATGTATGTATCCTCTCAAATTTTAAACTTTGCTTCAAGCTGACTGTATATATTAGTTGGTAAATAGTCCCTCTACTTTGTACATAGTGCATGGCAACTGGGGCTACTGGACGTACTGGGGCACCTGCACAGTGACGTGTGGGGGTGGAACACAGAGCAGAACCAGACTTTGTAACAATCCAACACCCAACTATGGAGGAGATAACTGTCCTGGGGAAGGAAAAGTGTCTCAGTCTTGTAACACACAACCATGTCCTGGTAAGGTTGGTTTTTGAACCTCTTTGTAATATTTTTATCCCTTATTTAAATTATTATTATGAGGAATTTTGCATTTAATTTGATAGAAACTTCTTTTTTAAATGATTATAGATGTATTTTTAAGTGCAGTAAAGTGTCATGGAGGCATTAACTCCCATAGAGCTTTTGATGTTGGTCTTAAAATATTTTACGTTAAGGATTTAATTTTTTCAGTCAATGGGAATTGGGGCCAGTGGGCTAGCTGGAGTCAGTGTTCTAAAACCTGTGGCACTGGGGCTCACTCAAGAACAAGAGTTTGTGACCAACCACCTCCCAGTAATGGAGGCATTTCTTGCCCTGGGAATTCTCAAGAAGATGCTTCATGCAACACATTTTCCTGTCAAGGTACGTTTATATTCATCTTTGTATGTTTTATAACAATACAATTTGTGAAATTTTGCTAAAGTTGAAGATATTTTGAGAAGTCTTTATTTTATTTGAATAAATTATTATACCAACCTATCATATTAATTTTCATTTTATTCTTATATATATATAAGAATATATATATACCAGGGCCTTATACATATATACCAGGGCAACAGTTATTATTCTGTAGACATTTTTGCTGAGGTGACCCTGTAACTTTTGGCTAGATGGAAGCATTGCTTCCACTCTGCAGGAACTCAGTGGGAGCTGGGCTTTGCGCCAATGTAATTAATGCTTGTTATGCAACCTGTCTTGTCTTGTCTTGTCTGTCTGCTGAAACGAGTCACATGGTTTGAAGGAACATCCTAAAGTAACAAGCTGTTCATAAGGGGCTGTTTTATTGTCACAGATGAGCAATTAACTGTTTTCATTGCTGTCAATTCAAGGGGACTTGACAGGGACTTGCTAAGTGACAATGCCTGTGTAGTTATTCAAACAATTACCAGCCATGTAATCATCTTTGAGATTTCAGAACAGGGTCACAGTGCAGATATTAGCCATCTATTTAACCAGAGACATATCTGTTAATGTCTAGGGAAAAATCAATCTGTGGCCCTGGTAGAAAGTAATATAAATATAACAATAAATTATTATCCTATGTTTTTGGTTTATTTTTGGTTTATGCATGCACATAACCTTGTATTATAGTGTATTTGTTTTTTTATTATTTATTTCTGCAGCTGCTGTTGGTCCACCTGGCCCACAAGGGCCCGCTGGTCCAAAAGGTCAAAGAGGGGAGCAAGGCCCAACTGGCCCTCAAGGCCTTGATGGTTTAAGAGGACTGCCTGGACCCTTGGGGCCAACTGTAAGTGACTGCTATGTATGTAATTAAAATATATAAAATATATGATTGAATTAACCAATACTAAGAGACCATTCCCACAGATATTTGAATCAATCTATCTCCCTGGTGAGTCTCACTAAATTGCTGTCAACTTGACTGGCTTAAATGTCTGTCACGCCTAGTAAAGCTGTTAGGGGGTAATTATCTTTACCCCCTAGGTGATTCAGTAGGCGTGACAGACATATAAGCTGGTTGTTTGATAGCAATTTAGTGAGACTCTCCAGGGAGTTAGGTCGATCCTGATGGATCGATCTAAGTATGTGAACCCAGTCTAACGATTAAGGTACAGTTCTGCAAAATATAAGATAAATATAAATTTGTTTTCTGTAAATGAAATAAATGCTATTTTCAGTAATATTTAGTTATACTAAACATTAAACAATAAAGCAAACTTACCACTTTTCTGCACTAGGGTCCTCAGGGTCCTACAGGGTCTGCCGGTCCCCAGGGGCCTCCAGGCTCTCCTGGTCCTCCAGGTGATACAGGTGCCAAGGGAGACAAAGGTGAGCAAGGTCCTCCTGGACCATTTGGTCCCACAGGTATACGAGGACCCCAGGGAGTGACTGGACCAACTGGACCACCTGGATCAAAGGGAGCCAAAGGGGACCAAGGTGTGAAAGGAGAGAAGGGTAGCAGGGGAGGGACTGGTTCTCAAGGAGAAGCGGGGCCCTCTGGTTCTAAGGGAGATAAAGGATCTCAAGGAATTCAGGGAGTTAAGGGTGACACAGGAATAGCAGGTCCAGTAGGCCCTGTTGGACCACCTGGAAATGAAGGTAATTATATGCGATACACATATACAAGAAGAAGTACGTAAATTTCTGTCTGCTTAAATTTAAAGAATTTATCCACAGCTGTAACAAAGCTCTAAATCATTTTTCAAATGAAAACATGTATGATGATGTAAGTCATCTGTGTCTCCTTTTCTTTTCTTTTTTTTTTTTTTTTTTGTTACAGAGGTGGACGAGTGTCTGTACAACCAAGGAGAATGTGAACAAGTTTGTGTGAACTCTTATCTGTCTTACCACTGCAAGTGTAATGCTGGGTATCAACTTACAGACAACAAGAAGTCTTGCTCAGGTAAATTTTAGTCAATCGCACATTACCTATCAAATGATATGTTTTTTTTTAAAGAATTATTTGTGTTTTGGCATTTAATTTGAGCACTGACAGTGATTTGATTGAATATTAGTGCCCCGAGCTTTGATTTTGATATATACCATCTTATTCTTTTTCACATCTCCACAATCATGTGGATGTTTATTGGATTACTGGGCATTCTTGAAGAGAAAAAATTTGATTACATGAAGAATCTGACCGACATCAGGTCTAAAACTTGGGCAGAAGTCACATATATAGACAGTTTCATAATATTTGTAGTACAAGTGTTTTGATACATATATTTTGAACTAAATATCACCTTTAATTTTCAGATAAAAATGAATGTGATCAGAACCATGGTGGGTGTGAACAGCAGTGTTACAATGCTGAAGGGACTTATGTGTGTGCATGCAATTCTGGCTATAGACTGAGTCCAGATAGGCATAGTTGTGAAGGTATGAATTCCTATCTTCAACATATGTCTACTTCGTGTTATACATCAATGCCATGTTACAAATTCTTTTTCGGCATATGCTGTCTGAAACTAATTTGTGAAATGAAAAAAAAAAATAAAAAAATGGATTATAATAAGTAAGTTATTCATTTAAAAATAATTGCCAATAATAATTGCCAATTAATATTTACCAGTCTTTGCCAATTATTTAAAATCTAAGTATTATATAAATATGTACTAGTTTACATTAATAAACATAAGTCACAAAACAGACTCTATTTGCATCAACAGGCTGCTGGGCAAATTATTTTTTCAAAATGACTTGGATCTAACAAATACTGTTATATCTGTAAAGAAACTAATAATGACAATGATTAAATGATCATCATAATAACAGAGTGGTGTGGACAAATATGCTTCTCCTCATTTTGAATATTCATCTATGTTATTTAAAGAAAAATCTAGATTGCTTGAGTCATTTTGTTTTGCAGACATAGATGAATGTGCTGTCAGTAGTGGTGGGTGTAACACATCCCAAACATGCATCAATACAAGAGGCAGTCATATTTGTATAGGAACTGTACCAGGATCTATGGACACTTTGTCACAAACACTGCAGACCAAAATATCAGGTTGGTGTCCCCAGTGTCCAAACGGATATTGAACTAGAGTTTGCCATCAGTAAATCAAATCACAAAGCCCCCCTGCGCTGCAATCATGTACCTGGTTAATTAATCTGGGTTTGTGATAATATCTGGGGCCCATTTCACAAAAGGATTCGGGTTTTTAGGTTTAAGTAGCTATGTCTTCTTAACCGTAAGTGAAATGGAATTAAGTTGCCTGATATTCTTAAACCAATTTTACTTAGTTATTTTAATTAGTTATTTTGTAATACAGGACCCATGACCATTCTATTCCATAGAGAATTTTACATGGACTAGTTGTCTCAACTGATGAATAGATTTTGTCAAAAACAAATTGCATCTGGGTCAAATGTACACTTATGATAACGGCAGTGAAAATTGTACACTAACTATTGTGATTATGCCTCCAGCATCATTAAAAAAACAGTAATGATCTTGATGACTTTGATGATGGTGATCTTTTTGCGCAGGGGGGAAATATCGAATTACTATATAGCAAAAACTCAATCTTTTTGATAGGGGATAATTTTGAATTTTACGGAAACCATATTTTCAAGTCATAATTGCTTAAAATTGGAACATTTCTACCGAGTGGTAGCAACCAAATCAAAAAGCTGACTACTGGGTAGTTTTACTCTATGAAGTAAAAACCTTGAACACAATATCAAAGAAATATAATTTTTGTAATTATTTTTAAAAAAATAATGTATCTGAAACAATAGCAAAATCTCTTCAGTTTTGGTGAAAGTTATCAATGCTTTCAGATAACAAGACAGTTTTAATCAATTAGAAATACTGGCATTGCAAGCAAGCAATCAATCTGCTCTTGTTGCAAGGGGCTATTTGTATAAGGACCTTTATGGATTTGCCTTTGTTTCAGAGTTGACAACTCTGTCAGAGACAGTATCACAGGTGGTCAAGGATGGGACAGGAGTCCAAGCATCGTCACAAGTAGGGGACTGTGGATATGACACATCTCTGATCAATGGTTATGTCATTGTTGCCATGATCATCTGGTTGATTGGACTCACTGTGCTTCTTTTGATTATGGTAGGATATATGATCTATAAACAAAGAAGAGAGAAAAAGAAAGAAAAGGAAGAAAAATTTTTCAATGGTGATCAGACTTCTTTCTCAAGAAATTCAATATTTTCTACCCCAAATGGATATTAGTTTGTGATACTTTTGGGTTTACATTTTTGCACCTGTAATATCAGCGATGTACAAAAAAGATTTAAAAATGAAATTTTTTGTGTCCTTGACAATTTTCATAATACATTTTCATGTAGACATCAAGTGATTTTTTGACAATTCTTAAAATATTAGTTTTTATTAAGTGAAAGTAACTTTGCACGGAGCTGGAATATAATTTTCTTGAACTGGTCAGTTGAAATATAAAAAATGTACATATTTAATATGAATTTTCTTGACTTGAAGGCCAAAGTTTAAGTACATGATTTAAGTGCCATGTATATTGCAGCATTTGCCACATACATCCTGAATGTGCACTTGTATAATCCGTCCATAATAATTTATGCAATGGAAGTGACACAAGAGTTTTTGCATATTATTTATATTGATGTGATTATTTAAAGGAAAATCTTTTATCACATCATAACAGTGTCAGAAGCAGAAGTCTTTTACATATACATATTGCTGTATGACATACTGGGTATGTTTATGTTTTTTACTTGCTGTTCATGTTGAAATTATTGTATTTTTCTTCTTTTTTCTATAAAAACATGTTAAAATTATATTGTTGTCTTTTTAATGCTCTGCAGGTCATGCTTGTTTTGTAGTGAACAATTTGTGTTAGATCTATCTATCTATCTATATCCTGGAAATTTACCCCTAAGTTATGCCTACAACTTCTTATTTTACTGTTGGGATCTAAATCCACTAGTTCCCAAATCAATTACATACATGAATGACTTAAAAGCTAAAAGCTTTAAACTCAAAAATCTGTTCATAGATTAATTTTGTCAGCGGTTCTGGATGTGATATACTGGATGTGACTACTAATTAGGGAAATGCTAGGAAAATTAATATCTTGCTGTATAAAGGTTTAATTCTTATTGTGGACTTTTCAAATATATTTCTTTAGTTTCTTTATTTATGTGTGTTTTAACTGCAACAGGAAGACGATGACACAGGAATTTTTTGGCATGAATTATCAGTCAATAAGAAAGAACTACTACTTTGGCCCCAAAACCATTTATTGAACCATTTACTGCATGTTGCTTGAATTAAATCCAACTGTCTATTGAAGTTTTACTCAATTTACCATATTTTAGAACAACTGGCAAAAAACATGGCAACAAACACTGAGCTCATTTTCAACCTGTTTTGCTGACATTTTGAACAATTTCAATGAAATATGTAATTTTACATTAGCCCCATGCAAATGAAATCAAAGCACCAACAGTATCTAAACATAACTTTAGTTTTGATTGAGTTTGATGAAGAATTACTCGATTAAGAACTGATTATTTAATCAAAATACATAAGAATTAACCTTAAAAGAGTAACAACAATATTGCATGTGTGAAATAACAAGAAAATGAAAAAAATCAATACAAGTATTGATGTTTTACCAAAACTGATAGCACTGTAAATATCTAAAAAGTATGATGTACTGCAGTATTTTCTCAACGCTACGAACAGTGTTCCATTTGAGAAAAAATTATCTTCATCTCAAAAGAGGTACATCATCTTGATTGTCAAAAAAAAAAAAAATCCATTAAAGCTTTGATTTAATAAATAATTGAAACACTGGTATAAATATTTAAATGAACATTGGTGTAATTGACAGAGGGTTATATATATAGCACAGAAAGAAAGAAAATATCTGTTCATCTTTTTAGCAGTTCTTTAAATTATGCATTTTGAAACTATATCATGACATTTGGTCAGGTTTAATGACAAAGATTTGACTTCATATATAATTAAGATATAAAATATTTAAAATATTCACACTAAATTTGAGTTTTTTAAAATGCTCCCAGAAAGGCTTATATAGATTATTTAGAGCTGGTATTAAATCTGTCAAAAATCTGGAGAGTTTTGAATAATGAGTGTAGCAGCTATTATGCATTCAAAGAAAAGTATCCAAAATATGATTCAATGCTCTCTCTCTATTTTTTATAACAAAAAAACAACAATTGTGCACAGGTACTTCACATAGTATTACATCTGTCCATAACGTCCATAACACCTCTTCCCAACCATCATTCCTTTTTCATGTAAAAAAAATCTTTAACATATAATACGCATGGAGAAGACAAAGTGGAATGGCCCTGTAAACCTTTCAAAAGTGACAATTCCTACAAGTTGAACAGTAAAATTGCACAAATTGACCAGATGACAGAAAAAATAAAGACATATCAATTTTAGGGCAAACAGTTCTGAACTGACTTTATGTTACCGTTATAGCAAATCAAAAATATTTATGCTATATAATTCAAATGTTTGCAAGAAAGCCTCTGATAATGATAAAATACATACAAGATACCATATGGCACAAAGTTTCCAAGACAAATAAACTGAACTTTACCTAAATCTTTAAATAATGTAAGTTTCTTCTGTTTGCCTCTACAGTTCTAATACTGAATACAAAACTAAAGCAATACTCTCCAGGGGCATAATGGTGCTGTGAATACAATAAAAAATGAACAATAGCATAGTATATAACAAAGGGTAAAAAAATTAACCTATTTTGGAAATAAAAAAAATTTTAAAGCACTGGTATCTTTACTCAAAATGCTAAAAACAACATGTAATGGCCTAGATGTAAGTCGTCAATTTTACAAGTGCACAAAACCTCTGAACCTGCAAAATTTATACTTGTCACATCATATAGATAATCCTCTTCACTGAATAAAACTCTCATGATGTCTTTGCCACTCTATTAAGATAAAGTAGTCATTAAGTAAAGCAATCATCTCTAAATTGATGCACTTATTCTCCATCTTTGGTATGTGGGCAGCAACTGCTGCTGTTATACATAAGTGGAAAACCAATGCAAAGCAAAACATAATGAATACTGTCTTTTGTTGAGTATATGTCATAGCAGAATATCATAAGGTGAAATAATACCCAAATTAGACACAACTTGGCATATACTAGATAATGTAACTCCCTATTAGACTGTAGTGTTAGTGCTATAATATAGAACATGTAAGTCTAAAACTCAGAACTTCATTTTCTCCCTGACCGAATGGAAACTGTAGTGATAAAAATAATGCATTTATCATCATAACAAGTGGGATGCAATGTTCCCAATACAAAGCAGAACCCCTTATCTGAAAAAATCTTCCACATCACTGTACCAATATCTTGTACCTTACTGAGTACAAAGTAACACACTTCACTGATGAATTTCAATTTGCTTTGGCGAAGAATTGTGATGGTAGTGTCAATAACTTAATCATTACTTTCAATAACAGACCCATGTATCTTTTCAAATAATAATGAGATGCATGCAGTACGTAAATAAGATAATCTACAATTTGTGTGTTCTTACATTAACAGAAAGCAGAAAAATGATACAACTTAGTAATGTAGACTTCAAAATGAAGTGATCATAATTACTTTGTATCTTGACTGAAAAAGTCAAAAGGAGAAAAGATTGTCAAAAAATACAAATAGAAATACAATTATATACATTGTTTATCCTGCTAATTATAGTTGGAGCAAGTTAAAATATGCCAAAAAATGTTAATAAGTCCACTCTTGAGATTTTATTCTGTGAAAATTCTGGCTTCTAGTCTGACAAAAAACACATCTATACAACTAAAAACCAATAAGTCAAGACAAAAATATGCCGAGCACCATGTTTGTCAGAAATGTTAACATTAAGTCATATTACAAACAAATAATAAATCTCAATCAAATTTGGGTAAAAGAACCTGAATCTTCATCAAATGAACATCAAACTGGCTCATCTATGGAATCACCTCATGGACTTTTGACTGTTCTGTCTGTATTTCCCTTCCTCTTGGTTTTGTGCCTGTTTAGTTTTCAATATAACTTCATCATCTGGTTTTCCATAGTTTGGTGGATTTGCCCTAGGGTCATAGCCCAGTTGGTTGAGCATAGGTGCAAGCTGATTCATAGAATCAATCACTTCTTTTGGAAACTTTCCAACCCATTTTGTTAAAGCATCAACATTTACAGGCCTTACCACTTGATCTGTTGATTTCTCCACCCTTGGGGGGGAAAAAAGTAAAGGTATCAGCAAATGAGGTTCTGATATTTTCAAGTTAACAATGATTCTATTTTATTGGAACATGGCATCACAGATACAAACGAGTTAAATTTTATGTTGCAGTAATATTCTGAAAATAATGCTATCTAATAAACCATAGAAGTCATCACAGGTTTATAGGGAATATATATGTGTAGATAACAAATAAGGTTTTCAATTCAATCATTGAAATAGGTATTTTATTAGAAAAAATGCCAATATTGGAAAAAAATCTTAAACAGGGTGTGTGTGTAGGAAGTTCTAAACTGGGGTGGGATGGGAGGGTATAAGAATGTTATAAATATAATTAAATGGGATACTTAATTTTTTAAACAAAATATTTTGTATGTTTATAAATCTAACAAATATGTTTCTGATAAAAAAAGGGAATTTCTGTATAAAACATAAAGGGATAAAAAATAAGCCAATAACCTTAAGAACAAACCACAACCTGTATGTAGTATGCAAACAGTATGTACAAAAGATAAGTTATAAACTGTACACATACTTAGACAGGGATATACCTCCGGGTTTTCCAACATATTCTTCATGATGAAGCAGTGCATCATTCCATGGAAGATTAAGAAATCTTGTTATTCCTTTGAGGGAAGTCCTTGGATGTAGCACCAACTCTTCATAATAGACTGGCAAACATTTACTGGGTCCAATATGTATACATTGAGAGTGCATTGTCTCTACCGCTTTACTCCATTTTTCCAAGCAGCTCTTTGGATCACTGAGATTAAACCCAGATATTGAAACTTGGCGTGACATGATGGAATGAACTACAGCCCTGCCATCACGTATCATGAAGATAAACTTTCCCTGTGGAAATAACTTTGCAAGATACATCATTGACTTAAGAGCAAAGGGATCCTTGTTACACAAACGTTTGGCTGGCTCTCCGTGTTTCACTATAACTTCTAAAATAAATGCAGCCATGGCTGAATCTATAACATCTTCTGTTATGCCAGCATTTAAAAGTCTCTTTGCTTCAATAGGCGATCTTTTCCAATTGTTTTGCATCCCAAGTAAACGTGGAATTATTCTTGTCTCTTCTCCACATCTAACTTCTGGGTGAGCATCTAAAATGGCTCGCATCAGAGTGGTTCCACTTCGGGGAAACCCCCCCACAAACACAAGTGGTAAGTTCCTATCATACTGGATGCTAGTATTATCAGCAAGATACATGTACTGTGCATTTGGAACAAACTTGATGCCATCATCAACTGGATAGCAAGGTAGAAGCCCGATATAAAAAATCCAGAGAATGATCAAAGCAATCAAAGTGTATAACATACACTGTGTGTTCATCTTACGTCCAAATCTGTATGCCATTCTGTTGTCTGAATACCTAATCAATCAAGTAGCTTCTTAAATGGATATTTGACAAAGCCACAGCATGTGGTAAGCGTAACCCCAGCATAATTTATCTGTGATTTTATCTTCCTGCTAGAAATGCTTAATTCAACTGCTGAAGCCTTTCTGTACTAGCATAAGTCAAATGAGTTTCCCGCAAAAAAGTTAGCCTTTACAAAACAGCTATGATGGCAGTCTTATATGAAAAGTAAAAAATATATGACACGTACATCACACTTGGGAAACCAGAGTGAACACCTGTGACCAGGTAGAATGTCAATTAAAACATCCGCCTCATCCTCATGTAAAACAGGATAGTTTTTATAACAGGAAAAGTGGAATTTACTATATGTACCTGTCTTCAAGTCAGAAAACAATGTTGTAGAACAAGGCCCCTATGTGTAGCAGCTTTTGATGCTGATAATCCTACACCAAAGCTAATCATTCTCTTCATGCAACATGTTCTTTGGTGGCTTTACAGGCAACATTATCAAATGTTGGCCTGTTCCCTGGACCTATTCTGTTTTTCAAATTTCTTGCTTTTTCAGCAATTGATATTGCATGACAAATGGTATATATTTCAGCAAAGAAATTGAAGTCTTTAGTTTCATCTCTAGTGACAATTGGCAGACATTGTGTTTCACACAAAGACAGATAATCAACGCTGCTGATGAAAATCCTCATTCAAGATCCTTCCTTTGTTATGTGTGGTTTTCTTTACCATCAAAAATAGATGTTCATATTACCCTGGCTACAGAAGCTGCCACCTTTAAAAGAAAAAAAAAACTGAAAGCATGCCTGTTTAACATGAGAAACAAATAATTCTTAGGGGAATATTTGCACTCTTGGCAGAAATACATGTCTACTTTTAAAAGTTGTTTCCACAATTATTAGTTTTTTATATTTCACTTATTATAAGTTTCATAACATTACTGTGTACATGTAATTCACGGTCATCAATACCTAATACCTTTAGACAAAATATATTTTAATGTATGGTAATGAACAAATAGAATCAGAGATTAACAAAGGACTTCATGTACATCACAAAAAAAAAAACAAAAAAACTATGAACACAGAGGCATCACAGAATGTATTCTGAACAAGATTGGTGTTAAAATGTATTCTTGAACAGTAACAATATATTAACTGTTCATGACCATATGTTTTTTTTTTTTTTTATCTAGGTGTACACTATTCACTGAGTTATCAATCAATAAGAGAACCAGTACAAGATATTGTAATGGCCAAATCATTTACATATAAATGACATTCTAGAAGAAACACAGGTGGTAGAGTAAAACAAAAACAGCTAGCATATTGGATAGCCTCACTGCTTTCTACTAGTTTTTCTTGTTACACTATTTTCATGATAATAATGTTGGTGAAATGTTTTTTTTCTGTCTCTTGATTACAGATGGTATAATAAGTTAGTAATATCTAAAATAAATAAATAAATGAATAAACACATTTTCCCCAAGAGGCATGACATTTTTCATGTGATCAAAGCCCATGGCTAAAAACTGATGTCCCCTTCGTCACCAAACTGTACATTAATGAAAAATTAAGATATGTATGTAAAATCCCCAAATAGGTCAAAATACAGATATTTAGCCTTTGGTCAACTCACTGAGTGAAGTTAACTTAATGAGAGAACAGTTTCATTAGCTCTGTATGTATAAATTCAAATTACTGTTTTTCTTTTTATCAAGATGGTGATTGACAGTCACAGAAATATTGGAGGTAATACCCACATATTTTACAAGCTCTTGATAAAAAGAAAAACAGTAATTTGAAGTTAACTTAGTTTAGATGTCATTTTATTACTGAACATTTTTCTTCCTTAGTACTGTGGAATTACCCAGATAAAGGTATCATTAATCATTTCATGGCATTTGACTTGAACATTTCTATCAGTTGGTTTTCAAAGTGATTCACAGACCAGAAATATTTACTGGTATTTTGCAAAGTTCTGCAAACCATAACCACAGAGGATTGCCTTAGCAACTTTTTCTTCACAGTGTCTTACCTGCAGTATTTTAAAAAATATACATTATCACTAAATCAATAAATATGGAGAAGCTGGGTCTGTCAAATGTGTGCACTCTGGGGAAGATGCTATAATGGTAGCAGATAATGAATCAGAACTCTCTTCAGCTTTGTGAAGATACTGCCATAATAACTGTGATAATTCAGCTTTCAATAATGGCAATGAACACCTTTTTACTTCCCACAGAACACTGTTATTAATAAATCACCAGGTGTCAAGGCTACAATGACAATTCTACTCTAAACCATAAAAAATCGTCATAAACATAATTTGCCTTATTGTACAGAGTAACACTTACAGGTACCAGCAGATACTGTACATGCAAAAGCTTACTAGAGCTCTAATTTATAAACACTGCTTACACAGTAAAATACAATCTGCATATACCAGAAATTCATATAAGTAAAATATCAAGTTTATGAATTATATTCAAACACTACCCCCAAGTCTTCGTTAAAATATTATTCAAAGGGATAGTTCAAAAGATTAAGGAAGGTAAAATCCATTCACTATCCAAAATTTATTTCAATCAGGTTTCACTCAATGGCACAAAATATCACAATGTATATGACAATGATCTTTTCAAAGGGAAACTTGTGAATTTTATAGATACTTAATTTTTTAAAGTCATAAATTTTTAAAAGAAAAACACTGCTATTTGGTTAGTGGCAATAAAACAGAAAAGCAAGCAACCTTAAAAGGGCAGTAATAGGACTTTTAATGATTCTAAAATTATGTATTTGAAAGATTGTTTTTCCCAATTGAAAAGATTGAGTCTTTAAATTTAAAGCATTTCACTACCACAGAGACTTATCTAATCATTTGTTATCATTATAAAGGCCCTTAGGACATTAGTTCAGGTCTCTTGAATAAGATGGTAGAAAGATGCAAGAACAGTTATTTTGATTGATCTGTACATCTTTAAGCACTCAAAATATCAACCCTCAGACTAGTAATGATTGCCATTATTCAGTCAATTGATAGACTAAGTGGCATTTATGAAGGTACAACATGCATGTATTTTGCTTCTGTACATAATGTAGTTGTGCATGATTTTACATGTCATACACATGTATGCCATCTAGTGGCAGTCTGAAAAACTACATAAAAAGTAGAATTTATGTGCAAATCTTGATGTGGTTAATCCTTATTTTGTGAACGTCTGTTAAAACATCAAGAATGAATGTATATGAAAGTTGAATTGTCAGATTAAACCATGTATCCATGTCAAGACGTGAGAAAGACGCTAAGCAGGCTCAAGAATATAACCATATCAGCGCGGAGCCATTTTCAATCAAATGCACGTACTTGTTAGAACTGCAGCAATACAATAAATGCATGACAAAAACATTCAATAAGAGTGTTAGAGTACGATTACTTGATTAATAAAAACGACCCGGCAAACTGACGATTGAGTGATTGGCAATATACAGTTCCAATAAATAATGTAACTGATTCATTAAAAGGGGACAATGTCTGATGGTAACCCGTAGCAAAACTAAAGATAAGGAATAAAATTTGAAACAAACATATGGTTACCTTTGTCTTGGGCTTATCATATGCCATTGTAAATCTAAAAACAGTTCACCCTGCTGGACCCACGTTGGCATTGTTTTCAATTTTGGAAAAGGGTAATTTTTTTCATCGATTGTAATATTTAGGATAAGCAAGAGGGTCCTTGTCCCAAACTTTGCTTGTGAAGCATGCCTGTGTTTCAACAGAAGTCCATGAATTTTATGACGATGAGCATTTGCTAATGATGTGTCCATATCCAATAAAATAAAGTCAGGTAATTTAAAATAGTGTGCCAACACATTTTGTGATCCAACATATTTTGTAATCGAAATTTGAAATGTTTATTTTTTTTAATGTAAAGTAACCAGAAACAGCATACAGGTTAAGAAGCATAAGGGTATTCTTCTGTATATTTCCTCATAATAAATAAAGGTGACTGTTACTTTGCCAAAATACCACTGACACCAATGACAAATTTTAATTGATAACTTTATTTCAAAATTCAGTCTGATGTACTCACATGTAAGCCTTTTAAGCCTTTCGTTAAAACAACAATCAGTACCCTTGTTATGTATCAATAAATGATATTACAGGTACGTTGTATGGTATATTATACTGCTTGTTATTTTTCAAATAATGACTTACAAATAATTTTACAAATAGCATTTTTACAGTGTTTATTTAAATTATGATGAATTACATATTCCAAGTTTTCTAATTACTAATTTGTTCACAAACAAGGAAGCAAAGCTGTAAAGTGTACAGAAAAAAAAAACAGTAAATAATTATGCAGCAAAATAGGCTAATGTGTCTGTACATTAACACCCTGAATTATAAATTGTCGATAACAACACAATGTTCATGATGTACTTAATAAAACATAGCCAGAATTGGATTGTACATGTATGATGTACAGGTTATACACAAACACTTTAGGCTTGGTTATGTAAATGGACTGATAATAAGGAATATATATCACAGACAGGTCATCATCCATTACATTAACCAGGAAGTTCTTGAGTGTTATTAACAGACATTTACTGAACATCAATGGCCTTAACCATCCTGAGCTGACCAGCGTGCATTTAATGAACCAAATGAAAACATCTTTCAATGCCACCATTATGATTTAATCAGTTACATGTATATGTATTTCCAGAATTGAACTCTCATTTCTTTTTATTCAAAGCTGCTTTTCTCCTCCCTTCAATCCTTTCTTTTATAACACCCATCATTTCCTCACTTTTCTTCTCCTTTTCATCTTCAGGCAGAGAATCAAACTCCCCGGGTCTAAGCTCCCTTCCAAACACTTGTTTCTGCAAAAGGTTTTCAGACAGGGAATTAATATAATTCAGTGATTATATACTGTACAGCATATATGCATACAAAGTAAATCATTTTCATACAAATGTTATGTAGGCTTAGCATACCAGGAGTTACAGTGTTTGTTGTAAGCTGCAGAGGCATGCTGTGTTTCCAGTGACCTCTGAAACACAGGGTGACTAACGATGATAAAAAAAAAAAAAAAAAACATAAGTTTGGGTGTCCTGAAAACAACTTGAAATAATAATTTCTGTAATAGTTCTTACTCAACACCCCCTCAATAATGAATCCATTCTACCTAATCACACTTGTATCTTTACTGAAAATGTAAAGGGCACTAATGGAGTAATATTCTAAAATCCTTTATGTTGTAGTTTTTTCACAGTAAAGTACCTCTGCAAATTTGAAATCATTTCTGTGGTTTTTCAAAGCTTCTCTTGACTCCTTATCTAGGTCAGCTGCTTCTTTAGAGTCGCCTTGAGAAACTGTAAGTTAAAAAACAATGTTATTAGAATGAATGTCTGTGTCTACCGGGGTATAAGATATTATTTAACATCTTTACTGGTGTAACTGAAGTTATCAGTAAGCTAAATGGCATTGTCTAATTTTCTTTCATGGTTGACTGCAATATACAGGTATTGCAACTTGCATGTGCAGTCAATTAAACAAAATTAGAATTGCCTGTAAATGGATTCATTACTAAGCAATATTTATTTAATAAAAATCTCCAACATAATTGGAATAAATAAGAATGATGCAAAAATATGTCATAAATATATACATGTTTATTAGTACTTACTTTTAAAAATTGTCTGTTGTACCTTTCCTAGTATGTCCAGCATGATCCTCTGTGCCTGGACTTTCTCAGGGTCATGTGGTGTAGGGGACCTTGGAGGTGGAAGTATGTTGAACTTTGTCACAGCACCTGATGCTCTACTGGGTGGTGGAGCTGGGATCAGGTAGCTTAAAAAGAATATTTCTACTGTTACTATTTAGATAAAAAAAAGGACTGCAGAAACCAAAGGGGAAACCCACTTGTTAATTATTGTAAATAAATTCAAATGATGACACATTGACTGCTACTGTATAAAATTGACTTGATCAATATTTTTCTAGACTAAATGTATTCTATGGTGACTGAAATTTTACTTTAAGTTTGTAAACTATCAATTAAGTTATAAAATTGAAATGTATCTATATTTAAAATGAAATATTTAAATGACCTCTACCTGATAACAGACCTCAGTGAGAAAACAGATGGAGCTGGAGATTTCTGGCAAGAAAAATGTAAAATAGAATACAGAATTAAATTTTAAATACTTGAAACAAAAAGTACATGTAACATACTTTTTTATATCAATGAACAACATATTCTGCTTATTACTGAGTGATCTCTTGAAAAAGGTAACTTACAAATTTCCTTCCCTTCATTGCTTCAATTTCTTTCTGCAATCTCTCGATCTCTGCTGCAGCTCTCCTTTCTGATTCTTCCCTTCGTCTTCTCTCCTAGCAATACATAAATAAATAAATATAGAAAAACTTTAGATATAATGTTTCAAAACCTTTTATATTGTCATGCCTTTTAAAAACTTTCCTCTTAGCAAATTTTACCTCCATGTTAATGCAGCTTTTCATTAACTAGTGATGAATATGTATGGCTGTGATGACGGCTTAGATGAAACTACTAATCATGGTGCATTGTTTTTTGTTGTTTTTTTTTTGAAATAAGTAATTATTCATCTTACAAATATTTGTAAAATAAATTAAACCAGAGTGGGAAAATGGATGTGGACTTCATCAGAGGGAAACATTAACTTCAACTAAAATAAATGTTCTTTTAAGAATTTTAAAAGATCATACCTCATCTAAAAGATTTTCCAAATATAATTTTTCTTCATCTACTTTTTCTAAGTCTGCAGCAGCTCTTCGTTTATTTTGATATTCTGCATCCCTGTAAATATGACATCACAAATGATTTCAACATTACTCATCTTCTGACTACAGAGGGTAACCATTTGTACTGGTATAATCTAATCTTCTAGTGATACTACTCCATCATCAATTGAGAGAAAATTCCCTAAATTACTTTGAGAAAAACTACAACCTGATTTGTGTGTTGAATCTGCCTTACATAATCATGAAGAAAACTGCAAGCAACAGGGCATCCATAGTTTGTAAGGTTACATTTCACTTTACTTGGGACCATCAGGTTTGCTTATATGTTTGTGATGAGGCGAATATGGCTAATACACCAGTGGTAATTCAGTTTAAATGAATTATGCGAAAGTGCAAATGCTTAGTGGTTAATAATAATGACTTGTATAATTGTATTACAGAAATCAACTTCATAATGCTTCATTGCCTGTTTATAATTGTTCATCATACCCTGTTCAGGGAATTATACCGATATAAATCCCTGCCCTGTTAAATTAAAACTGTTTTAGGGAAGCGGGTTTCTATTTCCTTTTTTTTTTTTTAATTTATACTGACTGTCTGCACGGGTTTACAATTTACATGAAAGTTTCATTACTACATACCTTCTCTGTTGCTCCTCTGCATCTCTTCTCTTGTCATCTGCTTCCCTCTGTTGCTGAAGTAATCTGAAAAATAAACAAATAATACAGAGACAATGAAAATATGTTTAAACCAACAGAACTAAATTTTATATTAAGTATGAAAAACATTTGGGTTTAAAGAATAATGCAGGTATATTATCATACTTAAGATAAACAATCACGAACCTTTCTCTCTCATATTCAATCACAAACCTTTCTCTCTCATATTCCCTTTGTTCTCTTGCCAACCTTCTTGTCTCTGCTGTAGTGTGTGAAGGTATCCTTCCCTTTGACCAGTGATGCCAAGGTGGATACTTAGCTGCAAGAAAATTAAAGTTATTGTAGGTGAAAAAAAGTTCATCTTTATTATAGTATGCTTTCTTATTTACCCTTGGCTTCAATCCCAGATCAGATCTGAACTACGTAAGTTTATCAATGTGCTTCATCATAAACTGTGGTGAAGGAACATACAATATCAACTTTTACAAATCATACATGTACATTCATACCTGACTGTATCCAGTAGTTATCAAAATTAGGTAGTTTATCCTACTTATTACATAATGTTTTGAAAAAAGTTTATCTATATAACTTATTATATACATTCTTAACAAAAATTTGTTCATGAGCTTTACACAGTGGCACTAAGGGACCATTCCCACAAATATTTGGATCGATCTATCTCCTGGGGGAGTCTCACTAGATTGCTATCAACTTAACCCGCTTAAACGTCTGTCACACCAAGTAATGCTGTTAGAGGGTAATTATCTTTACCCCATAGCTGATTCAGTAGGCGTGACAGACATTTAAGCCATTCAGTTGATAGCAAATTTAGTGAGACTCCCCAGGGAGTTAGATCAATCCAGATGGATCGATTTAGGCATGGGAACCCAGTCTTACTTTGTGTAGGATCAAGTACAGGAAGACCAGTCTTCTCATCTTTATTCAATAGTCCATATAGATCTCTATAGAAAAACCTGTTAACCTGAAATCAGTGCTTCGTATTCTAAATATATAGTATTCAAATTTTGCATCTCAAAATAATGCTCTGAACGTTTTGAATATTTAAAATAAAGATGCTCAGTCAAAAAGTATATGATGCTTATATATCATTACAAATGTGCATACAAAGAAAACATGTAATTCATTGTCATCAATCAATCATACAATCAATTGTCCAATAATAATGAAAATTTTACCAGTATTCTACGAAATGGGTTATCTAAATTAATTTGAAGCATATTTTCAGATAATTTGACATGTAAATCAGAATAACATTATGTAGGCCAGATAACCAGGTTCAGATACAGATCTATAAAAAAAAACAAATTAGCATACCAAGTACTGAAATTGGCTGGTTTTTATATTTCTACTTCCCTCTTTCAACACAGTTTCCATTGCACTGATCTAAAATTAAACCACAAATAATGCATCAAAAGTGAGGACAGTTTCTGCTGAACATTAATAAAATTGATTATTCTAATTAAAAACTATAAGTATTACTATTATCTACATGGACTCCACAAAAGTAAAGAAGCTAAAAAACACATAATGATGTTCACCCCTGATTTGGGGGTTATAAGCTACTTGGTGATGATTAATGGCAAGGTACTAATACAATTTAAGACACAATGCTTGTCTTATGCATGCAGCAAAATAACCTACATCATCACAACGCATTAGTTGATCCTTGAGAAGCATGAGATATACCACTGTGAACACTGGAAGACATTCTGTGTGGTAGCCAGGTACATCCAAACCTATGATATACTGGTCCCATATATACAGCACTGTGTCAATATTCAGGAAGCCTAAAATATAAACATGTTGTGGAAATACTACAGAGGCTGGTTCACTTTCTTTCTTTTTTTTTCAATTATTTCAATTTCTTTATTCACAAATTGAATTTTATACTATATCAATGTTACATGAGCTGAAAAATGCTCAAAAACTCAAATAAGAGGAGAATTATCACCCATCAAAAAGTTATTGCATACTTCATTTTAATTGCAACAATATACAATCACAACAAATCTTCAAAGTGACTTACCTACAAATAATGCTTTTATGCAAGGTCTCACTAAAGTTGTCAAACCTTCCTCAAATACACTTTGTCTGGCTGCTTCAGTAGTTATAATTTTTTCTAAGAATAAAAAAATAATGTAAAAAAGTTTTAAAATATCACAAAAAATAGATGAAACGTGTGTGTGTGTGTTTGTGCACGAGAGAGAGAGAGAGAGAGAGAGAGAGAGAGAGAGGGGTACCTGATGGTATGCAAGCCTGCCCCAATTTGATTGCCAAGTCTGAGTCTCTTTCCTGTATAATCTGGGCAACTTTGAAAGTGAAACTCTTCATTTCTTCATCATGTATCTAAAAGGTCAATATTTCTCTCTTAATTGAAAACACTGCACAACAAAAAATCATCCTTCAATACTCCATAAATACTCATTATGTAGCTTGACATTAAAATTAATTAATCATATATATCTATTGGGACTTCTAAAAAATATGAAGATGATTCTTATTATGTTAAGCCCATTCAGTTTTACACAGAGCCACTTTCACTTTACATCTCTATATAATGTTCCAGCAATCCTTGTGCCTAATATGAATACCCAAATTGGGGATTTTCCTGTAGAACTCTAATATTTCAATGTCTCACAAGACACCTTTATCAATATCCAGAAACAAGGCAACAGTTTTTATAAAAGCTTCTACCTGGTCTCCACCCCACCCCCCCTTTTGGAGCAGATTACATAATTTTTTGAGCATGCTAAAAAAATTTGTGGCAACCATGGCATCCATGGCAACATTTGAACATCCTGTCTACCACCCTTGTATGAGCTGAGTGTACCCAGTCTCTTTTGAGCCTCCAATAGTGGCCTGACATGTTTCATGGTGGCACAAAAGGAGGTGCAAGATTCACCTTTCTGTGTAATGGGGGTCTTAGCAGATAAGCTTCAGCAGCAGAAATTTTATCAATCATGAAAAGTACCTCTCAAACAAACAGAAGTGTCAAAAATTAATTCATAACACTACTCCTGATGAAATAATGGTAATTTCTTATTTAACTAGTATATACTGACTGATTCTAACTAAATAAAACTCACATCTGATCCTGAATCCACCACATATCCTGGTCTGGACTCCATTAAAGAAATATATTCTTCAACAAGCATAGCAACAACATGACTTGGGGGAGGGTCCCGTCTATGAAATAAATATTTAAAAAATCTGAACAAAGCACACTTTCACTAGACAAAATGCACTGTTTAAACAAGAATACCTGTATATCATGTGTTAATTCAAAATTACATATGCATATAATTCCACATCTTAAAACATGTTTCTTTAGAGAGGAAAGATAAAGTTCTACCTTTGCTGAAGGTTTGTCAACTATGACTTTACCTTGATATGCTTTTCGATGCTGTGTATATCAGCGGAAGCATTAACATATATTCTATGTCTGTGAGGCTGACTCTGCTTTGTTTTCTTGAATGGTAATATGACAACACTGCCTTCATTCCATAAAATGCACCTGCAGTGATATGTCCCACAATTACAAAAATTTAAACAAGAATACTAAAAATCTAAAATATGATATTATTTCCACGAGTTACATATTTTATTTTATTCATTTATCACTTTGTTTTTCATAAAACCACTGACATGTTTTCAAAATAAAAGATATATTTCACTGTGCTACTGCTTGTACAAGCTGTGCAACAGATCAAGCATGCAATCAAATGATTTTCTTACCCCCAGTGAGGACTAGACTAGGCTGATCAATCGCCAGGTAGTTTTATGCTTAGGACACATAGTCCATAGGGTTCATTAGATCTACACCATGCCTGCCCCTTACAGCGCACTGTATCAACTACTAATTTAAAATATCATTTAAAATTACAAATTTAGGCAACCCAATGTTCTTTTGATGTGAAGCACCCTCAAGGCAATAATCATAGGGTACTGGCCTCACCTACAGATCCCCTGAGCTCCTCAACTGTTGTCTCTGAATTCAACAGGTTTTCACATTTCTGAGAAATTTCTAAGTCTAGCTCAGACATAGCTGCTCTTGGGTTAGTAGACAATATGTCTACATACTCTTTCCTTGCTGAAATAAAAAATAAAAGCAAGATTAAAAGAGTATCAATAGAGGTGCACAAATTTCATTTCAAAAAGAAATTGGTTATTCAATGGTCAACCTGAGAATAACAAATGCAGACACAAATGCGGGTTTTAATACAATTAAATCATTTTAAAATTCTTTACATAAGATTTACCAGATACAGGAAGATATAACCTGGACATACCTTTAGTACTACTTAGAAAAAGTCTCCATACAATGTGCCGCAGTGCCCAAGGTAAAGACTGATTGAAACAAACATGCAACTTGCTTTTGAGATCTGGCCATTTCTTTAAAATGCCAACTGAACCTTCTTTGGCATTGTTAAGGATTAAATCAGTCTTTGTATTGATTGGTGATTCTTCAAGTAATTCCCTTGCTATTTCATTACTTAAACACTGGTCCATAGTTAGTGAAACCTTTGCATACAGTGCATCATATGCTTGGCCTATGAAATTAAATGAGATAAAATATTCACATTCCTGAAATATGCATATTTGATCATCCTTCTTTAATTTAATGAATACATGTACATGTACTGGTATATAAAATTAACTGCAACGTAAGACCTTGTAGTAGTATGCAAAACTGAAAGCAATGAAAGAAAACTTTGAATATATGAACACAATCAAATTCTTTGTTCTTTACCTCCCTGTAGAGCCATGGCAGCCCTTTCCATGAATAAAGTCTTTTCAGCATCTGACAGGTCTGTAAACTGTTGAACGTGACTTTCTGTAAGTTGCTGTTGTATCACTTCATGTAGTTCAGCAACAAAGGCTTTCCAATCCTAAATGAAAAAAAAAAATCAAAATTCAAATTCTTTCTCTGCAAGGTGGTAAGTAATTTGAAACTAAATGTTACTTATTTTCCTTGTGATATGTTTAGCTGCAAATAAAATATTCTAGCTGTGGGGTAAGGGGTGCAAATGTAAGAAAGGGCACTTAATGAAACCAGAAACAAAATTCAGTTTCATGCACTAACTAGTATTTCTTTTTGAAATCCATACTTTTTTCTTTTAAAGTTCAAACCATTGCTTCGTTTGCTTATATTTCGAGGGTAATGTGTAGTAGAAAATCTCTCTATAACATTTGGGGTGATAAGGCTTGACGAGTTGCCCCGCAACTTGAGTTTTAATGTTGATTGCGATGCATTAGACATGTACTCTGCAGACACATTTATTTGCTATTTATATTAATGGAAACAATAAATTCTTCAGTTGGAAAAGAAATCACCAAACGCTTCCATTTTACCTGAGAACTACTTATGCGCTCTTTTCCGTCAAGTAACCACGAAGGAAATCCTCCCTTTGCCGCCATTTTTAAACAACCCCATTCACCATGGGCTGGTTAAGAGGCGTTATTCTATTGGACCACGCATATCGAATCCGAGCCTATAAAAATGAAATGCACATTCACGACGTCAACAAATATGGCTTCTTCACGTGTAGCAGACAGGTTTTCTATCTTGCTTATCATCTTAGGTAAATAAGAGTTTGTTTATTTAAAATTCTATTTCGATCTGTGTTTGATTTTAAATTTATTGAAAAGAAGTACTATTCCTGATCAATGCATCATCGCTTTTCTTTCAGGTGTTCTTGTTTCTGACACTGTGTCAGATTTGGAGGAGGCAGCCTATCCAACAGGTAAGTCTGCCGACCCTGGTCGCTGACGTATGAAAGCTTTAATTAAACGCCGTCTTAATATGATAACTATGACGTAAGGACAAGGTCACCGGGAATTATGTCAGTTTTCTTGTATATAATAATTATTTGAGCCTTTATATGAAGAAATTAATCATAGTTTTTATATTTTTATAAAATTTAAATGGTTTATTTTACAGTCAATTGAAATTAGGAATATAGTGACTGTTAACTCTAAGGATGATATACATGTACATGCATTTAAGCAGATAAGACTTAAATGACATTGTTAATGCATTTTGATGGTGAACAATAAGAAGTAAGAATTAAAATGATAAAATTAATTTGCAGCCAAATTTTAGATTCAAAGGCAGGAGTTAATCAGAAATTGACTTTTTTTACATCAGTTCTGTAAAATACCTGTAAAGCTTTATACATTGCACTTCAAATGTTGCAGTTCCAAATGTCTTAATGGGCTTTCCCATTTGTATATTAGAGGGAAAAAATATGTTGTTGATGTGTACTTGCTGCACTAGTATAAGAGCTTGATCGGCCATGTAGAACAGGTTATGGGCTATTTGCAATTCTTAATTCAGCTGATAATGTCATGCTTTATCTTTGGGTATTAGAATAAGAAATGGTTGAAGGAGTGACTAAAAAAGAACACGGTATTTCACACATTAACTAAAGACAAGAATACATGTTTAATGTATGCTGATGTATATTGTATGAAGTACATGTATGAACTTTACAAGCTTTCATGAAAATTTAAATAATGTGCAGCCAGAGAAAATATTTTATGAGTAAAGTTATTATTTAAAAGAAGTGCAGTTTCGAATAAATAACTAAAATATATAGTTCATAAGTACATTCCTAGTTTTTATGTGAACCTGATTTTTTTAATTGGTGATTCATGGCCATTTTACTCATTTTCAAGGACTTCCTCCTTTTTGTGAAAAAAAGAAATAGGGTCCCTGTTAAAGATATTCTGATGAAAATTAATCCAAGTAGTAATGTTCCTCATAATAATGAAATTTTGAACTGTTCATTTTCTACACTTACTGAAGGCACTTACTGAAAGTTATAGCTGTTATGGCTTTCGTCCCAACATTTGGGACTTTATCAGTCACACTGAAATCATATATAGTGAACAGTCTAGTGAGAATAGCTCACTATAACACTGCCCTAGATGTGAGACAGGTAGTGCCCTCCACCGTCCTTGTTTAGTGAAGGTCTTTGGGCCTGAACTTAAATAACCTCTTGATTGAACCACAGGGATCACAGTCCAAGATCTCCACACTGTCCCACTGATGGAACGTTCAAGTGCCTCAACATTGATGTATCTTGAGACCTCAGATGTGTTGGAACAACTCAGGTGTTCATTCGCTGTGGCTTTTAACCAACTGACCAGTGTTTAATACTTTTTTACTCTATTGCTCCTTGTATTCAGATATTGGAGATGTGGCATTTATTATACTCAGCCAGCCTGAATCTTTCCACATATTACGTGCACAAAAAATTAAGAGCAGCTTAGAAGAACAAGCAAAAAAATTAAAATGGGTAAGTATTTTTTTACTGACTAAGGGAGCATTCACATCGAGAAGAGCTGAGGTCTAGTAAGGCCGCAACCTAAATATGGCAGACCTACATGAAAGGAAGACCGCTAATCCTGTAATGGTCTCTCCGCCTCTCACACGCCTCCCTGCGCATTGTCCCTCAACCTGTTGAATTGAGCCGAGATTTAATTACTGTGCCCCTCCAGGGACGACGCGTGGGGAGGCGTGTGAGAGGCGGAGAGACCATTAGAGGATTAGCAATCTTCCTTTCATGTAGGTCTGCTATATTAAGGTCATGGCCTTACTAGACCTTGGCTCTTCTCGATGTGAATGTGCCCTTATATTATTGCATTTTCTACTGTTAATCTCTCTTTTCCATTTCTTATTTAAAAGATATCTGCTTTCTTGTCCTTCTGCCTCCATATTTACAATTGTATTAGCCTGTGAAAATCATTTTAGAAAACACACTTCATGTTTCTTAAGTTTTTAAATGTTATTTCTTTAAGTACCCACGTCTACATTTGTCATTTATACTAAGAGGGTTACTGTGAAGTACATGTGCTTGCTTTTTTGTTTGTTTTTGAGGTATAGATAGGTGAAAAAAACTTTTTAGAAGTAAAAAGATGTTACTGAGCTGAAAAATACATTTATTATGTTACAAAGTAGACCTTCCTTAGAGAAAGGAAAACTTCATAAAGCCAAGCCGTAACTGTAGAACCCAGGCCCACACTTCTCAGCAAGCAAATATACAGTTACATTTGTTCTGTTGTAGGCTGCACCAAGTGTCACTCTCCTCCATGAACAATGGCCAGGAAAGACTGGTGCCTGGACAGTGCAGCCACTTCTTACAGAGTAAGAAGTCTTACTGATTTCACAAATTTAAATACAACTAAATGTCCTAGACTAGTATTGCTAATTACTTATTTTAACCAAAGAAAGTTTTTTTTTACTTAATGAGAAATCAACAGGACCTCATGGAGAGTTTGAAATAATCTTTGACAATTACTTTGATTCCAGCTTGGCAGAAAAATTTTCAAAATTCAGATGGCTATTTTTTTGTGAAGACCAAACAAGCATTAATTTGGCAAAACTTTTGGAGGTGTTAAAAAGATTTGATCCCTCAAAGGTAAGTGTTAAGCCCGCTTTACACTGCATGGTTCCTTTCTGCATCCCTAGTACAGCCCCGTTTGAGAGTAAGAAAAATAAAACCTAACAACTGGTTGATCATTGAGCATTCATTCTGCAACCAAGGTGATGCTTGTGACTCCTTTCTATGACCACAGCGATGCCAGTTTCATAGTTTTGCAAAGGATGCAGAAAGGGCACCGTCCAGTGTAAAGGGTATTTTAAGGTTTGTAGTGTAGCAGTTTTGATGAGATGGCATTGTGTTGAACCACAATATTATTTAAATGCCATAAAAACTTTCTAAGTGTCTGATTCAAGCAACAAACCTTTACCTAACACCAGAATACCCTTAAAGGAACAACCAGTACTTGACTTCATTATGGCACTTAATTAACTTTGGGAATTAAGTAATGGATTTTAATCATTATATGGTGATAAACCTTGCATGGGGTTATGACTTATAATGAAATATCCAATTTCGTTCCAGGAACAATTTCTAGGTAAAGCTCTCAGGGACAGCATACCAACCATCATCCATCATTTTGCATTCCATGATAATCCCAGTAGCTTTGCATATCCAGACTTTGCTGCTGGTTTCTTACTCAGTCAGCCGTTAATCAAGAGGTAATCCATTAATAATTAATATTCTCAATCATAGTACAAGGTCATGCAACCTTGTCCAAGACACTATCAGTTTGTCAAGCAGCTAGGTTTGTCTTTGTATTGATTTTCTTCACACATTCCAAGGCATGTTATTTCATAGGACTTGTACCTTAAAGTAGAAGATGGCATGCAGCAAAGAAATTTGTTGGTTACAACTGATAAATCCTGTGGCCTTATCTCCCAGATAAGATTGAATATCTTTCATCCTAAACTACTGCTTATTTTATGACTTGTTAAAGTGCTTGCCCTTGTCCCTTTTAACTTCCTCCATGGGTGTTAATTCCAATCTGTTTGTCTTTTGTTCTGTTTGTCACCAGCCTAACCCAAAAAAATTATGGCTGGATTTTGATAAAATTTTTAGATTAGGTCAGAATGGGCTTACTTAAAAGTGATTACATTTATTTAGTAAATAAATAAAGTATGTCTGTCTGCTAATAACATTATGCAAAAAGTTATGGAGGCTGTATTTGGGTTGCAATTTAATAGTTAATTTATTAGTTTATTAATTATTCAACTTATCAATTATCTGTTTATTGATATTGATTAGAATTCAGTTTATTAGTGGATAATTGATGAAAAATACTGATTAATAAATTAATTTACTAGCTGGCTGATTAATAAACGATTTAAGGTAATGAAAAATGAGTTGCTCTAGTAGAGGACTGCACTACCTAATTGCTTTTCTAATTAGGTGCACATTTCACCATTAAAATATGAAATAAGTAGATTGGATGATTGTTCAAAATATTTTGACCAAATATGCCTCTAAATGGAATCAGTTAGACATTAAATTAGATGCAAGACCACACCTTGAATATACAGGCGTAAAGTTATCTTTATTTTTTCCTAATTTGGGTTTTTTGAATATCCTAAAGATTGCAGAGGGGTTTTTTTTATTTATTGTGAAAGAATTTGGTTCACTTGTAATGTGATCAAGATTTGCCCTTTCATGTATTTATAGTGGCATATTTCTTTCAGTTTAGCTGAAAGGTGGTTGGAGAAAAAATCTAAAATGGATTTTACCATAGATCCTAAGCATGAGGTAACATGGTACTCTCCTTACGTCACATATAATTGATATTGAATTTTTGAAAATTTTTTCTCAAGTGGGTTTTGATTCATCACAAAACTAGCCTTGTAAAAATTATTAAATATTTGTTTTAATTTTTAATTACCTGGCACATTCACTTTTAGCCATTAGCACATAATAAGAACTTTTTATTTCATATATGATTATCTATATTTAATTATATCTTAGCTGGCAAAGTTTATATGGGATGATGACAGGGGACCAAGGTTGACAGATATTCCAGAACTATGTGCTGGTGAACCAGATGAAAAGTGTGCTACAAACTGTGAAGTACGCCTGCCTGATTGTGTAAGTAGGCTGCGGCCCATAATATTTTATGAAGTCCAGTGTGAGTTTTATCTGTGACAAATGTTATAATCATTTTTGCTGTAAGCATGCTGAAAATTATTTAACCATATTTTTTCCTATAAAAATCAATAGATGAAAGCTTATGATTCATTGATAGGAACATTAAACTAATAAATCAACAGCTTCACTACTTTATAGATATAAGAATGAAAACTCCTGCAGTGTTTGGGGTATTATATAAGTCTAAGGGACCCGGAGGGAATTACTCTTTTGTGACTATATACTAGTTTTATACATATTTTTTACATAGGGGGCTCCTGTTCCAAAAGAAAAAATATTTTTTGCAATAAAAACCTGTGAACAATATCATACAGAAAGAGGTATGTTTGTTTAAAATTGTTCTTGAAGAAGTCTGGAAAAAGTATAATAGTTGTATTTAAATGATGAGTAATAAAGTTTGCAACTATAGGCTTGTTAAAGAAATTTTATCATCTTAAGTACAGTACAGTAATTATTGGCATAACTGATCATCTTTAGGTTTGTAAGGATTGGCAAGACTGCCTGTTATTTTCAAAACAATTATACTTCTAGTGTATAGTATACATATTTTAAGAAAAAAGGTTTAAAAATAAAAATATATTTTCCAGTACCTGTGGTTCAAAAAACATGGGGACAAGATGCTATGAACATAGAATATTACAGTGAAAAGGAAGATAGCAGTATACCGACAATTGATTTAGGAGTGCCAAACACTGTCAGAGGTATAAATGATTCAGTGAATGTTTAAAAGATTTTTACATTTAAATTGTTGTTCTTCAAGAAAACTGTATGGTTTTGAATCATAATTGTTTGTTATTTGTTTTGAAGAACAGGTAAGAATAGCAATTTTGTGTCAAGCCTGAAATAGCATCAGATTTACTAATTTAATTTTTAGTTAATGTATATGTACCCAAAACCAGTTGGGCCAGCAATAGTAATCAGATATTTCATTTCATTAAGAAGCTTTTTGTAGTGTAATGATCCAATGAAATTGTTGCATGTATCAGCGTGTATAGAAAGATTGCACGTTTTATTTTTGAATTAGCTTTTTGGTGTAGATTAGCCAATTACTGAAATACTAATCAATATTTCACAGGTCATTGCGGCAAATTTCTTGCCATACTAAAAAGAGTTCATAGTAAAGAAAATTTATCCAAGATTCCATGGTTAGTCGTTGCTGATGATGACACCCTACTGAGGTAAATAGCATCTTTAATTAATTTAAAAAAAAATAAACAATTATAACAGACATGAAATTATCTATACAATCAAATATTGAATGGAACTTTATTAGGTATAAAATGATCCTACTGTTCTACGTGAAATCATAGTGCACTTTAAACGTTTTGAACAAGATACTCTCAAGTATAACTACACACAACTTGAACAGTGGAAACCCTATGCCTGCTGCCAGCTCTTCAATCTTGGTTCTCAATTCACCATCAGGTAGTGGAGTAAACTTGTCAAACAGTGGGGCTATGTGGTCTGCATACACAGTAACCAAGATCTGATGGAAGACAAATATAACTTTGAGAAAACAATACTTCTTCACCAAGAAACTGCCATTAAGATTAACAGCTATTCAATTCAACAAACAAGTACCTCTTTTTTTTCTGATGGAAATTCTTATTTGTAGTCTGTTGATAATGATCAGAAGTTTGATCATTTCACTTTCTACATGAAATTGAAGCTATAAATACCTTTATGTTAAGTTTCATATTTACCAGAACATCACTTATGAAATCTCCTCTGCAATATTTTAGTGTAAGTAGACTTCAGAGACTTCTAGCTTGCTATAATCCAGAGGAAAAGGTTGCCCTGGGAGAGAGGTATGGCTACGGAACTTCTTCAGGGCTGGGATATGATTATATCACTGGCGGCGGTGGGTGAGTTTGCCTCTTAACTGTACTGTTATAAAACATATAATGTGTGATTCAACCAATATAAACATGCAACATTTATGAACATTCGACCAAATAGATGTATGACACAATTTTATAGAATCATGTATTTCAGATTTTAAATGTATTAAGAAATACAGGAAATTGTATGCAGTAAGAACGCCGTTGATGTTTTGAAACATCAAAAACAAAGCATGTTTAATATTTATTTTTACCTTATTATAATTCTTATTTGTCAGAATGAAAATATGACCATAAAAATTAGTAAAGCATATACTACATATTGCAGAATGGTGCTAAGCCAGAAAACAGTGAGTGTCCTGTTGGACACCAAGACAGCATACTGCCCTTCTGATGAGTCCCCAGATGACATGCTGCTGGGAACTTGGCTCAAGAGACTAGATATACCAATAATTCACAGCCCTCTCTTCCATCAGGTTGGTAATTTACATTAATCCTATAAGAAAATTTGAGAGGTTGTAAACAAGCAAATATGATTATTTCAATTGTAGCTATATTTACAGTAGGTCATTGAATTATTTAAACTGCTCTATCATTTCATCTATTTTTATTATTTGTGAGTTTAAAAATTTAAACATTCATCAAACTCAGTAGAGTTATTGAGTGTATTATTTTGCCATAGAAAGTCTGCCACAAACCCAGGCCTGTAGCCAGGGGAGGTTCGGGGTGTTCGAAAGAACCGCCTCTTTTGCTGGGAAAAGGTCCACTCAGGGTAAAATTTGATCTGGGAACATGATGTTTTTATGGAAAAAGGTCCATTTTTTTCAGAAAACGAACCCCCCTTTTGAAATTGCTGGCTACGGGCCTGTAAACCTCTACGTAATTAAGTGAACTTCTTATTTTGCAGTTGTTTTGTTTCTTTTTTATTCCAGGCCAGACCAGATGACTATGCTGGGGATTATCTTGGTCACCAGGAAGAACCTATTTCTTTCCATAAACATTGGATGGTAGATCCATATAAAGTATATAACCAGTGGTTGAAAGAAAAGGATATAGCCAAGGAAAACGAACCTGAAAAACCAAGAAAACCAAAAATTATCATTGAAGACGTCCATGATGAGTTGTAAAAGTGTTAGATGCTCCTCAGTCATCTCACAACATTATTTGCATCCAAGTCCTTACTATTCCTACAGTATAGTTTAAACCTAGCTTATTCTTACCCTTTGCTATCAGAGGCTTCTTAAATAGTGTACAAAATTAAGGTATAGGCCCCTGTGGGAAGGTATACACCCAATCAGCTTGTCTGCTCTTACGAAACTTCTGGGCCCAAACTTCTCTGCCCGTACCTGCTCCTTGAACGGTGGCTCAGTAGCAGAGGAGGGTGATTGTTGGATTGGATATTTTCGCTCAGCTTGGCATATGGAGTAGGTCTGAAGCCATGCTAGACATGCATTATGTAACACTGGGATGTGTGCTTCTCAGCACCTACTGGTAGGTGTGAAATCACCCTTACTGAAAAACACAAAGGATATGTCTGACAAGGAACAGGTTCCCTTGATCATGTCAAATCTCACAGGGTCCGATACAATAATTTTGTAGCAGAGTACATGCGGACCCTGTGGTTAGAGTATAGCTTACTCTCTGTGGACAGTGCAGGATTTTCCCCGTGAAAAACTCCTGCTTACTGAATTTTCAAGGGGTAAGCAGCATTATTTTCCAACGAACCAATGTGGGATCCTCCTTTTCTGTCATTTGTCATATCTCTTGTAATATAAAAGTGATCATTTTTCAAATGCTGCCACCCCTCCAAGTTTGGATTCTCATACTGCCATTATTTATTTCATTTATACCCAACAAATGTGTGCATTCTTTATTTCCTAATCTGCAGAAGTAGAAGTGTGCAATTTTTTGACAGATTTAATGAATTGAGTATGTCGCTGTAAAACAGGGTTTTCTGCTATGTGTGTTCAATGGAAAATTAGCTTGATCAACAGTTCAAGTTGAGTTTTTTCTCAAAACTTGCAAAATGAGTTTATAGAAAGCTGCAACTCTTGTTTGTTCAAGTATAGTGCAGAAGGCTCCCTTGCAGCTTTTGCTTGCAAGCATCAACGTTACAGACTAAAATGCTGCTGATTGCAACTTTCCTTAGATGAATTTAAGGGCAGTATTAATCCAGATGATAAATTTAGTTGAAAATTGCATCAAATGTGCAAAAATGTTGTCAAGTTAATCTAGTGGTTCAAGTACCCTCCAAACCATTTCCATCTATAAATTCTCTCAATAGAATCTCTAGTCTATTCTAGTCTAGTGTTTTATTTATACTAGTGAGTAGTGATTGTAATTATTGTCTTGGTAAATATTGTCATTGCTTTAATATTTTTAAGTAATATAATCTGTGCAATTTCCCTAATTTTGTCTAGTTAGGGTGCATTTTAAAACTGCTCAGTATACAATTTAATTGCATTTGAATATGGGATGACCTTTCTGCAAAATCAGTCCCACAAATCCCACTGCTATATTGTGCTTATTTTTGTAGCACATTAAAGAGGCCAGGTATATTGAATATCATTACTGATGTAGGTCTGACATGTCTTTTAAACCCCTTTAAACTTACGCATTTGTGTATCTTTTCAGAATTTTGACTAATTTCTTATTTTACATAATGTATATGGCAATATCTTTGGTTAATATTTTTCTCCAGAATTCCATTCATGCACAGATAGTGCAGGTGTACAATGTAAGAGCAAAAGAAGAAAATTGTAATAAAATATAAAACTGTCTTGTCTAGTCTCAATTGCCTTTCACTAGAATTATGGCTAACTTGTTATTTAACAAATCTTTACCTTTTCATTAAATATTGATATTATAATGACAGCCAATTAGAAACAACTTCTTAAACCTGGCATTTAGCTGTCACTAACACACTTCTGCTTCAGAAAAAGACCAAGCAACATATAAGACCGCAGTATACCTAATTTCTTCACAACATGCATATTTTTTTTTTTTTTTTTTTTTTGCAGCATTATGCAAAACGTCATGGATGGATTTTGATAAAATTTTCAGAGTAGGTCATTAATGGCCCAAGGAAGAAATGATTATGTAGATTTTTGGTGGTTATACAGAATACCACTAACAAACTTGCTGCATTGAAGCTACACAAACAGTAATAATTATGTATTGGTTTATTTTAATGGTACATGTCATAGAGGTTCCTTGTAAATTGCGACCTGACCTATTGCATCATCACATCACATGCAGTTTACTGCCTCAAAGTTGGGCAAATTGCATCAACCATCACGCATGAAGACATTTTACATTAAAGCTACGCGAGTTGTAATAATTACCTTTTTACATCATACATGCAATGTATCACTTGCTGCATTGGATTGAAAGCAATTTTGTAGTTTTTATATATTGACATCCTTCTCGAAAATGTTTCTAACCAGCCAATTGTCTACAATTTCTTACAGGTAAAGTCCTTGATGAAGGTTTGCACTCTGAGGGCTTTTCAAGTTAAATATAAAACAAGTTTTCTTAAGATAATTCTATTCAAATTTTATTTCCATACACAAGGTTACTACATAAAAATAATCCAGTACGTATTCACAAAAACTAGAGAAATATTTCAAGATTCTAAAAAAATTATATAATAACCAAGCTTAATTTAAACTACACAACAAAACTGAAATATTACTACATATTTAAAATGTAGACTTCATTCGCTTTTTTTTCAGTAACTGAAACCTCTTAAAACAATTCTTTACTTGTTCAGTGTTATTCTCTTTTTGCCAAAAATGCTGTACTAGATAAATTATTCTTTGGAAACTACTTGGAAGTCCTGCAAAAGTCACAAGTAAGCACCCTTTTTTCTTCACATCACAATTAAAAATACCAAAATTTGGAGAAAAAATTATGTAAATCTTTTTAAATAGGCAATTTTGTCATATTCACTCAATTCTGGCAATTCTTTAAAGAATATTTAACAAGTTTCTTTCCATTTTTCCCCTTTTAACATAAGATATAAAAAACCTGTAACTTCCTGCTGATTATTATTTCACACATAATCCCAAACGATATTATTATGCCAAGTATTGTGGCATGCAACTTTCCAAGAAACTAAGTATAAAATCGTTGTGGTGGGCTACCATGTGACTGCAAATTAATATGGAGGTCCACATTCCCCCAAGACCATTTAACAAGTGTGTGGAGACAGCGAGTTTTTAATACGGTAATTAGGAGTATGGCAATCTAAACAAATGGTGTCTATTGGCACTGAAAACTTAAGTCCAAAACAAATGCATTGCATAGGAATACACAGAATATAGCAGAAGACCATTAACAGCTGAACACTACAGGGTAAGAAAAACATATGAGAGCGAGATTTCTTAAAAGGAAGCAAAGTACATATATATATATATAGATTGACAAACACAACAGCAACAGATCAATTTAAATGCAGATTAATATAGTACAGTAACACTATATAACTTTTGGCAACAAGGGTTTTATAACATTACAAGGCATGGTACTGAGAAAATGATTTCTGTGTGATAACAATGTCATAAGTAGTATCTGCTGTATTAAAGTAACTATGAAGGACCATGCTTGCTTAAAATTGCCTGTGGTAGCAAACTGAAATTTTCATCAATTATTATGTTCAAATATTGAGATTTGTAAACAACTTGGCAGCATCAACTAGGATCAACAAATTGCAGGCAATTCTGTAAACCTCCGTATTATGTCTATAGGATTTTTTTTCATATTGTGGCAGTAGTACGTCTCGGACGCTATTAACAAAAACAAAAAGAAACATACAAAGATATGTACACTGTGCCCCCACCATTTCATAAGATATAAACACAATGATACATGCCATGTCCTTGTAACTACAACTATAATCTATCTTCAACATTCATGCCACTGCATCTAGCACTGCAACAATCCCAACATTTTAAATCCAAGCTCACAGAGATAGCTGAAAGGATTAATAAACAACACACTTTTTAGGTAAAATTCCCATTTTTCATGTTTATGTCATAACTCAATCTGTCTGAAGTCCACACAAAACCTTTACAGTGTGTTTGAGACAGTGTTGACAAAGTGTATTCCAACTCCACCTCTTCATATTAGTCCCTCACAGCAAGTTGGGCATTTTCTTGGTTTTCAACCCATCGTACTACTCCTCGATCCACAAGGTCACGGTTTATTAGGATAGGCTGGAAATAATGAAAGGAAAATGAACACCATACAAACTTTGCCTTAAATAACACAATTTTATTTGTGAAAACACAATCCACACCACAAGCAACACTCATAAAACAAATGAGACCAAAATAATAATCAGATACAAAACCCAGTCAAATTATTAGAAAAGGAAATATTGCAGGCAAGAAGCACATTTATTCACATTATTTATTTTACTGTTTNTCAACCAATATAAACATGCAACATTTATGAACATTCGACCAAATAGATGTATGACACAATTTTATAGAATCAGGTATTTTAGATTTTAAATGTATTAAGAAATACAGGAAATTGTATGCAGTAAGAACGCCGTTTGTAGTGATCCGTTAATTAGAACTGAATCTTCTAAATATGCATACATCAGATATGTATATATTTGTACGTTTTAATTATTCAAATATACTTAGACATGACATGTTGCATGGCAGTTATGAAAGCTAATTTGAAATGCAAATTAAGATAGAGTATAAAGGCAGTGACTGAGCCACAGAGAGATATAGACTTACAGACTGAGAGAGGGAGAGATAGTTATAGATACGGTAGAAGATATATGTGTAGTGATCCGTTAATTAGAACTGAATCTTCTAAATATGCATACATCAGATATGTATATATTTGTACGTTTTAATTATTCAAATATACTTAGACATGACATGTTGCATGGCAGTTTAAGAGAAGTTCATTTAAAATGCAAATCAACATTTAATTTAAATGTATCTACAATTAAGTTAATGTACATAGGCATGGCATGTTTCATGACAGTTATGAAAGCTAATTTGAAATGCAAATTAAGATAGAGTATAAAGGCAGTGACTGAGCCACAGAGAGATATAGACTTACAGACTGAGAGAGGGAGAGATAGTTATAGATACGGTAGAAGAGACCTGAGTCTTCAGGCGCTTGAATAAACCATGTAACGGAAAACTATTCCTGCCTGTCTCGGTTGTCTTATTGGTGAAAAAGTAACTCAAAGAACAAGTGTATAACCACCGACTGGTTATTACAAATGGCGAGCTCCCAGGTTTCACCTTAAGCAGCTGAGACAGAAAGGCAGTTTATAGTCAAGATGCTGTATGAAGACGAGGACCAGTATGAAGACCCAGACATCTACAGCAGGCTGTTAGATTGTCTGGGTGGAATCAGTAGTGTTCTGAAGACGCAGGAAACAAGCAAAGAAGATGTACTTTTATTGTCAAATTCCCTCGCAAATTTGTGGGAAGTAATGAAAGAAGAAACAACAGAATATGACGATGGAAACAAACTGTCTTTCGAAGCAATGATAAGCAGCATCCAGATAGAAGTGGGGCAGAGAAGCACAGTGGGTGAGGACAGCTGTGATGAAGAGACTGCAATAGGGAAAGAAGTTAGAGAGAGGATCCAGAGCAATGAGGTTGTGATTAGCGGTGTTGCTAACAAATCTCCAAAAGAAGAATTCCCTGGTGCCGAGATGTTGCAGCTCCCCGATGGAGGCAACGATGATGTGGTCAGTGACGTTGCTGACAAAGCAAAATCTCCCGAATTTGAGATTTTTAAACCCCTTATGACCAGTGGTGATTCAATTTCTGATGTATTAAATTCCCCTGATGCAGAAATGTTCCTGTTCCCTGATGAAGAGAGGTTGTCGCTCAGTGATGCTGAACTGTTGAAGTCTACTGATGATAAGATGATGAAGTTTCCCTGTGAGAAGATGATGAAAACCCCTAATGTCGAAATGCTGCGCGTTGAAGAAATGGCCACCAATAAAACCAAACTGATTGAAAATGAGTGTTACCATGAAGACAACGAAGAAAATGACGAACAAGCGAAGGAAAAGATTGAGCAAAAGAGATACTATGGGGACAATGACGGAAATGATGAACAAGTAATGGAAAAGGAAAAACTGCATGTTGGAGAAACGGACAAAGATAAGACCAAACTGTTTGAATATGTGTGTTACCATGAGGACAATGAAGAAAATGACGAACAAGTGAAGGAAGAGAATGATCTGCGTACGGAGGAAAGGGACAATGATATGGTGAATTTGAATATACCTGCTTATTACAAGGATAAAGACAGAAATGAAAAACAAGGGAAGAAAACGAAGGACTTGTTTGATGTTTTAGAAAGTACTGAAAAACCTCACTTGAAAGGTATAGAGAAATGGAGGTACCCACCTCATTGCAAAATAAGGTATTTTTCTAATAAGTAAGTTGTCCATGAGTAATTTTTAATAATTATTTTTTCTTTTATTCAATGTATAAAATAAAATGGAGGTATCAACTTCTCTGGAATTTTTTTCAATAAGGCTAGTATATTGTCCTAAGATTGATTTTCATGAAATTTTCTGTTAATTTTTGTATGTGGCACTTTCCTTTATTTGCATCCAATTTTTTTAAAATGCATGCACCAGTTTTTATGTTGTGAAACGTGTACTATCTATTGACTGATTTAAGTAAAAGATGTAAGGCAGTAAGATTTTTATTTTTAAATGTGTGTATGTCTATGCAAAGCTAAAGTATGTATAAAAGTCCTTAAATGCTTATGTAAAGCTATAGTTGTTTTATTATTGTTTAAATTGTTAAAAATTGGTTGAATTTGATTAGAAGATGTTCATGTACTTTGTATTATAGCTTAACATTCTATTAATTACAGTGTATAAACAGGTGTCAGTGAAATAGGTTTTTTAAAAAAATTAAGTTTCTTAATTTTTTTTCGGTAAAAAAGGGAGATATATGTGTAGTGATCCGTTAATTAGAACTGAATCTTCTAAATATGCATACATCAGATATGTATATATTTGTACGTTTTAATTATTCAAATATACTTAGACATGACATGTTGCATGGCAGTTTAAGAGAAGTTCATTTAAAATGCAAATCAAGATTTAATTTAAATGTATCTACAATTAAGTTAATGTACATAGGCATGGCATGTTTCATGACAGTTATGAAAGCTAATTTGAAATGCAAATTAAGATAGAGTATAAAGGCAGTGACTGAGCCACAGAGAGATATAGACTTACAGACTGAGAGAGGGAGAGATAGTTATAGATACGGTAGAAGAGACCTGAGTCTTCAGGCGCTTGAATAAACCATGTAACGGAAAACTATTCCTGCCTGTCTCGGTTGTCTTATTGGTGAAAAAGTAACTCAAAGAACAAGTGTATAACCACCGACTGGTTATTACACGTTGATGTTTTGAAACATCAAAAACAAAGCATGTTTAATATTTATTTTTACCTTATTATAATTCTTATTTGTCAGAATGAAAATTTGACCATAAAAATTAGTAAAGCATATACTACATATTGCAGAATGGTGCTAAGCCAGAAAACAGTGAGTGCCCTGTTGGACACCAAGACAGCATACTGCCCTTCTGATGAGTCCCCAGATGACATGCTGCTGGGAACTTGGCTCAAGAGACTAGATATACCAATAATTCACAGCCCTCTCTTCCATCAGGTTGGTAATTTACATTAATCCTATAAGAAAATTTGAGAGGTTGTAAACAAGCAAATATGATTATTTCAGTTGTAGCTATATTTAAAGTAGGTCATTGAATTATTTAAACTGCTCTATCATTTCATCTATTTTTTATGTACAGACACAGATGTGCACTCAGCGATAACACGATAAGTGGAATACCGTTTTACATTTTGTATTCAAATTTACAGAACTGATGAATATTCATAATATGCAGGTCAAGTTCGAAAATCAGAGCTATCGGGTCAATTTTATGGAAGTTATGCTGTTTTTTCACTTTTTTCAGC